GCTCCCCCAGCCCAGCCCAGCCTGGGTCTTACGGTGGGGAGAACCACAAGCAACCCTGGAGAGAGGCCTCCAGAGAGGTGAGAAAGAAGGAGCATCAGGGACAGGAAGGACCTGGAAGAGAGAGGAAGACGAGGATAGTGTGAGCCAGAGGACATTACCCTTGGGCTTATTTGCCAACAGACACACACACAATACACACCTCCGTAGAGTGCCACAGCACAGCCTGGGACTTCCATCTTCTCAAGATGGCCAGATCGGGGAGGCAGCGGATGCCCCAATAGAGGAGACGTGGGCTGGAGTTTGGCCAATGTGAATCTTAATGAGCTGTGCCAACAGAAAGTTGGTGTCCCCCACCTGGGCAGCAGAGCAGGGTCCCCTTCTCCTCGTCCCGAATTTGCAGCTCTGGTGTCACAGCTGGGAAATGGCCGGCTGGGTACATACATGGACACTTTCCTCCTCGCTTTTATTGACCTCCAGTCAGCCATTCAGGGCCAGAAGGGAGGGTGGTGTCCTCCAGATGACTGTGGCATGGGAGTGTGAAACCCATGGTGCACAACACACAAGAGGAGGCAGGTTCCCTTCGCTCAGAGCCGCAGCAGGACCCCCATCCTCCCTGACAGGACCTTCCTTGCCTTGTGCCTGAAGGGCCGCTGCAGAGGCCGGTTCCCTACGAAGGAAAGCAGCCGGCTGGAATTGAAATCCCCCTGCGAAGCCTGTCATCTGCTGGGCCAAAGGGCTTCCGGGCCTCACTTCCTGCTTATTCAGCTGTTGTTCTGAGGAAGTTTGCCGAAAAGAGGGGGTTGCCATGAACTCTTATTGATTGACAGCTGTTCTTTTGCTGTGGAAGCAGGATGGTCGCTCTGGTCAGAGCCAGCCCTTGGAGGTCAGCCCCCAGACCTCACCATTGGCTACGCCGAGCTAGCCCCGTCCTCCTCTCTGGCAGAGCCTCCTTGGCAGAGGCTTTGGACTCTGGAGGAGAGTCCACTTCTCAGCCAAGGAGAAGCCGGCTCAGGGCCTGAACAGGCACCTTGATTTCAGTCTTGGGGGGTACCTAAGTTGACTTTGGTCCCCTTGCTCTGAAGAACTGAAGAAAGAGATTGCAGTTGTCACCCCTCCACGCACACACACCCATTAAAGAAACCTTTGGTCAATGTACCCAATGTGCTTTCATCACATAGTTGCCTACGAGATGTTCCCTGTTTATTTCAGTTTGCCCCCTAAGTTCCCTGATTAAATTACAGCAATGAGAAAAACCCACACAACATTCAGGCAAGAGGCACAAGAATTGACATCAGTGTGGGAGAACAATACACACAGCCTACAAGCTCCTGGTTTAATGTGTTACACGCACCGGGACATTCCTGGGACCCAGTGATGAATTCTGGGCACAGGCAAAGGAGGAGCTACTGGGGTGGAGTGGGGCACTCCGCAAGTGGGGCATGGCTGCTGACGGCATTCTCTTTATTTAGGGGACTACTAAAGAGATTCCCGAAGAGGCTCCAGATTTGAGCAACCTGATTCTTTTGATACCAGCATCAATTGGAGAGGCTCCAAGAGATCATTCAGTCCAACCTGTTCTGATGGAGAATTCTTGGAGCTCTGGTTCCATCTAGAGGGCACCAGGTTGGGGAAGGCCGATTTAAACCCTCCAATTTTCTTCCCAGCATGATCTATCTGGCGCCCAGAAGAGGAGCTGCATCCAAGAGCTGATGGGGCTTCCTGGGCCCATCGCACCTGGATAACTCTAGAGCCAGCCAAGCCGAAAAGCCAAAGGCGTTGTGCAGAAAAGCTGAGCGATGCCGACAGCCTCTGTGGGGAAGCGTCTCCCCCCCCCCCCGATGCTTTTCATAATGAAGCAGAATCGGAGAGCAGCACCTCAGAAGCGTAACCAGTATGGACCATTTGTGGGGACAGAGAGATGCAAATAGGAACTCCCTTAATTCTGGTGGTCCAGCAGGACCAAGAGGTGACATCACCAGCAGCCAATCCTATGCCTGGAAGTCTATCCAGGGTTGCCATAGCAACAGATGTGCCCTTCCAAGTTCTGTTCTGCTGGATCCTCTCTTGTGCAAACTGGAGATGGGTCAGGAAGCAGAGAAGGGCGCAGGCTACGCAGGCAAGGAGCAGGCAGACCTGGAAGGCAGCCACAGGGAGCCCGGCCTCTTGCCTTGGCCACAAAGAACCTGGTGGTGTAGGTTTTGCCCTCAGCCCTCCATTGCTCTCACCAAGGACAGCGAGTACGGTCCCTTCTGCACTCTCACCAAGTCAGCTGGCTTCGCTCTTCCCTCTCCAGAATCCAGTGTGCCGCACTCTCCTTTGTCAGCGAGCTGTTGTGAATTTCCCCATGACATTTATGTGCCGTGCTGCTTTCTGGGGCATCCTGCTGTTTTAAGAGAGGTGAGATGAGGCTTGGCACCACACCTGTACTTCCAGGAGAGGGAAGTGTGTGTGTACAGAATGAAGAGACAAAGAGATGCTCCATTGTGGAGGTGATGGCTCAGTGGACTTCTGACAGCCCATCAACCTGGTAGTTGGTTCAGATCCACACGTTGTAGTTCCTGCAGTTATAACAGATGGAAACTGGTTGTGCGTACAACTGATCCCAGAGCCATCAAATGCACCACATTTTGTGGCTTGGATCCTGAAGACCCTAAGGGAGAGTTTGCACTGTATTCCAGAAGGTTTAAACTGGGCTGCTAGGAAGCCATAAAGCACCTCTGCCAACCCCGGGGACTGAGGTTATGTTGCCACCCAGAGGGGCTTAGAATGATTTTGGTTTATCATATTGTGTCCTCCATCCAGTGAAGCATTGTAGTTCATCAGGAGGCACCTCCCCAACTGTTTTTTTCCTCTCTCTTTTTTTTTGGGGGGGAGTCTGCCGTCTTGTTTCAGGGAAGGTGGGGATGGGCCGCTGAGCAGGCTGAACGTGAAGCCAGTCCATGCAGAAGCAGTTTTGCAGTGGCAGCTCCACCATCTCCCTTTGCAAGCACAACCTCTTCCAAGGAGCCGTTTTCCACCTTCCCTGCTGGCTCCTTTTGCTGACTCCTGCAGAGCCTCGGAAGGAGCCTCAAGGCTGGCGATGCCACAGGGTGGCACTGCAGGCTACGAAGCAGCTTTGAAGCCCAAGTTGCACTTCTGAAGGCTCCACGCAGAACCTCCCACCTTCCCAAAGGGCCAAAGCGAGATGCCTCCCAGAAACCGAGAGCGTGCCTGCAGAGGGCAAATGACAAAATGAACCTGGCGATCTTGTGACACAACACACACACCCACACACCGCCGTGGGTGTGTGATGTGAGGGACATCAGAGGAAGGGTTTGTGCTACAGGATCGTGATGCTCATCTGGCCTTTCCGATGAAACTGCTGGATTCTTGCAGGTGCCTCTACGAGGTACCTGAGTTCCTCTTTCCAGAGAAAATTAGACCAACCGGGAGTTGCAACATCTCCTCAGTCTAACTTCGTTTACTCTGTAGATGTGGAAGGACCCAGACAGGCCTTCGGTCCTCATGTGGGAATGTAAGAGGGATCCAGCTCAGCAGACCCCTGCCTGGAGGCAGCCAAGGAACAGGCTCCCGAGGGGCTTGGGGTCTCCTGTCTCGTAGAACCTCCTTCCAGCCCAGGGGATCTCCCTTCTTGCTGAAACAGGAAGTTTTGGGGACCTTCCTCTGCTGGGGTGTGCGTGTCTCCCTTTCCCTTGTGAGGAAGTGCAACTGAGCCTGGGGAAACACTCTGGGATCCGAGAAACCAGCCAGCCCTTGGGGAAATTCCTGACCTTTCCCCCAACAGCCAGAGTTCCTGTTCTGGAAATCAAGGGGGTGGATGCACCTGCCCAAACTCTCTCTCTTCCCCTGCCTGGAACTCAAGTCACAAAGGCCTCTCCCCGGCTTGTCCTCTGGTCATCCCTCACCTGCAGGTTTAGAGGCTCAGCTAAATCCCAGTGGAAGGTTGGTGGGCTGCTCAGCCCCTTTCTGGAGAGGTCTTAGGACCATATCTTAGGAAATGGCGTGGATTGGAAGTACACTTCTCACAACAATCCCTTTGCAGATGATGAGTTTCTGGGTTTGGGGCAGCAGCAAATGGGCTGAGCTTTATCTGCAAAGGATGCCCCTGGCAGGGCGAGAGGAGCAGCGCTGGGCCTCTTGCCATCAGCTACTGGGGACACCCCCACTTCTCCTGCAGAGATAGAATTCCAGGGAACCAAGCCCACCAATACAGTGAGGTGGGGGGAGCAAGTGGACCGCAATCCTCAGGATAAGAGGGAAATCTAAATTCACACACATCGCCCTAGGTTATTGTGGCTTCTAATCCAGTTTAGTGCTATATTTGAACATAACCACCTGGCTATGTGACACGTTGACACTTGCTGACATTGGAATCGCCACCAGAGCTGTCTAAAGGCGGAAGTGCACAGGAAGGAAGTGGTTGAAATACATTTGCCTAACATGGCTCCTTCAGCTCTCTGGAAGCTTCCATACAAACACCCATCAAGCTGTGATCTTCTAGCCGAGCCCCCCTCAGGTGAGGCAGAAGGACCGCCTGGAGCCGAGAAGAAAATCCATCCATTTCTCTCTAGAAGGCAAGACTCCCGGGGTGCAGACCTAAGCCCATGCAGGGATGGATCATCTCCAGAACCTTTGTTCTGATCAGGTGCGGAATGGTCTTCCAAATGGAATTGATGCAATTATTACTGGAAATTATTTAAGCGCAGGAAAGAACTCGAGGGCACAACTGAACTGGGTTCACTCTCCAGGAGCCCTCTGTGGACTTGGTGTCTGGTTACTAGGGCTGGTCCTCAGGCAGTTGGCAAGCCCTCCTGGAGTATTTGTGGGAAGGGCCCATCTTGGCCCTTGGAAAAACACCAAACTTCCAGGCAGAGCCAGGAAGGGGCCACAAGTTAATGCTCTGCAGCACACAACAGGTGGGAGAGGTGGGGGGAAGGGGGGGGGGGGGGGGGGGGAGGGAGGGAGGGAGGGAGAGAGAGAGAGGAAAAGACACCCAGACGTCCTTGGTAACAAAATTTATTGTCATGATTGAAGACAAGATTTATAAACGTACTCTAGCAACTTGTTGATAAAATAGCAAGTATCCCAACTTTGTAGTTTATTGTCATTTGGAACAGAATGGGAAAGTAAGGAAAGGGTTATGATGTCCGTGACATTTGGACCTTCCGCGCCACGGCAGCAGCGGCAGTGGGAGGCCCAGAAAGTCCACCGTGTGCCCAACACCGCCGGGGAGACCAGCATCCAAGATGAAAAGAAAAAGGAGAGCAGTGGAAAGCAGTGCACGCATTTCAAAGCCCACAAAACACCCACCATGGTTGAGGTCTCTGAGGAAGAGAGCAGCTTCTCCTCTGGCCGTACCCAGAGAGGAGCTCAGCGCACCAGCAGGCTGTGCTTGGGCCCATCCACCCTTTCCAGCTTCTCAAAGTGTTTCCTGGCATTTCGGATGTTGATCAGCGTTGCTGCAGAAGCTGGAATAGAGGAGGAACAAGAAGGTGAGACCATCCGGGCTCTGTGACAAGGGCGGCTGAGGGGCAGGGAGGGCAGGCTCCCCTCCCGCACAGCAAACAAACACTCCCTGAATTGCGACTGCCACAGGGAGCCTCCAAAGGTCAGGCCAAGCAGGAAGAGCCCTGCTCTCTCTCCAACTTACGTATGGAAGGGTCTGACATGACGACCATCACGTAGGTGTTTGATGTGAAGATGTCAATGAAATCAGCAAAGTTGGAATTCCTCACTTCCATGCTTTGGAAAGATGCAGCCAACTTACTGGAGGTGGGGGAAGAAATGAGGGGGGAGAATGTTAATTGTTCTATCCCGAATAGGCTCCTTAGTCTTCAAGCCTCCCTTCCCCACATTGCCCAGAAGCTTTTGCTTCTCCATGAACTCCAGAGAAAGGCAGCCCCACTCCAATGAAAAGCCTCCTTCTGTCAATCAAGAACAGCCGAGATAAAATGGCCTGGATGGGCTCCAGGACCCCCATGGGGTCAATGAGAATGGCAACGGACATTCTCACTGGTAAAAGTGCAAAACATGGGCTGGCCTGCCCATTGGGCGCAGGCAATGGATCTGGCCCCTTCAGAAGGCAGACTCTCTCTCTCTCTTGCCTGCCGAGTCCTGGGGAGTAATGCTCTGCCTTCTCTACACAGAAATGACCCCCGCCCAGCCTGGCAGATCTAGATGCCATGCAGTTGCCACTGGCCAACTCGGAGGAAACTGTCATGACCCCCCTGCCAGGGCCAGCATCTGCGGGCAACCAAGGCTCCCTCCCGGAAGCCGCCCAAGCCCTGTGCTCTCACCTGCAGCTCAGCTTGAACTGCTTAATGATGTTGCTGATTTTCTCAAACCGGTGAATGTCCCGCTGCTCTTTACACTGGTAGTGTGAAATGACCTGCAAGAGGAGGCATGAAAGCATCAGACCAGCTTTGAGCCAAGCAAGAATTCAGCTGAGGACCAAACTCTCAGCCACAAGAAAGATGAAGCATCTGAAGCATACTGGGCCTTCAGGGAGCCCCCGAGGGCATTCCCCAGACGCAATCCATACGCACCCACTGTCATGGCAGAACCACGGAGGAGAAAGGGGTGGGTGGGTGGATTCCTCACATAAGCCCCTATGGAAGAGGATTGCCACCCAGTAGAGCTGTGCACCAGTGGTGGGTTGCTCCCAGTTCGCAAGAACCGGTAGTAAAAATTTGTAGTAGTTCCGAGGACTGGTAATAACATTGGCTGGCCACGCCCCCGAACCGGTCCCTGGCCTGGTCGCCGCTCGCTTACCCCGCCCACCTCAGGTTTTTGTTTTTGTTTTACTTTTAAAAGCATTTTTTCTACAACCTCTTCAGCCGAAAAGATGCTTTTAAAGTAAAAAAAAAAAAGCTGGCCATGCCCACCATCACATTACCCCACCAAGCCACACCCACAAAATAAGCCACGCCCACAGAACCGGTAGTAAAAAAATTTAGAACCCAATCCTGCTGTGCACCATGATTCTCCAAGTGGCCATAGAGAACCAGAATTCAAGCTATGCCTGCCACAAGACTTTCAGCGTGTGGGACCAAGAGAATGCATGGAGGCCTATTCTCACAATCCAACAGCCTGACTTCCCATTTTAGAAATCAGAGCAAGACATGTGGGAGGCTTGGGGGCCCCCTCCCTGGTCCGTGCCCAAGGTGGGCTCCATCCCTGGAAACTAGTCCATCTTCTTGCTCACCAAAAATGTGGCTCTTTCAAACAGAAGAACTTCATCAGCTTCAATGATCTGAGCAAAATTCCTGAGGTTCGTTTCCAGCTGCTGGACATTGGGAATAAGCTGGTAGACTATGCTGGACCATGCCTGCCAAAGAGGAAGCACAGAAGGCAGCTGAACTCTTGGCCCTTCCTGGGATCGACCCAAAGGGGCAGCAGGACCCTCCCCTTGGCAGTCAGCAAATGGAGGAAAGCACCCTTTAGAGGGAGGGACTCTCCTCCAGACAAAACAGCCCAATTTGCATCTCTGTTACCCCACAGCCCAGAGGGATTTGAGAAACTATGGATGGGGTAGAAGTGGGAGCTGCTGTAAAACTTCACCTACTGCTCATAAACTGAAGACTCCACTTTTACAGGCTATACAGTAGTGGCCAAAATTGTGGAAACCTTTTGGGAAAAGTGTATTTTTGAGGTTTGATGCCTTTTTTTTTTTTTTTTTGAGTTTCAAGATAATCATATTCCACTGCTGGAATGGCCTGGGAATAGCCCAGACCTTAACCCAAATGAAAATCTATGGAGCTGACTAAAGAAACGTGTTAGTCAAAAGTAACCCAGCAATAAAACCCATTTAATAGAAGCAATCATTCCATCTTGGTTTCACATAACAGCTGTAGAATTAAAAGACTTAGTTCACTCCATAGGAAGACTTTGTAAGGCTGTAATTCATGCTAAAGTTTACCCAACTAAGTATTAACTGACACGGTGATCATTTTTGTATATCTCTTTTCTATCGTGATCATTTTTGTATATCTTGTTTTTTCTACGTGTTTTACTTTTCTTCTTTATACTGTAACTGCTATTCTAATAGCAAATCCTTCATAAAAGTTATTGCATTACATTCTTGATTAAATTTTCTTTCCATTGATATATAATTTTATGATACTACTCCAAAAAAAGTGGTGATATAAGCTAGTTTGAGAAAATACACTTTTCCCAAAAGGTTTCCACAACTTTGGCCACTACTGTAGGTAAGCACGGATCTGAGCCCAAGGCTTCCTCCAGCTCGTGGCTTATAACTCGGTCACAGTTAGCCACCATGGTGGCACAGAAGCACAAACCTTGTAGAGAGTCTCATCCCAGATGGACGTTCTGAAGCAAGAGCATTCCAGAGGGCGGGACAACCGCTTTAAATCCTCTTCTCGTTCCTTGAAAATCTAACAAAAGTAAACGAAAGGAGACAAATTTCCCTAACCAATATAAGCCTCACCAATAAAGCTGAGAGAGAGGTTCACAATTATCTCAGCAAGGCCAGCACTGCTGGGAAAAGGGAACAAGCTGGAAAGGCCTCAGCAAGAAATCTACGAAGAAAAAGGGGGGAAATTCCCAGAGCTGATCAAAAATGGAGTCCCGCCTATGCGCCCACAGCTGCCTGCCAGGCTCAGGCGGTTCCGCGGTTGGAGTTTGTGTCATTTGCAGACCCCCCCGGGATGTCGGTAGAGGCGGCAGACATTTTGGCAAAGCCTGCAGTAAAAGGTGGAAACCGAAAAGTAGCAGTTTCTGAAAGAGGGAAGCTTAGATGCTTTAGCAGATGGAACCACACTAACCCTGCCAGGTGTAACAGTGCAGACCCAGAGCGAAAGCCAGGAGGAAGGATGGCCTTGTTACCTCCCAAGAGCTACAGTTCCTGCCCTTTGACCAAAAGAGAAGCCTCCTGTTATATCTGGAGGTTGACCCTCACCAGGTCGCGCTGGTCCTCCTGTACTAAATCCATTTTGTGGACGAGGCAGAAAATCTTGGCATCGGGAGAATTCTGGAGAATGGCCTCCAGGCAGGACTGATAGTAGTGCATGTCTTTCTCCAGCTCTCTGCTTTCCACATCAAAGACGTAAATAAGGACCTCCACATTGCGGAAGATGTTGTCGCGCTGACTGGTGAAGTAGTTCTCCATGAAGGTGTCCTGGCTGGAAGGAGAAGATCCGCCCTCAACAGCCGAGTCAGACAGAAAGGGGAAGAGAGGAGCGCTCAGCTGCGGACACACTCCTGGGAAGGGGGGGATTCCTTCCCCATTTCCAGATGAGAGGCCTGCTCCTGCTCTGATCTACCAGCCGAGGGTCCCGGGGAGACCCCTGCTGAACTCCCTGGAGTCCTTAACTGGGCTCTCCTGGGGCCCTCGGCACCCCTCCTCCTGGAAGTAGCAAAAGGGTAGACAAAATAATTACCCTCCACAGTCCCACAGGTTTAATACCAGGTTGCCTAGAAACCGAACATGCGAATGCTCCACGTCAACTAGAGAGGAGAGGAGAAATGAATTACGGAGACAGGGAAACAATCCTCAGCGACATCAGAAGGAACCGGTAGTAAAGCACAGAAAAGCGGGTTTGCTTAATCATGGTCTGTCCGCTTGCTTGAGTCCACGAAAGATTCCACCCAATAAGCCAACGAACGCCGGGCTTTTCCCGGTCAGGGGGGGATGATGCCCTCCCGGGGTCTCCGCCCGACCCACCCAGCCACCCACGGCCGCCTCCTCACTTGTGGCTCCCAGGCGCCGCGTGTCCCGCGCGATGTAGTTGGCGAAGATGATGGAGCGCATGCTGGTCTTGCCGGAGCCGCTTTTCCCCATCAGCAGCACCTGGGCGGCGGGAGAAGAGCCGGCGTTGCCGCTGCGGAGACGCCCCAGGCCCTCCCGAGCCGCCCCCGCCCCCCGCCCCCCCCGCCTTACCTTCTTCTTCATGGCTGCTGCGTTCGGCATCCCACGCCTGCAAAGACACGCGGGGCGTCAGCGGGCGACGAGGGCCGGGCAGCCCGCGCCCTGTCCCTTCGCCTGCCCCCACCCCCCACCCCCTCCTCCCATGGCTGGGCGGCCGCTTCCGCGGGCGAGGGGGCGGGAGGCCCCACCTGTGCTCCGGACTAGCCCTGCGGCCGAGGGGCGCGGGGGCAGCAGCCGCTCTGCGTCGTCGTCCTGCTCTTCGTAGGCCTCACAGCCCCAGCCTCGCGTAGGTCGCTCGCCCGGCCTCGCCCGGCTCCGGACAGCCCAACCCACCGCGGCACCTCGGGACAGTCACGTGAGCCGCGCCGCCGCCGCGCCGGAGACTCCGCCCTCCTTCGGTCAGGTGACGCGACGCGACGCGTCCGTCACCGAGGCAGCATCGCCTAGAGCGGCCCTCTCTGCGAAGCCGCCGGAGCCATGTTTTTTGAGGGTGCCGCGCTCTCCGGAGTTCTGCAAAGGAAAGGCGGCTGTGCGCGATGGGAGTGGCGGGTCCCCATGGCAGCAAAGCCGGGCTTGCTGTTCGCGCGCGAAGGACATTTCGGGAGTGGGGGGGCGGGACGTGGAAACCCAGATCGGTGTTCTGTCCCTGCGCCCCGCAGGCGTCGCTATGGATACCCTGCCCCTGCCGAGGGAGGCTTCAGTAAGGGCGGAACTCCCCAGTCCGCGACAGATGGGGCGATCTGGCACCTCTTTTCTTACCGCTTCCCATATGGTCTAGCGGTTAGGATTCCTGGTTTTCACCCAGGCGGCCCGGGTTCGACTCCCGGTATGGGAAGATATGATTTTTTTTTTTTTTTTTTTTGCCGGCCCCCTCGGAAGCCCTGGCTCTGCTTCTTGGAGAACCGGTCACGGGCCAGGGTCCCTGTGCGCCTCCTCACCAGGGTCTAGCCCCTTGGCCGACAGGGCAGCCGTGGGGATCAGATGCCCGGAGCCACGCCCCTTTCGGCGATTGGACAGCCCGGTTCCGCTGGGCGGGGCCTTGGGAAGAAAACGCACCTGCGGTGCTGCTCTGGGCAGAGGCGATGGAGGCAGCGGAGGAGCGAGGTGGGCTGCGGACTTTCCTCTCGCTTTTCTAGCATCGTCTTTGGGATGCTGGCGGACGCTCCGCTGACCCTCCTGGAGGGGAGCGAAGCTGAGCCGGCAAAGTGAACGGGAAGACCCGGGCTTCCCACCGAAGGGGGATGGGTGGGGGGTCCTGGGCCAACTCTGGGCGCCCTGAAACGTCCTGCTTTCTCCCCCCCCCCACCGGCAGGGCTGGCGAGCGACTCCCTGGAGGCCTTCTTGCTGGAGTTTGACCACGCGGTCCGGGACTTCGAGCAGAGGGGCTCTTCTCGGCCCGAGGCGCCCCTGCAGGCTTTGAAGACGGGGCTCCAGCGCAGCCTGTACGGCAGCGGCCTCGACGGCTCGGGAAGTGAGCGCCCGCTTCTTCCTTCCCAGGGGAGAACGGGGGAGGCGGGCGGCGGAGGGGGAGATCCTCTCGCTTCGGCTCCCCTCCGGGTTTGGCGGGGCTGCGCCTGGGACTGCTCGCTCGGCTTCCTGCCTGGCTGTACAAGCGCAGCCCCCGCCCCCGCCCCCCCTTCACAAGTTGCTTCTCTCTGAAGTCAGCAACCATCAGAGAGGCCGATAAATGACTAAATGCGCTTTTTTTTTTTTTTTCGCTTCCCCCGAGTGGCTGGGCTGATGAGCGTTTGCGGAAGAGAGCCGTTTTCGACGGGGTGGGCGGGGTGGGGGTTGGGGGGGAGGCCGCCAGCTGAGCGTGCGTTTCTCTTTGCTTTCCCTGCAGGCAAAAGCATCTCTCCCAGCAGCAGCCTGAACAGCAGCCAGGAGGATCTCATGGATGGTGTGGCTTCTTCCCAGGTTCCTTGCTCCACAGGTACAACTTGGGAGCCCACGGGAGAGGATGAGGGCGAACGTAGGAGAGCTGCCTTGGGGCTACAAGGTGGACCTGTGTTTCCATTTGTGGACCAGAGACAACAACCTGGGGCTCTCTTATTGTCCTTGGAGGGGCCAAGTGAGCCCCCCCCATGGGTCAAAACAGACCCCCTCTGGACCCATTTGACTCCTTGGGATGGTTCCCTCCCTCCCTCCCACTCTCTCTCCTAATTCTCCAGTTCCACCAGCCTGGGTGGACCTTCATGACTTGGAGAGAATAAACCTCACCATGACTGAAGATTTCATTTGGCTCTTTTTTTTTTCCTTTTGGTATTGCTGAGATCCAATTATTCCAATCTTTTATTTGCTCTGATCTTTGGTTCAGTCAAGGTTTGTTAGGGTGAGGAAACTGACAAGTTGACCCCTCTTATCTTGTAGCTAAGCTCGGAGACACCCGCGAACTGGAAGCGTTCATTGCAGACCTCGACCAAGTCCTGAAGGGTAGGTGTGGGGTCTGGGCCCTGTAGGAAGCCCAAAGGATCCTCTGGTGAACCAGGCTTTGTCTGCGGGGGCTTCTGGAAGAGCCCTTGGGGCACAAATGGTGCCGCAGATGCATTGGTAGGATCTCTGGGCTTTCAGAGAGGTGCTGACACTTTGGCCAGTTCCCAATGAGGTTGGTGACTGGTGAAGCCTTCCAGTCCTCTTGGAAGATGATGGGTATCCTGGGTCTCTGCCGTCTCAGTGTCTCTGACTGATGCAGGGGAGGCTGGGAAGGGCCCAAGGCAGAAGATCTGGAGGGGTCTTTGTTTTAACCCAGTTATTCCTTTCTTGTAGAAATGTGACCAGCTTTCCTCCTGTGCTCTTCAAGATGAAAATCTGCCTGCTGATGTCTTGCTGAATGGACCCAGCCTTTTTTTTTCCTGGGAGAAGCCCCCCACCAAAATGCCTGACGCATCAGCTATGACTGCCCCCAAAGCCAGCCTACTTCGCAACTGGCTTCTCTGCGTGGAAGGAATCACAACTGTCTCCCGAAGTCAAAGCAGAAATCCGGTAACTCTGGATCCCAAAGGTGTTCGGCCATTGGATTTATTTTTGAAATTCCACCTTGAGCAGAAAGTCAGATTACTTTTTGAAATGCGGGTACTTCTCAAGGGACTTTCTCCTGGCCTTTGATTTCATTGTGACAAGCTGCGTGGAGGGGAGGGAGCCCCAAAGAGACTCCTTAGGAGCTGAAGCCGGAGCCCCAACAAGGCGCTGCTCTTTCCCCTCTGCCTGGGCGGGCTCTGCTGCAGAGGAATGGCTTGTGCAGGGCAGGCGAATACAACCACCCTCTGGCCTCCCAGCTTCTTGAGTGGGACTATTGATATGGAGGGGAAAACCTGAGTAGGAGAATGTGTGTCCAGTTGCTCGACTGCTGAGGTTGACCACCTCAGTTCGGAGTTCGGAGGGGGCTTTGGTCAGAGGGGCTGCATCTCTTTCTGCATGGAGCTCCTGACAGGCCACTTGGAGAGAAGTGGGGAGGGGCTGGCTTTTCTCCCAGGTGGTGGGGAGGGAGAGGTGGGAGGTGGAGGAGAGTGTTAGGAGTCTCATCGAAGGAGATGAGTTGCGCCAAGGTTGGGGTTTTATTGATTCTGGTTTTTATTTTTTTGTATAATACTATTTTATGGTTGTAAGCCTCCCAAAGTTCTAATTTTAAGATGGATTGCTGTATTTTAAAATATTTTAAATAAATGTAAATAAAATGCTACTGTCTCTGTGGGTTTTGCTGTAGAAGAGTTCATAGCTGACCACCTTCGGCAATGAAACAAATGCCGAAAACAGAAACAAAAAATAAGCATGTATCTAAAGGTTTGTAAGGTGGAATAAAAGGAAGTTCTGATTCCTTGCTCTTTACGCTCAATGCTGCCTTTCATTCTCTGCTCCGGGAGCTTTTCTGGCTTGCTGGGCTGTGGTACCCATTTCTCCATGCCCTCCGCGCTGATGCCAGAGCCCGGGCCAGCTGCTGCTGCTTCTCAAACGCCTCTCAGAAGCCGCGCTTACTGCCGGGGACTCACGCATCTCTCTCTGCCCAGCATAACCAAGGGGATGCCGCCCGACCGTTAAACCGTGCTCGGCTGCAGAGCTGCAAGGGAGCCCGAGATGCCACGGCAGCGCGTGGGTGGACGGGGAAGGGAGCAGCGCGGCTCGGAGCGCCTCTTCCTTGAGACGAGCCACTTCCGCAGCCCACAGGCAGCGCCGAGCAGCCCCGGCTTTCCGCCTGCCCCTCTCGTGCTCGTGGCAAGGAGAGCAGCAGAGCGCTTGCAACCCGGACCCCCCCCCCACCCCCCAGGCTGCTCGTGCGCCTGCCGCAAGGAAGAAGAGGGCCGCGGTTCTTCGCCCTCGGCCTCAGTGGCTTCAGCCTCAAGAGACGGTTCCTTAGACTCGGTTTGCAGTTGGGGCTTCAGCGTAAGAAAGAGGCAGTTGCCTTGGAACATCGCCTCTGACTGCCTTCCTTCGGAAGTTCTAGGATGAAGCGCCCAACCCCCAGAACATCTTTACCCATGGGCGAGACCCCACACCCGCCCTGGGGCTGGACGGAACCACTGGCGAAGGGAAAAGGACACGGCTGGCGCTTGTAGCATCCTGGGAAAGAAGCAGCTCCTCTCAGAACCCTGGACCGCCGAGTTCTCCTGCTGGGAACTGGGAAGGTGAACAGAAACCCAGGCGGAGGGAGCCCCCCCCGAATTCCTTTCTGCTGGGGTAGGGAAAGCTAAGGTGGCTAGTCCAGGGGTCTGCAACCTTCAACACTCAAAGAGCCATTTGGACCCGTTTCCCACAGAAAAGAAAACACCGAGAGCCACAAAACCCTTCCCGTGCCTGACTATTTCTTGAGCGGCCACAAAAGAAGCATATGTAGTTGAATTAGACGTTCTGTTTTCTTCTGAAACTTTTCTTGGATTTATCCATGGTTGGCCTACCAGGGGTTGAAAAGCTCAATAAATCATGTGCCAGTGGGTGTCGCACATTGGTGGTTGTGACGCATATTTTGAGTGACAGGGAGCTGCCGCGGAGGGGTGAAAGAGCCACATGCGGCTCCAGAGCTGCAGGTTGCTGACCCCTGGGCTAGCCCCACAGAGACCTCGGAGCCATTCACTCCCCTCCTGTCTGAGCAAACTTTAGACTTTTAAAAAAACAAATTAGGAATCTTCCAGGCATTTTTAAAAAGGGCATCATACTTCGGTAGGTGTCTGAGGTAGGGTCTCTGTCCTGTGGGCCTTCTGCACTATCCCAAATGTGCTGTGTTCAAACTTACAGGGCTACAAGTTTCAAAGGAAGAAGGCATGGTGGCTAGTGCATGCATGATGCTAAACCATGGCTGCAGAATAAACCCTGAGTGCAATGGTGAAATCCAAATTTTTTAATACCAGTTCTGTGGGCGTGGCTTGGTGGGCGGGAAAAAGGAAGGATACTGCAAAATCTCCATTCCCACCCTACTCTGGGGCCAGCCAGAGGTGGTATTTGCCGGTTCTCTGAACTGCTCAAAATTTCCGCTACCGGTTCTCCAGAACCTGTCAGAACCTGCTGGATTTCACCCCTGCCTGAGTGGCTGATTAACAGAAACACTGAGCCCAAAAACATGGTTTCTTTTTTTTTTTTTCAAAAAAGTTTTTATTTTTATTTCTCACACATACATTTACATGTACAGTCATTTATCCATCATTTTTCATTCATCTTATCTTTTAAAGTAAATAGTAAAAGAGCAGCCCCAAAAAATAAAAAAGTAAAAATGAAAGTTAAAAGATAACATGGTTTCTAAACCACCACGCTGGCAGCCACATTTCTTGGCAAGCACGTCTCCACCTTGGCTCCACTGGGTTGCCATCCACATGAGGTGGGCACTCAGGACAGGGACCCCTGTCTGTCTGTCTGTCTGTCTGTCTGTCTGTCTGTCTGTTTGTATGATTCTCCCTGGGCTGGCCTGGGTGCTGCCTCCTCCAGATCACAAAGCAGTTGCAACACAGGCAAGTGAGCCCCCAGCCTCAACTTCCCTTGGGAACAATTCTGCCCTGTGGGGCTGTGTGCCTTTTTAGGACAACCTTGTTCCTGAGCTTCAGTTAGCCTGAGAGCCAAAATAGGGCTCTTCCTGCTTGCTGCGCTGCTATCTTATGTGCACATCTGCATACTCAGCTACACCCATGGCTGCCTGTGGCTGTTGTGACCCAGGCCCTAGTAGTTAGGATTAAATACAAACAGTTCAAAAATAAACAGACTTTATTAGAACAGCTGAGAATTAACTCATTCTCAGCGTAGTCCAAATCAATTTGGTTTTTTTTTTTTGCTTTAATTTATATGCTGCCCTTCTCCGGAGACTCAGGGCGGCTTACAATGTGTTAAGCAATAGCCTTCATACTTTTGTATATTTATACAAAGTCAGCTTATTGCCCCCACAATCTGGGTCCTCATTTCACCTACCTTAGAAAGGATGGAAGGCTGAGTCAACCTTAAACCTGGTGAGATTTGAACTTGCAGTAATTGCAAGCGGCAGATGTTAATCTGTTAATAACAGTGCTTTAGTCCACTGTTCTACAGGCTCTGTACTACAGAATTAAAGCAAATTCTTCAAAACTCCATTCCTCAGTTTATCACCGACCTTGGTATAATTAGGCAAACGTCCAAAGGCTTACCTTGGCAAAAGTTCAGAAGCAAAAGACGCCGACAAGAAATAAATACAGCAAAACAAGAAGCAATTCTTTCAATGATGTTTTCCCGGCAAAGAGGCCAAGAGCCGTTGCTGGTCTTTTAAGCCTTATGGGAGGGGCCAATTATCTCTTGGCCCTACTCCTGAGTCGTCCTCTCCGCTTTAGCTGCTCCTGCCTTCTGGCAGCTCTTCTCATACATGCACTAGGAACGGGCTCCTCCTGTCCTCTGCCTCTCTACTGTCAGCCTCTGGAGGCTCTGAAGTCCGCACATCACTCCCCGATGGCCCCGGCCCCATCTCTGCCTCTGACGCAGAGCCCTCATCTGGGCCTTCCCAGGCCTCCAGGACTGGCCCATGTTCTTCCTCAGCCTCATCGCTGTCTGACTCCGCTGCCAGCTCCGCAGGCTGCTGGCGGACCACAACAGTGGCCTTATCATGGCTAGTGAGCATTGGTAGCCAACTGCCTCCCTGGCTCAGCAGGTAATCCTGCCCTTGCCACGTCTATGGAGAGTCATGGTTGTCCCGGAGGTGCTTTTTCAGCTTCTTGGATGAGAAGCGAAACGTCTTCAAAGAAAAGCAAGAAAGTGCAGTTGCCTCTTGCAAAAGCACCTCTGGGACTGCCCTTGCCTGGTCTTCAGCTCAACCAGGTAAGATTTCCATGAAACAATTTGGAAGGCTGGCTTGCAATGGGGGAGGGGAGTGGGTAGTGACAATGACCTCTGCGGGACTCTGAAAATCCCCTCTCCCCACAGGCTGAAGTTGCAATTTCAATTCCTTTCTCTTTGGCATTTTCCTTTCTGAAGAAGGATGTGGAAATGAGGAGTGACGCTGCAGCAGGAAGCCAGAAGTCAGGCGGAAACTCCCGTCCTAAGGAAAGCATTTGGGTTCATTGGGGGATTTCCTGGGAAACCCGTTAAGAAGCGAAGGCAGCCACAAAGCCCCTAGAGCCCTTTGCCTTCAGCTTCTAGAGACTGAGCAGAGAAGCTGTTTGTCTTAGCAGGCCAGGTTGGGAAGAGTGGGAGGCCCAGGTCCCTCCTGTGCCCTCTTGTTCTGGCGTTACGAAGGGGCCGTGTATTGGGACAAGCTGATCCTGTCCAGGAAGGACTGGGGGTTCCTCCTCTGTCCACATCTCCCCTCCCCAAGCAAACTACTTTGCTTGAGTCACTCCCAGGCTGCAGAAGGGCTGTTCCCCTTGCTGCTGCCTATTTTCAGGTAGCATTGGGTTTTTAATAGAACTACTTATCTATGTCTGCCTGCCTGTCTGTCCATCCATCCGTTTGTATCCCACCTTTTAAAATTATTGTTACAAATAACTCAAAGCAGTGAACAGATCCACCACACCTTCCTCCAGTGGTGAGTTGCCCCCAGTTTGGACCAGTTTGCAAGAACTGGTAGTAAAACTGGTGGGAGGCTCTGCCCATTGCCCCAGATGTCGTCATAGGTGATCTGTGCATGCTTGGCGATCCCACTGCGAACCAATAGTAAAGGTAAGTAGAACCCACCTCTGCCTTCCTCCTCCTCTTTTCTCCACAACAAGCTTGTGAGGTGGGTTAGGCTGAGAGAAAGTGACTGGCTCAAAGTAACCCAGCTGGCTTTCATGCATAAGTCAGGACTTGAACTCGCAGTCTCTTGCTTTCTAGCCTGGTGCCTTATGCACAAGACCAAACTGGTTCTGTTAAACATTAAAATAAGGGTTTTAATAGAAAATCAGGGAAACATAAATATATAACACTTCATACAGATTAGGTAAGTCAAAAAGAGTTTCTTCAACTTCAGCTTAAGTTCTGTTGGGGGAAGAATTGGTGCCTGAAATAGTTCCAGTTCAAAGCATCTTCCTGTCCAACCCTCTTTTGGAAACTTGCAAGCACGAGAACGTCACAAGAGGCATACAAAGGGTGAGAAAAAGATGTGTCAGCTTCTTTGTTTTGGTTCTCTTGGTCCCACCTTGAGCAGCAGGAGACCTCCTGACCCCATTTTGCCCGCCCAGGGCAACCCATATTTGGACTCTCTGGAACTCCTTCACAAGGACGTGGCTAGACCACTGCAGTGACCTCAGCCTCCATGAGTAAGAAAGGAGCCAGGAAGTTGCAAGAGGCAGTGAGCAACCCTGGGGGCTTCCATGGCAAACGGCAGCCACAGAGCAGAGCTGTCCAGGGTTCACTGGTCTCCCGTCTTAAAAGAGAAAATAGGTGAGAAATGATGACGCACTGCCCTTAAGTCCTATGAGCAGAACGGGAGTGCCTGGTGTGGCATTCAGGGGTCAAGAAGGAGGAAGCGTGTGGTGACCAACCCGGCTCTCTCAGCTGACCTGCATCACAAGGCTCTTTTGAGATAAGGGGGGAGGGAAGCATGGGTTCCTCTTTCGGTTCCTTGGAGTTTCAGGATGACAAAGATCCCGCCTTGTCCAAAGAAAGTAATTTTGGTGGCAGGGAAAGTGAAACTCAGCAACCCGTCTGCTCTCTGTGACTCAGAATAGAATAGAATAGAATAGAATAGAATAGAATAGAATAGAATAGAATAGAATTCTTTATTGGCCAAGTGTGATTGGAAAAGATACATTCGTCAAGAATCATAAGGTACAACACATAATGATAGTCATAGGGAAACAGTCAATATCATCAATATAAATCTTAAGGATACCAGCAACAAGGTTACAGTCATACAGTCATAAGTGGGAGGAGATGGGTGATAGGAACGATGAGAAGATTAATAGTAATGCAGACTTAGTAACTAGTTTGACAGTGTTGAAGGAATTTCCGTATTTGTTTAGCAGAGTGATGATCTGGGAAAAAACTGTTCTTGTGTCCAGTCGTTCTGGTGTGCAGATCCCCGTCTCCTCTCCTCTCCCCTCCGATGGCCCAAACATGGGTGAGCCGTGTAGATTCATCCAGGGAGGGGTGGGTGGGAAATGCAGGTCATGATTTTATTCTCCTTTCCGAGGGGGACCCAACACATGAGTTCAACAGGGCCCCAAAAGAGCTTTGGGCAAATGCTCAGCCTCACCTCCTTCCTTTTAACCTGGGAGTGGTAGGTGGAGGCCTGAAAGGGCTGAGTCAAAGTGGCCTCTGAGCCCTTAGACATTGGTGACATGTGCAGAGCGGATTACTAGATGGTTTCTGAGTCAAGGTCCCGTGGGGCCTAGGCCATAGGTAGCAGTTGCTATTTTCATGCCTGCCTGGCATGCCTCCTGGCGGGAGTCACGTCAGCTGCAGCTGGAGCAACGGCGTCTTCTCCTGCTCCTCCTCCTTCCCCGTGCAGGTTCCGTGCCCGGATTTCCACTTCGGAGGAACCTGCAGGGGACCAAAGGCGGAGACTGTCTCAAGGCAGCCCTCGGGGACGGAGAGCGCCGGGGCGCATCCATGGGAATACAGTGGGGGAAAGGGACTTCTCCTGCTGCAAGGCGGGGCGCACCAAGAATCGCGCCCCGGACCGGCGGCCCCTTAGAGCACCGTTTCCCCGGGGGAGGCTCGAGGCCGGAGGGCCCTGCAGCAACCGGCTCTGCGGGACCGACGAGAAACGGCGACGCCCCGTTCCCCGGAGGGCGCCGCGTTGGGGACGCCGCTCTGTCCGTCCTAGAAGCAGCCCCGAGAGCCGCCGCGAGGGGGCGCCGGCACGCGGCCGGACAACGCCCGAGACCAAGATGGCGGTTCCGGGGCCGCCCGTCAGAGGGCTGTTCCGGCCGTCACGTGACCTGCCCCTCCCCGCGCGTCCCGATGGCGCCGCCCTCGCCTGGCCGGTGGCCGCCCGCCCGCTGAGAGGAGGAGGAGGAGGAGGAGCCCCGCCGGCGCCGCGCAGGTGAGGGTCGAGGGCCGCGTCGGGACCCCCCGCTCGGCCGGCGGAGGAGACCCCGGGACTGGACCGGCCGCTGCCCCTCCCTGGGGCCCAGCCTCTGGAGGGGGGGAGGGAGGGGGGGAGGGGGCCCCGAGGGGGCGGCCTGGTGGCCGGAGGAGGGAGGGTTGGGGGCTGCCCGCCGCGTCTCGGAGCCCGCAGGGCAGGACGGAGGCCGTGGGTGCCGGGCGGGAGGGCTGGTCCGCGGGGCTCCTGCGGGCTCTTAGCGAGGGCTCGGGGGGGAAGCGCCGTCACGGCGAGGGACTGTGCGGGGAGCCGTCCCGGGACCGGGCTGGGGGGCTGAAGGCCACCCCAGGATCCGCGTCGGAGCTTCTTTGCGCCCCCCACCCGCCCGGGCTCTTCGTGGGGCCTGGGACCGCCGGGGAAGGGCGGCCTCCCTGGCGGGACGCTCCCCAATGGAGGAGGAGGAGGAGGAGTTGGTTCATGGGGGTGGCCGGCAAGATGCCCCTCCTGGCAGCCTCGGACCCTTTGCACTTGTCCCCGGGGATTGAGGGCAGAAGGAAAGGCTGCCCTTCCGGAGCTGCCAGCAGCCTGCGGGGTTCCCAGCCACTTGGTTCCAGGGAGAGTTGGAGGCGGCAGGGACTCCGGGTGGCAGTTACTGGAGAGACAAGCTGGCTTTCCCCGGCGGTCACTGGTGGGGCTCCTGGATCAACGTGGCCAGGTGGCTTTGAGCAGGCCAGCAGGGGCCTTGCCTTACCCTTTCAGCAGGCAATCCCCAGTGTCCGTGGGAAAGCCCAGGTGCAGGGCTCTCTTCCCCCCCCCCCCCCCCCCATCCCCAGTGCTTTTGAGATCCAGCTGTTTCCAGCTCAGTTTGCCAAGTGGTGCCGGGTTGACTGTCGGAAAACCGAAAGCCTTCCGGGGCCCGGAATGGGGTCCTGACTCCCGGATGGGTGCAGCCTGCCAGCTCCCTTGGCCACCATTGATGGTGGAAGAGCACCGTCCCTGAACTGTGGTGCTTCTCCCTCCCAGCAGCTGTTCTGTTTGTCCCTGAACTTCTGGCCAGGGAGAGAACCCGCTTTTCTCCACCGACTGGATTGCTCCAGATTCCCTGGTGCGGTTCGTGTGCCTTTTTCGTTCCTGGGAAGCCCTTAAGCCTGGCCAGGTCCAGATGAGGTAGTGACATCTGTCTCCTGTGCCCTTGCAGAGGTGTCAAAGGTCAAAGCTCCCTGAGCAGATGTAGGCAACTTGTGCCTTCCGCTCAGAAATATTTGGGCAAGGGAAGCAAAGCCTCTGTGGATCCCTGTTGACTCAATGCAGATTTGGCCTTGCTCAGCATGAAGGAAGGAAGGAAGTCAGTTCTCCCGCTTCTTGGAAGGAGAATTAGACATTTTCAAGGAAAACACACTTTCTGTTCCGCTTTCTCAGTCCCTTCCCTGGAAACCAAACTGCTCCCTTCTGTGGAAACTTTTCAGGCTGACTGTTCTTCAGAGGTGAGCACTGCATGCGTAGGTCTGAACTGTTTTGAGGGCCCAGCTGCTTTTCCCCCACCCATGAGAACAGACCCAAAATATACACATTGGATTTACGTCTGCTTTGCCCTTGGATAGTTTGGCTCCGGTTGTGGGCTCAGATCCCGAGGGCATTTATGCGGTTAGCATGGCGACTGTGTGGACATGTGATCTTGAGATCACCTGCTCTTTTAATGTGGACTTAATGAGTCCAGGCATTAAGCAGAGGCTGTACTAGGACTGTGATGGTGATGCATATTGTGGGTTACTTGGACTTGGTTAGAGAGATCAGAAAGCTTTGAGGAGAGGAAGCTGAGCCCGGCTTCCAGGGCTGGGCAGCCTTCCTCGGAAAGTGATCTTGTAGAGGTACGCCCCTCCCCTGAAAAGCAGGTGGTGAAGCTGGGTGCCTTGCCTATGACTTTAAGCCAAACTCACGGGCACTGCGTTTTGCCATAGGCCCAGGGCTCCTAAGCACCTGCTCAGGTAGCTGTAACTCCCAGCAAGAGCTGGATGTGGCCTGGGCCCCTGTGAGTCCTGACCGGCCCCTGTGACTTTTGAAGCTGTGGGTTGGTAGACGGAGCAAGAGAAGCTTCTACCCAACTGTCGAAAAGTCTGTTCTTTCCCCACTCCTGATTCTGCCCGGCTGGCAGGGGGCTTACTCAGTCCAGAAATAGACCCCTTCGCTTCTCCTCCTCAGTCCTTGCTTGCCTTGCTTGCTTTGGCCAGTTGGAAGCTTCTGACTTGGTGGCCTCCGATACTCTTCATCCGGCTTCTCCTGGATGCTCTCTCTCCGTGCCCTTCTTAAGCTCAGGAAGTCCAGGTCTTGAAAAGGGTTCTGACCCAAAATTCTGATTTTCTCAGGCTCAGCTTTCCTAGATAAATGAGTAAGTACAGAATATAATTGCAGTCTTGTTTCAAAATCTGTTTACGCAAGAGCTCCCCAGAAGCACTGCAGCTGTGTGGGTGGATGGGTGAACCACTTCTGACCCAAGCGCTCTTGGTGGAACATCCCTATTGTGAAATTGCTCTGGGAGTACAAAGGTTTGTGAGTTCGACTGCCAAGTCACTGCTGATCCAGGCAACTGTGTGAGTTGGCCCTTGAGGCAAGTTAGAGGGGGAGTCTGGACCCCACCGGGGCAGAGAGGGCGAGGGGTGCTTCCCTAGTTTGGCCCAGCTCGGGGAGCACTGAGGACCCCAGAGCTCTCCCCATTGTAGGCAGCCTTTATGCATGCCCTGTAAGTAGCCAGGGCAACGTCCCCCCCTCCACTGTGATGGAACAGCTGCTTCCTGTGAAACCTCCCCTCTGGAGTCCCAAACACTCCTCCTGCAAGTAGAGTCCCAAACACTCCTCCTGCAAGTAGAGCCACAGCTGGAGTAGGTCGGCTAAAGAGGCGGCTGACCTGCTGTCCGGCCAGGCCTGGCTGCTCCTCCTTCCCTGCTCCGTGGCTGCCGCCAGGTCTGTGCTACGGCAGAAGGCCCCCTCCTTGGTGAGCTTTGGCGAAGCATTTGATCCTTAAAAAGGGCAGCTGTTTTGAGATTGTCGGGTGGCCAGGTCTCTGCCTTGAGCCCTGCCTGCCAATTCCCTCCTCTGCACTTGGGGGAGGGGGGCATGTACGTGTGCATTATCAGGAGCCCCATCTGGGAGCCCTCCCCTGCCACTTCCTGCTCCCTCCTGGGCCTGAAATCCACCGCACGGGGGCAGCCTTGCTTAGACCTTGGCCCAGAAGCTGAAGGCAGGCATTTCCAAAAAGGGGAGGGAGGGAATGTATAGGACTGGACTGGGGGTTGGTGAGAAGTAGAGCTGGGGGAGCTGCTTGGCTCACCTGACTGCCTCACTCATGTTTCATGCTGCAGCTCTTCAGTCCTTGGCAATGAGGGAACCACCTGACAGGTGTCCCATTCTCTCCCCCCCCCCCCCCCCCCTGTGACCTTAGATAAGTCCCCCCCCCGATGCTTCCTGAGCTTCCAGAGGCAGCTTTTCAATGCCTCCCAAGCACGGAGCCCCCTCTCCTCTCGGCCTCTTGACTGTCTCTTCTTCCCTGGTGTTCCACAAATGCAGCCAAGGGGGGCTTTTGGTGGAGATTTCTCAGGTGTCCCCCCTTTGGGTGGGGAGTCTAGAAAGGAGGCCAGTGAGAGGGGAGGTGATGGTGCCTGGTATGGCTAAAGTGCCCGTGGAGAGGCTGTTTTCCCCTTCCCCAAATAGAGGCCACCAGGGAAAGATTCTTTGGGTTCCTTGCACAGCCTGGGCTTCTGTTGGCTGGAGACCAGCATGGTTGACTTTCAAAGAGTCCTGGGTCTTGCTGGCAGTGGGACTGCCTCTGAGGGCCGGCTGCTGGGGGACCTGTGGGCTTCCTGGTGCAGAACCGGCCGCTGGGTGAAGTGAGCCAGGGGCCGGATCCAGCGGTGCGAGGCTCAGGGGCCGGGCAGGGCTGCCTCAGCAGAAGTGACCCCGCTTCCCATTGCAGGTGTGGTGCCCTCTGGCCATGAATCATACGGGTTTCCGGCATGGGAGTTTCCAGGGTGGCAGCAGCAGCGATGAAGACCTGGTGGAGGTGGCCGGAGGAATGCTGGATTTCTCCATGGCGGATGATGTCCCTCCCCTGGACAGGGAGATGGCGGAAGGTAACCTGAGCCAGCTGGCGATGCTTCCCCTGGCGCCACGCGGCTCCCCTGGCTCAGCCAAGGCACGGTTGCTGTGTGGAGAGGAGGAGAGGCTGGCCGTTGGGCGGTCCACATTGAGTGCTGACCGAGTGGAAGAGAGATGCAGCCTCAGCCTGGGGAGGGGCTCACACACCTGCCTGAACAAGAAAGATCTGAGGATGGGTCGGGTGTTCCTGTCTCTTGGGCAGACTTTTAAGAAAGAGGTCACCAAATTAACGTCTGTGCTGGGGCCCATTAGCTCCACCTGAAGATTTGATGATGTTTAGGGGATCATGGCTTGCAGTAGAACTTTCCCACATTAGGCCAGTGTGACTGACACCTTTGCTTATCCCAAGCTATGATGGTGGTGTGTTTGTGTGTGCTCCCAGTTTCCCCAAAGCCGTCCGGAGTATTGCACTGAGAGAGGAGCAGGAGGCCACACCGGCTCCTCAGCTGATCCCAAACTATTGGGAATTCCCTAGATTTTATGAACAAGCGGAGAGAGGCTTTCTGCGGGACATTAAGTCAGCTTTCAGACCTTGCCTGGCGCACTGGGAGCAGAAACCTGGTGGCCGAGTTTGGCCCCGATCCTGTGTAGGAATCCACGGAAGCAGAGCTAAGCTGACTGGGCCTTTATCCCACCTGACATGGGAACAGGGTTTCTGCACCCAGGAAGCCCAAGGAAGAAAGGCCACCTCTCCACCCCACCCAATCCCCGTTTCCTGCCCTTTAGAGGGGGGCCGGGTTTTGGCAAAGAACGGGGCAGATGAAAACGTCTGCACTGACACGGGCCAGGTGTCCTCACCTCTGGTGGAAGCCGAGGCTCTTCCTCAAAGCCCCCCTGGGGCCTTCTTAGAGCCTGCATGGGCTGCACTGAAAAAGAAAGCTGGCATCTGGCAGGCAGCTTCGAGACAAGGGGGTGTCAATAGCCAGAACTTATTTTAATGAACAGAATTGTCCAGCCAGGGGCTCAGAGCTTTTCTGCAGCCCTTTTACTGCCCCCCCCCTTTCCTCTCCCGTCAAGCTGCTTAAAGATTAACTCTGCTCCTCGGAGGCACCTTTGTTCTCCCGGGACTTTGCATTCCGTCCTGTGGCGACGGAAGGAAGCAAGGAAGGAAGGAAAGCGAAGTGGCGCCTCCTGACCCCCTGCAGGTTTCTCCTCGTACAACGTAGGTGGGATGAACGGGCCGAGGCAGGTGATGGACTTCCTGCAGGAGCCGCTGCCAGGCGTGGGGACCTATGAAGATTTCAACACCATCGACTGGGTGCGGGAGAAGTCTCGGGACCGCGACCGGCACCGAGAGGTCAGTCGGACTTCCTCTGGGTGGGGACTGTGGCCAGTGGGAGGGCCGGCAAGGGGCTCTGGGCCAAGGTTTTGTTTCAAGGGGCACAGCTGGGAAGAGGCCGATCACAAGCGCTTAGGAGGCCCCGCAGAGCTGTGCTGAGCAGGGAGGGTGGGAGGGAGGAGGAGGCAGCCACCGCTCTGCTCTGCATTGTGCCTAGGGGAACTGTGGCTTCCCCCCCACCCCGGGAGCTCCCTGATCCTAGACCCAGAGGCTCCACGTGGGGGGTGGGGTGAGGGAGCCTGCCTCTAAACGCCTCCCCCTCCCCAGATCGCCAATAAAAGCAAGGAGTCCACCTGGGCCTTGGTGCACAGCGTCAGTGACGCTTTCTCAGGATGGCTGTTGATGCTGCTCATCGGCTTGTGGGCAGGTGAGGGGCCAGAGCTGCTGGGCAGAGCGGGGGTCTCGGTCAAGCCCCTCCCCTTCTATGGCAACCTTCTCTGCCCACAGGGGCGCTGGCTGGTCTGATTGACATCACTGCCCACTGGATGACGGATCTGAAGGAGGGGGTCTGCTTGAACGGCTTCTGGTACAACCACGAGCATTGCTGTTGGAACTCACCCCAGACCACCTTCCAGGACAGGGACAAATGCCCCGAGTGGAGGACCTGGGCGCAGCTGCTGACTAGCAGAGAGGAGGAGGTGCGCATCGGAGGGAGGGCACCTGTTTCACAGGGTAGTGAGCCAGCCCCGCAGGTCAGTCCAGCGATCCTCACGGGACACCCTCCTGTTTTCTCGCCCTGACAGGGAGCCCTGGGTTACATCCTGAACTACTTCCTCTACGTCCTCTGGGCACTGCTCTTCTCCTTCCTGGCTGTCTTGCTCGTCCGGGGCTTTGCTCCCTACGCCTGCGGCTCGGGGATCCCGGAGGTGAGTCTGCTGGCGACCGACTCTGGGGGCTATGGGACCCTGGCCTGCCCCCACTTCCCATGACGCCCCTCCCTCCCAGGGCTGGGTTGCTGTCCCAAGGGTTCCTGCCTGGGGTCGGCCGAGGGAGTCGAAGGACCAAAGGCTGCCTCCCACGGGGCCCTTTTGGCCTTCCAGATCAAGACCATTCTCAGCGGCTTCATCATCCGAGGCTACCTGGGCAAGTGGACGCTGCTCATCAAGACGGTCACCCTGGTGCTGGCCGTTTCGTCGGGCCTGAGCCTGGGCAAGGAGGGCCCCCTGGTTCACGTCGCCTGTTGCTGCGGCAACATCCTTTGCCACCTCTTCACCAAGTACCGGAAGAATGAAGCCAAGCGCCGGGAAGTAAGCTGGGGGGGGGAGGGGCTGCCATTCGGCCTAGGGAGCAGTCACGAGACAGAGAAGAATTGGGGGCTGCTGTTTGGCCCCCGGGCGCTGTTGATGATTGCTCTCCATTCAGGTGTTGTCGGCTGCTGCGGCCGCTGGCGTATCGGTAGCCTTTGGCGCTCCCATTGGAGGTGTCCTGTTCAGTCTGGAAGAGGTAAGGAAACCCTCCCCCGGGCCTTGCTCCGAGGACTGCCCCTGTGCAGAGCACGAGCGGGCAGCTGAGCGGGGTCCCTTCCCTCTCCCTGATGCAGGTGAGCTACTACTTCCCGCTCAAGACCCTCTGGCGCTCCTTCTTCGCTGCGCTGGTGGCGGCCTTCACCCTGCGCTCCATCAACCCCTTCGGCAACAGCCGCCTGGTGCTCTTCTACGTGGAGTTCCACAGCCCCTGGCACCTACTGGAGCTGGTGCCTTTCATCCTGCTGGGCATCTTTGGGGGGCTCTGGGGGGCCTTCTTCATCCGCAGCAACATCGCCTGGTGCAGGCGGCGCAAGACCACCAAGCTGGGCCGCTACCCGATGCTGGAGGTGCTGGTGGTGACGGCCCTGACCGCCCTGCTGGCCTTCCCCAACAAGTACACGCGCATGAGCACCAGCGAGCTGATCTCGGAGCTCTTCAACGACTGCAGCCTCCTGGACTCCTCCCAGCTCTGCGACTACCGCAGCGCCCCCAACAGCACCCAGGGGGACGACCTGCCTGACCGGGCCGCTGGGCCGGGCCTCCACGTAGCCACCTGGCAGCTGATGCTGGCTCTCCTGCTGAAGTTCTTCATCACCATCTTCACTTTCGGCATGAAGGTGTGTGTGTGTGTGGGGGGGCACAGCCGCCCTGAGATTGGCTGTTTGGGGAAGGGTGAGGGGGCTGCTGAGTATGAAACCAGGAGAGGGAGGGCGGTCGGGGGGGCTCGGGCCCTGCCCCCATCCCTCTCCAGAGCTGTGAGGCTTTTGGGTGTCTTGGGGTTGGGAATAGTCTTGACATGCAGGTAGTCCTTAACTTGTGACTGTTTAATGAGAATTCAAAGTTATGACTGCCTCATAAAACGTGACCTACGACCTCTCACAACACCCCCGCAGGAACAGTTTCAGTTTGGGCACCTGCGTTTCTGGCCAGTGCAGCCTCCGGTGGTGATTGGCAGCGCGTTCTGATTTCTGGCGTAAAACCCCCGTTGGGGGAGCTGGATTCACTTAACAACCACTATGATTCAGTAATGACCACTGTAAAAATGGTCACAACATCAGGTCTGACTCGACTTATGACCACAAGGGAAATTTCAGTTCCTGATGAAGTTGAGGCCTCTCTGCCCCTCCTCGATCCAGGGGCCACAGTGGGACAGGAGGAGGGGGGCAGGAGGGGGCCGGTCTCTGCGCAGGGCTGGCCCAGAGATGAGGTGAGGCTGCCGTTTGATGCCAGCTTCTCCTGCAGGTGCCATCGGGCCTCTTCATCCCCAGCATGGCGGTGGGGGCCATTGCGGGCCGGTTGCTGGGCGTGGGCATGGAGCAACTGGCCTATCACCATCACGACTGGCTGATCTTCAAGGGCTGGTGCAGTCCTGGCGCCGACTGCATCACCCCTGGCCTCTATGCCATGGTGGGGGCTGCTGCCTGCCTGGGTGAGTAGGAGCCCCTCCCACTGGTTGGGCACCAGGGCATTTCCAGCTGCCCCCGAGTTGCAGACCAATTGTGGCCGAAAGGGCAGCAAGCGGCTCCCTTCAGATGGAGGTAAATGTGGGGGGAAAGGACAGGGCTGCTCTCACCACCCCACCCCACCCCTCCAACAGGCCTGAGCTCTTAAAGAGGCTTTTCAGCCTGTTTGCTGTGGGCCATTGAGCTCAAGCCCAAAGCAGCCTCAGCCTTCCTGGCTAATGAACGTTAACCGTTCGGTTTCATGGTCTATTGATTTAAAGGGCTCCTTCTGGGAAGGCGATGCAGCAGGCGGATCCTCAAAACTGGTGCCAAGAAGATTGGCAGTCGCTTCTTTAGATAGTGTTTTCTTCTTGCCTTTTTCTTCTTCGCTTTTATCCCTTTGTAGTCTCTCTCTGTGTTTCTGTCGTTTTTAAATCTTTCTGCTGAAAGAAATTACCCGAATAATTTCTGGGAGTTCAGGCTCAGGAAAGGCGACCAGAGGACACGCTAGGTTGATGCTCGGAACGGGCAAGCGTCCTGCTCAACACAACCCTCTGGCTCTTGCAGGTGGAGTGACCCGCATGACCGTCTCCCTGGTGGTCATCATGTTTGAGCTGACGGGAGGGCTGGAGTACATCGTGCCCCTGATGGCGGCTGCCATGACCAGCAAGTGGGTGGCCGATGCTATCGGCCGGGAGGGCATCTACGACGCCCACATCCGCCTGAATGGCTACCCCTTTCTGGAGGCCAAGGAGGAGTTCACCCACAAGACCCTGGCCATGGATGTCATGCGCCCCCGGCGCAGCGACCCCGCCTTGACGGTGCTGACGCAGGACAGCATGACGGTGGAGGACGTGGAGGCCATCATCAATGAGACCACCTACAGCGGCTACCCTGTGGTGGTGTCCAGGGAGTCTCAGCGCCTCGTGGGCTTCGTCCTCAGGCGAGATCTGGTCATCTCCATTGGTGAGTGGGCCCAGAAGCACCCTGGCAGTGCACAGATGTGGGCGTCTCCATCTCCCGGGAGGCTGGGTGTGGGCTGTCCCCCCCAAGTTCTTACTCTCTCTTCCCCCCACCCCCCCAGAAAGTGCCCGGAAGAAGCAAGAAGGGATTGTCAGCAGCTCAGTTATTTATTTCACGGACCACTGCCCCCCACTGCCGCCCTGCTCCCCCTCCATGCTGAAGCTGCGGAACCTTCTCGACCTCAGCCCGTTCACTGTGACAGACCAAACCCCCATGGAAATCGTCGTGGACATTTTCCGAAAACTGGGGCTGCGCCAGTGCCTGGTCACACACAATGGGTGAGAAGGGGAAGGGGCCTCTGCCAAGCATCCTTCCCTTGCGTTGCTGCCCTGCTTGTTTAGGCTTAGAGTGACGGGAGGGTGGTCTTTCTCTGGAGCATTTGTACTGCAAGTCCTGCCTTTGCGTGAAGGGGGCCAGGGGGGCAACAGATTGGGGTGGCCAATGGATAAGTAGCGTCACCGCAGCTGGTGAAATGCCCCCATTCCGAGGCTCTCTCCAATGGGGCAGAACGGGGTAGGTCGCACATCCAATGAAGGGGTGAAATACTTTAGCTGGCTGGGCCCCTCCTGGTTTGGGGAGGCTCTTGGCCAAGGGTGAAATCCAGCAGGTTCTGACAGGTTCTGGAAACCGGTAGCGGAAATTTTGAGTAGTTTGGAGAACCGGCAAGTACCACCTCTGGCTGGCCCCAGAGTGGGATGGGAATGGAGATTTTGCAGTATCCTTCACTTCCCCTGCCACACCCACCAAGCCATGCCATGCCACGCCCACCAAGCCACACCCACAGAACCAGTAGTAAAAAAATCTAGATTTCACCACTGCTCTTGGCGTTTGCTTTAGGACTTCAAAATGAAAGACAGGACAACTTACTAGCAGTAATGAAAAAATATATTGTATATACAAATTATACATGGCTGATAGCAAAATGCTCCACTGCTGGAAAGGTCGGCAAGGAATTCAGGGGAGCCCAGAAGAGCAGCTCTTAAAAATGCTCCATTTGAAGCTCCTCTGCCAGGCCTGGTCAAGGCCCTCTTGCTGAGGCCAGCGGCCTGGAAGGAGCTGTCATGACCAGGAGCCTCCAGGTGGGGACACACTCTGGGCTGGGTGGAAAAGTGTTTAAGGTGTGGATGATTTAAAGCTGACCAGCCCTTTAAGACTGAGAGTGAGTCAGCAGTGTTATTGCCCTTTAAGAAGCTGCCTATATAAAGGAGGCCATTAGAGGGCGTCTCTCTTTCTTCGTGTATGGTTCTTTCTCATGTTCTACCTGTTACAGTTGCCTCTCCCTCCATCTGCTGGGGCCACAGGCAGATCCTGGGGTGTTAAAGGGCCCCATCCTGGCCAAACTGACCGCGGGGGCCAAAGGGATTCCCAGTTCTCCCCTGAGGTCAATGGCTTCTCTCTCTTTTTCAGGAAGCTGCTAGGGATTATTACCAAAAAGGACGTACTGAAGCACATAGCACAGATGGCAAACCAGGACCCAGACTCGATCTTGTTCAACTGAAGCCGGGAGGGGCCAGAGGTTTTACTCTGCCCCATGGACCTTGGCCAGAGGGACCTGAGCTTTGCCTCCCTTTATGGAGGACCCAGAGCTGTCTTCAGTTTCTCCACGTGGAGCAAGCGATAATCATGTTTTATTTTTTTCTACAAGATAACCAATTGCACTATATAATCTGTGGAACGTCTTCTTCTCTCGGGAAGGGGAGCCTGATTGTAGCCTTGTTGGGAGCTGCGCTGGGAAGGAGGTTCCACGCCAGAGTAAAAGAAACGATATAACTGAGTTGGCAGTGGCTGCTTCTTGCCTTACCCAAAGGGGGGGAGGAACCTATCTGAATTGGCATGGCGGGGCGATAGCCAGAAGATCAGTTTGGTCTGAAGCCGCCCTTCCAGCCCTAGAGTGTGGGCAGCAGAGTATTGCGTTTGCTGGCTCCTTTTCCCGCTTCTTCCCAAGTGGCACCAGATAACCTCAAGTCAACCAGCTGAGCCCCCAGGCCGCCTCCTGTTGCTGCCTCTCCTCCCAGCTGCCGCAGGAGCAGTACCTGGCCTGGGGCTGCCTGAGGGAACAGCCGCCTCCTGCCTTCAGGCGTCCCCGACTTTGGGGAGGAAGAGGCCCGGCCTGGCTGAGCAGGGTTCAAGGGTGAAGCGGAAGAAGCGCTGGGACCGGGATTGGGACAGCCGGGGTCTTATCCAGGTTCACGCACCACATTGCCAGGACTCGTGGCTGACAGCCTAGGGTGGGCGTTGTCTTTCAGAGAAGCCAGAAGAGGCCGAGGATGTCAAGTCAAGGGCTGGTGCCCTGGTTGGGCTGTGGGGCTCATGGGGTGCTTCCTGGACTGCCCTCTAGGTCAGGGGTCAGCAATCTTAAACACTCAAAGAGCCACAAAGGTCCTAACTGGAAGCCTCTTATTCAATTCTGGAGCCAATTGAAGTCCAGTTCCCCCACCATAGAGTCTCCTCCTAGCACGGTGTCCTTTTTCCTCTACCTATCCTAACTGAAAGCCTATCAATTGTGGAGCCGACTGGCGATGGAGCCGCATCAGAGGGCCGCATGGGGCTCCAGAGTTGTTGACCCCTGCTGAAGGTGATCGCCCTTCCCCGCCCTTTCAGTGTTCCTAATGACCGCCTGTTGCTTTGTGCCTCCACCCACAGAGTCTGGCTACTGAAGTAAGCCAGTCAAGGTGCATGCAGTGCATTGAACCATGCACTGACCAAGTGGGGAGGGGGGCATGCAAAATGCTAAGCCACAAATAAATGAAAGCCGGATGGAACCTGCCCCTGTTGTGGATGCAGCTCCTGCTACAACCCGGCCTGGGGAATCTCGAAACCAACCAAGACCCAAAGACCAGCCTCCCCCTGGAAGGGTTAGGGAGACGTTTGGGCTCCTGGCACAGGCACTGGTTGCTCCAGGTCAGCCAGCTCTGGCTGGGGCATGCTGAGTGCTAATGCCGCTCAGGGTTACACCCAATGTGTGTGCCAGGAGAGGTAGCGGGAAGGTGTGCCCAGTGTCTCCCTGGTGGGGCTCGTTCGCTCGCTCAGGTGACCCACTGACCTACATTCTTGTCCTGGCAAGAATTCTTGACTTGTGAAGTGGTGCTTGGTGTGTGAGCAGCTCAGCTTCCTTGAGGTACAGGAGCAGGCCGCTCAGTGCACAGATGTATGCACAGAAGGGCAGGAGGGAGTCCCACATTTCTCAGCTGGAATGATCAGAAGAGGGCAGGCAGTGGGGATGGAAGGGGGTTGCGTGTAGGGATGCAGAGGAGGAGTCTGCAGCAGGGGCATGTCCAAGAGAGCCAGAAGCTTGGCAGTTGCCAGTCGGCCTGCTCGGGTAGAGCTGGGCCCGGCTCAGCTTCAGCGTCTTCCTGGCTGCTTCAGAGATGTGGTTATAAGGGAGGCTCCCGTGAAGGGGCTCCAGTAGCCTCCCAGGTCCTGCAGAAGGCAAGAGGGCTGCGGACTCCCACTCCCTCTTCCCCATCCTGCCTTTGCCTCCAGGGTAGCTTGGCCACTACCATTAATGGGAGAGTGAAGGGTGATAATAGGGCACAGGCGTCTTCCAGTGGTTCCGGGTGGGGGGGGGGAGAGAGAGTGAGCCCCCAAAGCCAGGGCTCCCTTGGACACAGTCCCACAACGTCACACATCAAGGCGGAAGGCTCCAAAATAGCTGCCTGCCTCATCATCGTAGTTGACATCCAGTGATGAGACGGACACAAAGAGCTTGTCGCCAGCTTTGAGGTCAAAGAGGCCTCCCTGGTAAAGGGCATGGAGCCCATAGGCCGCATCCTGTTGCCAGCACTTGGTGCCCACGCCCTTCAGCAGCAGGATGGTCTGCCCATACACGCTCTGGAGATTGATGCACTGCACCAGCTGGTGGCCCAGGGAGCGGGCATCTGCCCCCTCGGTGGGGTAGCGGAAGTAAATCTGGGCATAGACGTAGTATTTGCCCGCCTGGCTCACCTGCAACTGCCCGTCCTGGTAGGTGAGGTTCTGGAGGTGGGCATGCATGGTCCTGCTGGCCCAGCGGCGGATGGGGTGCTGGCAGGACTGCTGCAGCTCAGGAAACTCCGGTCCCAGGCCTCCTGGGGTGGGGTAGAGACCCAAAACGTCACCCCAGGTGGTGGAAGAGATGCACACACAACTCTGGAGCTTTTTGGGGGGGGGGCTGTGTTCATGAGGACACCAAGGGCAAAGAGCTGAGAAAAACCCAGCAGCCGCACAGGCTTTCCAAGGATGACAGCTCACACGCAGCCAGCCAGCCTTCCTTCCCTCCCTCTTGAGTTGAGCCAGGCCCTGCCCCAGCCCCTCTCTGGGAGAAGCCCAAGGGAGGCCCAGCCAGGAAACCCCCCCCACCTCCTGCTGGCATTAAGGGAACCTGTCACCTCGTCTTTTGCCCAGCTGTAGAGAGGCAGGCATGGGAAGGGCCCAGGACTGCCTGCAAGGACCAACTGCAAAGGTCCACTTGGTGAGTGACAGCTGCTTGGATCTTGTGCAGCCCCAAGAGGCCCCCCAGCCCCCAGGACACCCCAGCCAAGGAAAAGGCCAGTTGCCTGCAGACTCACCTGGCTGGGAAGGGCTCGGCCTCCTGAGGGTGAGATGTGCCAAGGGCCGGCTGCCCAGCTGCCAGCTGGAGTTCCTCTGCTTCTGAGAGGCACTGACTAGGAAGAAAGGGGCACAGGGCAGCAGAATGAGAGAGGGAGGGGAGCTGCTTGCTCATCTCGGGGGGTGGGGGGGGCTCTGCAAACCACCTGCCCCTTAATCTGCCTCCTGACTGGTTCTCCTTCCCCTCCAATTGCTTTGCACCCCATTGGCAGACTCACCCCTCGGGGCGCTTCTTCGGATGACATTTTCAGTAATCTGGAAGGGAATGAGATGAGACTTAAGGCCAGGGTCCAGCACTCTGTCCAACGGGGGTCGTTCTGGATTCCCCCCACCCACAGGGTCAGCCTTCAAGTGGACAGGATGGGGACGGATGCCCAGCCGAAGGGGGGGGAACCGCTGCTTGGGCATATTTTGGAGAGGACTGGCCTAACCCCCCACCTCCCCTCAGCTCTCCCGGCAACCCCACCATCTGCACTCCTTGACTGGGCTCAGGACTTTGGGCTCTGGAATCCCAAAGGAGAGGCCTCTCACCATGGCAACATAGTCCTGGATGCCGAGTGCCAGCTTGAAGCACGGCTGGCTGCTCATCAGCTCCTCCAGCTCAGAGAGTTCCTGCAGCCTGTTGAGCAGCTGGAGGCACCTCAGCTCCTCCGAGGTGCCCTGCGTTTGGGCCTTTAGCTAGGAAGGAAAGATGGAAGGGTCAGCTGGGGGGTCCCAGCAACTGGGCGGTGGGGGAAAGGTGGCTTCCCACTGCTCTGTCCACTCGGGCAGGTGGCCTCCAGGCTTCCTGAAAGATTCCCTGCCACATTTGCTATGAGGATGTCCATTTAAGGACATGGCAGAGATCTTTGCTCACCAGGCTTGGCATTAGGTTGTGGCCCTGGAAATGGCAAAGGATTCAGGGGAACAGGACACCTGGGGGCCTCCCTCCCTTTGCCATGAATTCCCCCCCCAAGCCCACAGCAGATGGAAAAGGCTGTTTCGTTAAGCCAAAGGGGCAAGCCTGGCCCAAAAGCCCCAAGGTGACTCACTCTAGCTGGCATGCTGGGCGCCCAGCCTGAGACCAGGAACTGGGCCAGGTGTTGCAAAATCAGCACCAGTTGTAAACTGCACACACAATTGCTGCTGGGCTCTGGCGATGCCAGTCAGCACATATCCTGAGCCAGAGCTCCCGCGGGACCCCCCCCAAAAGAGCTCGCTCAAAGAAAGGTAAGGAGCACCCAGCAGCCTTTGCCCACCAGTGTTTTTTCGCTACTGCAGGATGCTTCTAATCCTTTTGCGGATGTGGGGCTCACGTTTAACCCCCGAGTGTCCTGAAGTGCCCCAACCCCAGCCAACCACGAATGCTGTTCCTGCTTCTGCCTGGGGGAAACGCCCCCCTTATCTGCAGCATCGACTTAGCTGACTAGCAAGGCTAGGGGTGCTGAAGAGTCACAGACAAGACGGGGGTGGGGGGCTTTGCGCTTTGCTGTGAGGAGCACATCCGAGAGGCTTTCTGGGCAGCACAGGCTCCCTGGGTGTTTTTGCAACCTGAAAAGATTTGGCATAGCAATTAAGAGAAAATGAAAGCCAAACTAAGCCTGTGAGTTGCTCAATTCAGGAAACTTTGGCCACACCCATCCTTCCCTTATGGCAAAACAAGCAGATGCATGCAAAGCCCTTTCTCCCAAGAGCTAGCAGGACTGAGGGCTGGGCAGAGAAGGCCTGCGAGAGTTGTAACTTGTAAACATTGTGAGCAAAGGGCCCGTGAAACTGGCCCACAGCACAACCGCTCTGTAAGACGCCTCTCCTTGCACGGCCTTCTAGTTGGGGTCCAGGGCAACGGTGCAAGCCCCAAATGTCAAAGGGAAAGGGGTGTACATTGGCAGATACCCCCCTCCAGCCCTGGGCAACTTTCTGTTTTGGAAGGTCTATAAAAGTTGTAAGGGCAGATTCCAAGAAGTGACAAGGAAGTGCCTTTCCTGGCTAAGTTAATTATTAGACTGAAAGTTTACCTCCAAGTCAGGACAAGACCTTGAGGGCCCAGCACAGTGGCCATATGCTGACCCCTTGACTCAAGAGGAAGGCTGGCTTCTGGCCTCCTGCTTGCCCCTCTGAAAATCACGGAGCCCCATTCAGGTCTTCTGATGTTCTGGGCCAAGCATCTGATTGAAGTGAGGTCCTAAGTGTCCCTCAGTCCCCCACAAGGAGGCTACAGTGAATGCTAGCCCTGCCCCTCAATAGTCCTCCGGCTAATGCTCCTCCAGGCTCTCAAGAACCAGGACTGGTCTGCTCCTCCAAGCAGTGGAAACCCCACAGCATTAACCAGTGGAGAAGTGAGCAGAAGCAGCTCAGACCCTCCCTCTTGGCGGAGCTGGAGAACCCCCTTCCCCCCCCCCCGCTCCTTCTCCAGCCAGGGTGGTGGGTTTGTGTTGCTACAGGACTAGGCCAAGTCTCTCTTGTAAATACTTTTGCCCTGGACCCCACACCCCTGTTCCTTCCAGCAACCAAGGCTCAGACGAGGAGCAGATCACGGAGGAGGGATTGTGCAAAGCCCGATCTACAATCTCCTCCGCTCCTTATCTTTGCCCTTGGGGGCATCAGGCCCCTGGCCACAGCCCACTTGCCCTCTGATTAGCTCAGAGATGTGGAACAGATTGGGGGAGGGGGCAACTAGGCAATCGGAGCATGGCAGGGGTCCGGAATGAGCATCCTGAGCAAATGGGCTGCAGGAACAAATCCCGCAATGGAAACACAGCGCATTTGGCTTCCTGTTCCAGTCAAATTCGGATTTTTTCCCTCTCATATTCACTTGAAATCTGCTTTCCTATAAATTCAATCTGTTGGTATTCCGTCTCTCCCACAGGTCTGTTCCTTCTCCCTGTGACCTCTCTCAAGCCCCTCTCCACCCCCAGGCACTGTTTCTCTCAGCACTGAACATACCAGATCCTCTCTGCCCCACGCCTGCAAGCCGAGGGGAGGAGGCTCCAACAAGGCAGAATGCATGAAGCAGCTGCCTGACGTCACTGGAAATTACATTTCTCTATTAAACCAATGCTTTTCCTTCTTTTTTTCTTTTCTTTTCTTCTCTTTTCTTTCCAGCCACGTCACCCGGCTAGCTTACATTCAGCTGGCAACCTGCTACTTGCTCCCCAGCTACATGTTGCATTTCATTTTTGTTTCCCAAACAAAACCAATTGGGTCTTCTCTGAGTCCCTTTCCCTCTCTTGCTTTGCTAAGCCCTCAGGATCATTTCTGGGCTATTCAGTAGCTCCCTGGAGCCGCAGATTTGATCAGCACCTTCCAAATCGTTAGCAAAAGCTACTGAGCAGGATTGGAGCAGTTCTTCCTGCAGTGGAGGTGTTCCCCCTTAGTCCTCAGGCCACCCAGGCGCACTTCAGAGAGGGGAACCCCTTTCCAGAGATGCGTACACCAAAGGCGCCAAAGTTGCTCTGGCCAGAGCTCCCGGCTGCCGTCCGCTTCCTGCCATAGAACGACTCGTAGGTCGTAACTCTAAATGCTTCTCTAGGACGGATGTCCGGAAACTCTCGGGACAAAAGTCGAAACCTCCTCCTCCTCCTCCTCCTCCTCCTCCTGCGCGCCATCCTCTCCTGCGGCCGCCCAGAGACTCTTTGGGGCTCCCTTGGCGACTGCTCGCCTCCCGCCCGCTCGGTCGCGCTGCACTTTCCCCCCGAGGCCGTCCCGCACAGCGGGCAAAGGGCGTCCTCGGGCCTCCTTTGTTCCGCCGCTGGCCGGCCTACCTTGGCGATGGACATGGTGAAGTAGACGAAGAGGCCGGTGGCCGAGGCGATCTGCAGCGCCACGATGCCCATGGCGGCCACGGCCAGCCAGACCGGGCTGCAGCGCTGGCGGCGGCGGCGCTTCTCGGGTTGGGCGGGCGGCTCGGGCTCGGAGCCGCTCGGGCTGCCCAGCATGTAGGCGGCCGAGTCGCTGCTGTCCGAGCGAAAGTACTGCTGGCCCGCCGGGGCCGCCGCTGGAGCCATGCGGGGAACGGGCGGGGAAGGCGCGAGCGCAGCTGCCGGCCACGGAGGCGCTCGCCCGGCGGCCCAGGGGCGTCTGCGCTCGCGGCTGCTCCCTCCGCAGGGCGCGGGGAGCGCTTGGGGGCGGCCGGCCGGGTCCGCCTCCTTGGCAGCGTGCGGAGGGCGGGGCGGGCGAAGGGCTGGCCGGCGGATAAACAAAGCGGTCCGCCTCTCCCCCGGTGCCCCTCGGGGTGGGGGCGGGGAGGAGCGGCCTGCGGAGGCTCTCGGAGCCCAAACGAGGACGATTTTACATGCCCCTCTCTTGGATTCCTTTCTTCATTTATCAGATGGCTACATTATTATTGTCACTTGGACTCCACATTGTCTTTTCTTTCTTCAACAGCGCAAAAGCAATCTGGGGCTTAAAATCACGGTCATTGGCACTGCTAATATTTTCATATATACATATACATATACATATACATATATATAAGTTTTTTATTATTTTTTTAAAACAAACAAACACATAATACATCAATCCTTCTCAGTGTTTCTTCCATGACTTCTTCTTTTTATTCCTCCTCCTATCTTCATTTCTTCCCTAATAATTTCTATTTCTGTGTTACAATATTTATAACATTCTCCTTATTTAATTATCACAATCTTTTCTAACCAATCATAAAATTTCCCCCGTATTTTATAATAATCCGTATTCTCTCTCTCTCTTTAATCATCAAAGTTAATCTATTCATTTCTGCACAATCTAAGATTTTTTTGATTACTTCTCCTTCCAAAGGGATTTTCTCTGCTTTCCATCTTTGCGCAAATGCTATCCTCGCTGCAGTTATTATATGTATAATCAAGTATATATTTTCTTTACTAATTTTTTCTGGTAGTATACCTAATAGGAACAGCTCAGGTCTTAAATCAATGTGTTGTTGGATCATTTCTTCTAACCATGTCTTAATTCTGCTTCAATAATCTCTAGCTTCTGGGCATGTCCACCACATATGATAATAAGATCCTGGTATTTGATGGCATTTCCAACATTTAGCTGATTTGTCTTTAAACATTTTTTGCTAATTTTTCTGGAGGCATATCCCATCTATAAAACATTTTACATCTTTATATGCAGTGGACATTATTAATTTATAGTTCTTTTCCCATAACTGTTGCCATCTTTTGAGCTCAATTGAAGATCCACAATTTTTTGCCCAAGCAACCATTGTTTCTTTTACTTGTTCTTCCTCTAATTTCATACTAAGCAGAAAACTATAGATTTTTAAAAATTATTTTATCCTCTGTTCCCATGAGTATCTTATCCAAATCTGTCATTTCTAAATAAGAACCATATGATTTTGCATCTTTTTCATATCTTGCTTGTATTTGCAGATGCGTATACTAGTCCATCACAATCCCTTGTTCTTCCTTTTCTTGTTTCCCTTTCAATTCCCCTTTGTCTGTAAGTAAATCTTTATATCTAAAAATATTTCCAAAATTAACCATATTTGGGTGTATCAATGCTTCCATTGTTGATAACCATATTGGAATTTTCACGTAGTATTTATCTCTAACCTTCTCCCATACGAATAACAATGCATTTCTTACATAATGTCTATGAAAATACGTATGTATCTTACTTCTACCATACCATAAAAATGCATGCCATCCCAATTGCAAATCATGTCCTTCCAGAGTTAATAATCTTATATTTCTCAATGTAATCCATTCTTTCGTCCATGTCAATGCTGCTGCCTGGTAATGTAATTCCCAATTTGGCAGTCCAAATCCTCCCCTTATTCTTGCATCTTGTAGCATCTTTATATTAATTCTTGCCTTTTTTCCCTGCCATATAAACTTCCTCATTATCTTGTTGAGGTATTGAAAATAAATCTTTTTAATTTTTATAGGAATTGTCTGGAATAAAAACAATAACCTCGGTAATATATTCATCTTAATTATTGCTATTTTTCCCATGATAGTTGCAAAGTTTTCCATTTTTCCAAATCTTTCTCAATTTGTCTTTTTAAATTATAATAATTATCCTCTTTTATTGTTACACATCTTGAAGTTACTTGTATTCCTAAGTATCTCACTTTTTTCACAATTTGTATATCCAATTTTTCCCTTAATTCTCTTTTTTGTTTTTCTGTAATATTTTTACCAATATTTTTTGTTTTTTCTCTTTATTTTTAAACCTGCTACCTCTCCATATTCCTCTATATGTTCTATAGGTCCTATTTTTGGGGGTTCTTCCAAAATAAAAACTAAATCATCCTCAAGCCCTTGTAATTTATATTCCTCTTTTTTAATTTTCATCCCTTTTACTTCTTCATCTTGTCTTATATTTCTATTTGTACTTCTAGAATCAATATAAATAAAAATGGGGATAATGGACATCCTTGCCTTGTTCCTTTCGTTGTTTTAACTTTTTCTGTCATCTCTCCATTCATCATTATCTTAGCTGATTGTTTATCATATATTGTTTATATAGTATTTCATAAATCTCTCCCCTTCATAAGAGACGTTTCCTCCCTTTTGTGGTCATTCTGGTATTAATGCTGTTCTTTCACAATGATAAATAGTTATTTGCAAATGTGTTTAGGTCTTCAAATAGTTACAATCAGTGGATATTAACAATCAAGCCCTGCGAAAATCATTTAAAAGGAAAAAGAATGATTCTTCTCCTTGGTTGTTGTTTCTCCATCCTGTGTTACCAGCCTCAGTGGGGGGGGGGCTTCTGCTCCCCTCCCTTGGGCTACGCAGTGAAACCACAGCCATTCTGCTGATCCTAACAAAGCCTGACTTGCAGGAAGCTCAACATCTGGAGTAGGGCTCTTTCCCAGTATAAAATCTGCCTTTGGAACAGAACACTTTTGGAGGGGGGAGGGGTTTTTTTGCAAAAAAATATACTTTCCTGTCATGTCAGTAGAACCGGTCCAAAAGTATCAGCAGTGCCAGATCACAGAGAAGGTCATTGTTTTAAAAAACCATTCCACCCCTGCAGTCACCTACACATCTAATAGGGCTGTGTGGGTAAGTCTCCCCTCCGCAGACCTTCCTTTTGCTCTTGGGAGGGAGGCTGGAATTCCCTGCTTCACCTGCCTGAACTTGCAGGGCCTTCGGGGATTCTGCTCTGGGGCCGAGGGGCGGAAGACAGCCGGCTTTTCCAGCCAGGCCAAGTGGAGCTTCCCACACACTGCCAGGAAGCCGCCAGCTCAGGGCTGCCTGCGCATTTCTGGGAAGAAGTGCAGAGTCTGTAGAGGCAAAACTGTCCCAGTCCCAAAAGTTTTCAATAAATGTTTTCTTCTTGGGGAAAAACCACAAAAGCAATTTCATTCCATTGTCATCCTGAAGTGCAGTGAATGTGTGTGTGGGAGGGGAAGGGGGGGGGGGCTCTCAAGAATCCAATGTGATTTGCAGCAAGACTGCTGGGCACTTGTGAACAGAACCGCAGGGCTATTCTTGGCGCCTGGGCTAACCTATCAGTCCTCCCAGTAGCCTTGAACCTGCCCAGGAAGGTTGAACATAGATCCCATCTGTCTCTTGTGGTTTCAAAGCACCCAGAGCCCCGAGGGTTTCATGTCCAGGGCTGTGTATAAGCAGCAGGCGAGGGGCAGCAATAGAGAGCCCAGGAGTCATTTTGCTCTCGGCCCATCAGGGTAAAAGGGGCAGGCCGAGGCAGAAGGCAAGGCAGAGCAGCCCCATCATCCTGATTCTTCATGGGACACAGAGTCCCAGCCCAGGTCATAGAGGCAGCACTTCACTTGGGCAAAGAGAGCTGCTGTCTCAGCCACCCTTTCCTCCTATCAGGAGGAGAAAAACCACTCCGCTTGCGAGGAAAGTTACTTTAAGTCTGACTTGACAAATCTCTGGGAGGGGCTCCCCATCTGCTCAGGGAGGCCTTGGCAAGAGGGAGCAGGACCCTAGGTGCTGTCTGGCTGTGGAGGAAGAGAGGCCCCCAGGATGCGGCTGGCTGGCGTGTCTGGCCTGGCCATCTCTCCACTAACAAAAAAACGCTTGCGTAAGGCAGTCTGGAATGCAAGGAGGCCATTATTTGATCCAGATGTTTGGCCACTTTGCTCCCCCAAGGAGGGGTTTAGCAGATGCTTCCACTCATCAGAGCCAAAGTCCAGCCCAAAAGAGAAAGTAGAGCCTTCCCCGGTTGCCTGGGAGGTCTGAAGGAGGAGACCCCTCCTCCAGCCCCAACTCAACAAAGTACATGTAGAAGAACGGCAGAAAAGAAAAGAATAGAATTTTTTATTGGCTAAGTGTGATTGGACACACAAGGGATTTGTTCCTGGTGCATAGGCTCTCAGTGTACATAAAAGAAAAGATACGTTCATAAAGAATCATAAGGTACAACACTTAGTGATAGTCATAGGGCAGTGGTGGGTTTCAATTTTTTTTAACTAAAGGTTTGGTGGGTGTGGCTTGGTGGGCGTGGCTTGGTGTGAGTAGCAGGGGAAGGATACTCCATTTCCTCCTGATCAGCTGGGATTCGGGAGCCAGAGAATAGATGGGGGCGGGGCCAGTCAGAATTTTTACTACCAGTTCTCCAAACTACTCAAAATTTCCACTACCGGTTCTCCAGAACTGGTCAGAACCTGCTGAAACCCACCTCTGTCATAGGGTACAAATAAGCAATCAGGAAACAATCAATATCAATATAAATCATAAGGATACAAGCAACAATAGAGCCTTGGTAGCACAGTGGACTAAAGCACTGTTATTAACATCTGCTGCTTGCAATTACTGCAAGTTCAAATGTCACCAGGCTTAAGGTTGACTCAGCCTTCCATCCTTTCTAAGGTAGGTAAAATGAGGACCCAGATTGTGGGGGCAATAAGCTGACTTTGTATAAATATACAAAAGTATGAAGGCTATTGCTTAACGCATTGTAAACCGTCCTGAGTCTCCGGAGAAGGGCGGCATATAAATTAAAGCAAAAAACAAACAAACAAACAAACAAAAAAATAAAACAAAGTCACAGTCCTACAGTCATAAATGGAAGGAGATGGGTGGTGGGAATGATGAGAAGATTAATAGTAGTGCAGACTTAGTGAATAGTTTGATAGTGTTGAGGGAATTAGTTGTTTAGCAGAATGATGGCATTCGGGAAAAAACTGTTCTTGTGTCTAGTTGTTCTGGTGTGCAGTGCTCTATAGTGTCATTTTGAGGGTAGGAGTTGAAACAGTTTATGTCCAGGCTGTGAGGGCTCCGAGGCCTGGCAATGGGAGCCTCCCCCCCATGTCTGGATCAAGTTGGGTCCCTCTGCAGAAGACAAAGGAGGTGGCCAGATTGGGTGCCCCCTTTATCTTCTGTGGGAAGCCACATAAATCCAGCTGCCTCTGCATGAAGCTATTCCAGCCCAGTCACTGGGACATTTCCAGAAGTGCTGACCCATCGCGCCTTCCTCTGGTTCGTGAGGCGGCACTCAGTGCTGAGGTCAAGAGGACCCAAGCAACTGCCTTGGGGGGGGGCACATGAGGTTGTGGGGGTAGCCATTAGAATAAGGGGACTCCTTGAGGGTCTCTATTGCTTGGTCTTCTCTTCCTCAGCAAACACCAACTGATAAGGAGCCAATGGCTCCTTATTGCAACCTGCAACTGGGCTTTTTTCTCCAGTTGGCCTTACTGGCTCAGAGGTTTATGATTCCTACACCCACTCATCCCCATTTATTGGAAAGCCTAGGCACATCCCTTTGGCCCCTAGACTGGTCTGGGTAGGAAAGCTGTTCAGCCTCCATCCCAGTGGTGAAATCTAAAATTTGTTACTCCCGGTTCTGTGGGTGTGGCTTGATGGGCGTGGTGGTAATGTGACTGGGTGGCATGGCCAATTTTTTTTTTTTACTTTTAAAACCATTTTTTTCTACAACCTCTTCGGTAAAGAGGTTGTTAAAAAATGCTTTGAAAAGGCTCTGATGATCCCAGCTGAATTGCCTGATCGGCAGAGACTATTTTTCTTTTAAAAGCCTCTGCCAATCAGGCAACTCAGCTGGGATCGTCAAGAAGCTTTTAAAGGCATTTTTTCTACAATCTCTGAAGACGTTGTAGAAAAAATGCTTTTAAAAGCCTTTGACGATCCCAGCTGAGCCGCACGATCATCAGAGGCTTTTTTTTTAACTTTTAAAAGCATTTTTTTCAGCCGAAGAGGGCTCAGTGGGGCATGGGGGGTGGGCAGGGATTTTTGCTACCGGTTCTCCGAACCACCAGCCTCCATCGCTACCGGATCAGATGATCCAGTCTGAACTGGAGTATTTTACCCCTGCTCCATCCCCTTTCATCTTCAGAGAGGCTCCTCCTGTCCACTCCAAGGCAGTTTTGAGAGAAGCACCCCCACCTCTCTGTGGGAGGATAGAGTCAGTAGGGGCAACTGCTTAGATCTGCTCTGAAGGCCACTTTGCAGGACTTGGCCAGTTGCCCTCCTGCATCAGAACCACTCAGCAAGATGGCTGAAAGGTTGAAATAGTTAGCTCAGCAAAACTGGGAAAGAGCTTTCGAAGCACTTCATGGGGTGCAGGCTGAGTCTGATACACACACACACACACTGGGGGCCACATTCAAAATCATTTCCATTGCAACTGAGTTCCACAACTGCAACTGTTCTGGGAAGGCAAGCAACCTTGTCATCCAATCAAGGTGGCCGTGAAAGACCACTTGGAAGTTTTGGGTGGTTTGGCAGAGATAGTCTTCCCCAGAAGGTGGCAATTCCCTCCTTTCTTTTCTTCTTCATTTTCCAGTCTGTCAAATCTCACCAATCTGGTTGGTTCACAAGGCTAGCAAGAGGGCACCTGATGGGTGGTTGAGATCCAATCAGAAAATGTACTCCATCTCTTTTAGGATGGAGGCACAGCACACATACTTTTAAAATGAGTAACATGAGAGAAGGCTATTACTGGGCTAATCCTCGCCTGGATTGCCGGGCGCTGAAGAGAAAATCTTCCCTGGGAAGGGAAAAGGAAACAGCCCCGTGGAGATCTGCACAGGCCGGCCGCAGCGCTGGGCTGCTCTGATGGACCCTGCTAACCACGTTGGGCTTCCTGCCTTCTTGTTAATGTTTTGCGGATTCAAAACAGATCCACCTTGTCTGCATCCTGGCTGGGTGAGGGAGATAGGAAAGAGGATAAATCTTTCTCTCCCTCCTAAGCGCACTTGGCCTGGCAATGCCCCACAGAGCGACCCGTTCCTTACTCTCTCTGCCCCAGGCGGCTCAGGCCTTGACTTTAAAGGACACCCCCAGGAAAGGCCTTTCTAGGCTTCGCTTGTGGCTTGCTCCGAACCAATCCGATGTCATCCTGACCTGACCCAGGGCACTTTATCATCTACCGGGAAGAAAGTCTGGCTCCAGGGCTACGGGAGAAGGATCCTTTTCCTTCTCCAGAAACGAAAACAAAATTTGTTTGCAGCCCAGCGGAACGTTAAGAGGGCGGAGATGCTGTTTTGGAATAATCCTGCACATGTTGCTGAAGAGCTGGGCTGACGGGCACCCAGGAACCTTCAACATGTTACGAAACCTTCAAGGGTATTTTTGCATCCTAATCAGGAAGTCTGGGTGAAAAACCAAACCCAACAGCAACAACATTGTTGTGTTTTGACAATGCGAGACTGCAGAATTCCTCCTCTGGCGCTTCTGACCGCCCGGCAAGGCGGAAAGCCAGCGCTCAACAGCGCCGCCCCGCGCGGGGGCTGCCGCCAGGGCGAACCGTCCTCCTCTTCCTCCCGGTTGGCTCCGGCGCGCGACTCCTGCGGGGGACGCGGGGCGCCGGCGGCTTTCCAGGGGCAGCCGCGGCTCCAACGGGCGGAGCGCAGAGGCTGGTTCCCCGTCTGCCCTGGCCGGAAGGGAGCCGCTGCTGGACGACGCGAGCGCCTCCCAGGCAGCAGAGCCGAGCCGAGCCGAGCCGAGCCGGGCCTGGCCGCCTCCGCCGACCGGTGCGGGCTCCCAGACCCCCGAGCTTGGCGCTGGGACTTTCGGGGCTCCTGGCCCTTTAAGGCCAGGGCCCTTCCGCCCCCTTCTCGGCCAATCCCACTATTCCGTTCCCTGGGGGCCCCGCCTCTTTAGGGCAAGAGCTAGATGGGCCTCCCCTTCCCCATTGGCTGCTAGGCTCCGTTTTTTAAAAAACCCTTAGGCCCCGCCCTTAGCAACTGCATTCTCTCCCGCTCCGGGATTGGCTGCCGCGGGGCCAATGATGTCCGCTCTTTACAAATGTAGCAATTTTCAAATCCGCATTTTGTGCAGCGAAGAAAAAGGAGGAGGAGGAGGAGGAGAAGAAAGAGGCGGCGGCGGCGGCGAATTTTCGCAGCGGCTTCAGCTCCAGGTGAGTTTTGCTGGGGAGACCAGAAGGGGCGCCTTCAGCCGGCGGGAGCCCTCCGTCTCCACCTCCCTGACCACCGCCACGCGGCTGGGCCTCGGATGGTCAGGCCGGGTCCCGGATCTCCTCCCTTAGCCCACCGAGAGGAGGTGCCCGGAGGTCGTCTGCCCCGCCTCGGGGCTTCCAGCTCCCACTGAAATAGCCCGTCGGGAGAAGCGAGGGCGAAATTCCTTGTCAGAGGTGCTCGCGGGGAGGAGGAGCAGCGCTTCCTGTCCCAGCCCGTTTCTCTCCCCTTCTGCAGCCCTGAAACGGGAGGCCCTCAGCTGGAAGGATGCCCCCTGCGCGATCCTCCAAGGGCTTGGGTAGCAAGCAGGTCCGATCCGGCCGAGGAGCAGGGGTGGAAAATGTGCAAGCGGACAAGGTGAGCTAGAGTCCACCCAGCCAAGAGGTGCACCAATCGCACACGTGTGTGTGCCTGCTTGAGTGCACGTGTCGGGTCGAATTCAATCCCTGCAAAAGGAACTGGGGCACTCCGTGGAGAGGAAATCTGCCTTTAGCCTCAGGTGGCATATTTTCTCTGAAGAGGCTGGGCAGCTGTGCTTACCCAGATGACTGAGTATGCCCAGAGGAGAGCCAGGCACTGCACTGAGTGGCCTCCCCGTTCCTCTTTGATTCTAGGAGGAGATTTCTCAGGTGAAACGATCCCCCTCGTCACCCCAGGGGGCACCCAGGAAGCGATCGGCCTTTGGCGATATCACCAATGTAAGAAGCATGGGTTCTTGTGCATTGCCTGTGGTCTGCTGTCCCTTGCCAGCTTTCCCTGCCTTTGATGGCTCACCAGTTCTGGGATGTGAATTCCAAGCGAGCACCCGCTGGGTCTGGGGCGGTGCTGAGCAGCTCCTCCTGGTCTCCCCCTTACAGGCTCACAAGGCCCAGGGCTTTGTGGGGAAGAAGGAGCCGGAGAAGATGATTCCCAAGAAGGCCTCCAAAGGATCCACTGCGCTGAATGTGGCCAAGAACAATGAGACCAACCTGAAGAAGTGAGGGCTATGCTGCTGCCTCTTCTGCCCATGTGACTTTCCTGGGTGGGCCAATGTCCCCATGGCATCCTTTGGTCTCTGGTGGCTTCAAGGTGCATTTGTACAAGGATGGCAACTTCAGTGCCCTCTTTGAACAAAAGCCATGCTGGCACAGCTGCCATTCTGTTCTCGCCAGTCTGGACGCGACCCCAAAGCTCTCACCTTGAACTTTGGCAGAACTTGATTGGCTGTGCCAGCAAGTTTCCAGTGTGGTGTTAATTGAAGGCTAGGAAAATGGGAATGCCGGGGATTCTCCAATTCCTGCCAGTCTGGGCGTTGCCTCCAACCGGCCCCAATTTCTAACCCCAGCTGCCTCTTTCAGGTCCCTGGACAAAGCATCCTCTGAGGACAGTCCGGCTAAGCTGAGCCATGTGGTCAACAGTGGCCTCAGACAGGAGCAGGTCGACCCGCTGGTAGTGGTGGTATCACCAGCAGAACTGGTAGGGAAGCAGTGCATTTGTGGGTCCCTCTGGCACGGCCTGCCTCTGGGGCACATGGCTCTCCTGCAGGCCATAGTCCTGGTACCTCGGGCACAGGGCTCATGCTGTCATCCCTGAGTGACCCCGGGACTACATTGGCAGCCCGAGACTCACTCTTTGCCTTGTGGCTGACCCAGGAAATGGGGGTGGGGTGGGGAGTGGACGCTTGTGGAGGGCAGGGTATTAGGGGCTGCATGCCAAGGGCTCCCCTCCATTTTAGGGCCAAGGCGGGTCCTGTCCCCCCATTCCCCACCCCAGGCAGGGCAACCTTTAAAGAAATCTCTCTTATCCAGGTGGCTCCAGCTGAGGACATCGACAAGGGGCAGCTGGACGACCCCTATGCCAATGCCGAATATGCCAAGGACATCTTCGAGTACATGCAGGAGCGAGAGGTGCCTGCCGGTGGCCAGGGGAGGGCTCCCCTTCCTCTACCGCTCCAGACTCAGTTCCACTGGTCCTGGCCGGAGAAAAGAGAGGAGCAGGGGACGTTGACGTGAAAGCTCACTGTGGCCTCTCGCCCTCCGAGCCAGCTTGAGCAGAGGGGCTTCTGGTGCTGCTTCCTGGGGATTTTCCTTCCCCTCCCTCAGCAACACCCTCCTTTTTCAGAAGAGTTTCCTGCTCCCAGACTACATGAAGAGCCAGCCGGACATCACCATGGACATGCGGGCCATCCTGGTGGACTGGATGGTGGAGGTGCAGGTGAGAGTGAGAGAGAGAGAGAGCCTGCAGGAGGAGGGCTGGGTGGCAATGGACAAAATGAGCCTTGCGCAAGGCCGTTGTGTGGTTGTGGCTAGTAGGAGGGGTGCCTGTCAGAGTTTGTTGCAGAAATCAAATCCAGAAAGCACACACAGGTAAACTGATTCAGCAGGTTTCATTCACTTCTTTATATACATAATAATACATGTTGGAAATGATTCTGCACAAAAAAACTTGGATCGGTAAGAAAAGAAGTTTATTTATCCAAAATAAAATAAAAAAGGCAGTTTGCAAAGTGCGGTGGGTCTTGGCAGGAAACTTAAACAGTTTACAGTTGGCGCAAATACCTCATCATAGTGCACATTTTTCATCTGTGAAAAACTTTGTGCCACTAATCTTGCTTTATATTGTACCTCATTATTAGGTAGTACTTTCTTTTTGTATACCCATTTGCATCCTACAGCTTTGCTACCCTGTGGCAAAGCCATAGATGTGAACACTTTATGTTCATCCATGGATTTCATTTCCTTGTCCATGGCTTCTTTTCATTTTATTTGTTCCATTTTGAGTAATTCCAATACTTCCTTATATTTTCTTGGCTCATACCATACATTACACACCTTTACTTTACTAGCAGAATACCTGTCAGGTGGAATCCCCTTGTTCCATCGCTCTGACCTGCCTGGCATCGACTGCTCCTGTGCTTCAACCCTCTCTTGCTTCATATCTTTTTCAGCTTCTCCTCCCTGAACGCTGACACCATCACTAAGTGAGTTACCATCACTAAGCGGATCACCATCACTAAGTAAATCACTGTCACTAAGTGGATCATTCCATAAATTTGCATCAATTCTGTTCCAATTTTGCTCTGCAAAGCTATCAGATCTGGAAATCACTATCGTTTTGCTCCCATCACTAAAGCGATAGTTTTTTGAACCTGGCTCATAGGCCATAAACCTGAGCTTTCTAGTCTTTGGTTCTCCCTTTCTTCTAACTGCTTTTGCAATATGTACCCACGCACTGCTTCCAAAAACCCTTAAATGTGCCAGAGATGGTTTTCTCCCATATAGCATTGCATATGGAGTATCATTAATAGAAGAACTCCGCAGCCTATTAATGAAATAGTTAGCTGTCAACATGGCTTCGCTCCAGTATGACCTGCTCAGACCAGAATCCTCCAACAGTGAGTTCTTCATGGTGTGTAAGACTCCATTCCGTCTCTCAACTACACCATTCTCAGCTGCTGTGTACAGATTTGTGCGTCTGTGTTTTATGCCTAACTGTCCCAACCACTGTTGAAAACTTGTTGACATGAATTCTTAACCTTTGTCAGTTTGCAACTGACATACCTGTTGTTTATACCTTCTTTCTATGAAGCTTACACATTGCTTAATTTTTTTTTATAAATATTTTTTATTTTTATTTCTCATAAAACACATAAATGTACAATCTCTTTGACCATTCTTATCACACATATTATCTTTTGGTTTCCAATCATTGCTGAAATTTCTGTAGCATCTCTATTTTACTCTTTAGTAAATAGCAGAACCCAAACCTGCTGTGGTCATCTACAATGACCAGCGCATACTTTGCTCCTCCCAAATTGGCTTGCATTGGCCCAACCAAATCTGCATGTACCAGCTCTAGAGCTCTTGTGGTCTGCCGTGTGCTCCACTTACTTACTGGGAATGCTTTGGACTTTGATGCTTTACATACTGCACAATCCAAATATGCTTTACATCCATTTAAATTTAACCCTTCTCCAAACTGTTCCATCTTTTGCAAAACTCTGAAGCTGTCATGGCCAAGCTTTCTGTGCAAGAAATGAACAGTTGAATCATGTGGTGTTTCATTTGCAAATGTTTGGGCACATTGAACCCTTTGTCCTTGCAACACGTAAAGATTATCCTCTTTTATGCCCTGTGCACATACATTCCCATTTCTCTTTATGAGACACTTCCCATTTGCAAATGTGGCCTCAAATCCTTGCTTGTCTAAACTAGAGACACTCGGCAAATTAAGCTCCATTTCAGGCACACATAATACATCATTAAACCTCTTTTCCAGATATGGAATTTGCACACTGCCTCTTCCAATGACCTTAGCCTTCTGGCCATTTGCCAAGGCTACTGCATCTCCAGCAGCTGAATCCATCCTGTAAAACAATTTAGAATTATTAACAATTGTTTGACTTGCCCTACTGTCTATCAACCATTTGTCTCTGCTATTGCAACACCAACCTGTCCATCTTGCAATTTTCCTTGTAAACAACTTTTCCTTTGCAAACTCTTCCTTTAAATGTGTTCTTTCACTACAAATGAAGCACCGCCTCTGGTGCTGGGCTGTAATCTGATATCTTCTACTGCTACATTTATTTTTTTTCAAAATTTTTTATTTTTATTTCTCAAACACATTTACATTTACAGTCATTTATTTAACATTTTTCATTCATCTTATCTTTTCACTTTCACTTTCACTTTTTACTTTTTCAGGACTGCTACATTTCTCTTTGGAGACATCCAGTCTTTTTTTCTCTGCTCTTTGGGCCCCCACCTCAGGAATTCCTCCTCATGGCTCTTTTTATAATGGCATTTGTTCTCCTCAGCAATCAAACAAGCTTTTAAAGCCTCCAAACGCAATTCCTGCTCGGGTTTGCACTCAAACACTGCAGAAACAATGTCCTAAGTTTCATCAAGACCGTTTAACATTTAACAGCAGCTTTTGAGATTCAGGAAACTGCAATCCACGCTGTTCTAACTCCACAAACAAAGTTTGCATTTGTAAAAAATGCTGTTCCACAGATTATCCTGGTTGCAAACAGGCTCTGTATAATTGTCTTGATAATTGAACTATATTGCATGCTGACACTCACATGCACACTTCTTAATTTCAGCCAGGCCTCCTTTGCAGTCTTCAAATCAGCTACGTTGAGAAATTGTTCATCTTCTAAACTTAAGATGATATAAGCCAGTGCTTTATCATGCTGCTTCTGCTCTGCAGCTGCTAAAGGTGCCTGCTGTGGATTAATAACCATATCCCAGAGCTCCTTAGCCTTCAGGAAACATTCCATCTTTGCAGCCCAGATAATATAATTCTTCTGTCCCAAACGAGGCAGAGAGCTCTCCTTAAATTCAACAGCAGCCATCCTGCAGGCCTTTCTCTGCCTGGTTTCTCTTTTAAACACAGGCAGACTCAGCTTAATTACAGTTCAATCTTTCTGTCTGCTCTGGGCCCATAACCTGTCAGAGTTTGTTGCAGAAATCAAATCCAGAAAGCACACACAGGTAAACTGATTCAGCAGGTTTCATTAACTTCTTTATCTATATAATAATACCAAGAGTGGTTCTTCAGATTAGTTCAGAATAGAATAGAATAGAATTTTTTATTGGCCAAGTGTGATTGGACACACAAGGAATTTGTCTTGGCATATATGTTCTCAGTGTACATAAAAGAAAAGATACATTCATCAAGAATTATAAAGTACAACACTTAATGATAGTCGTAGGGAAACAGTCAATATAAATCGTAAGGATACCAGCAACAAGGTTACAGTCATAAGTGGGAGGAGATAGGTGATAGGAACGATGAGAAGATTAATAATAATGCAGACTTAGTAACTAGTTTGACAGTGTTGAGGGAATTATTTGTTTAGCAGAGTGATGGGGTTCAGGAAAAAATGGTTCTTGTGTCTAGTTGTTCTGATGTGCAGTGCTCTATAATGCCGTTTTGAGGGTAGGAGTTTATGTCCAGGATGCGAGGGGTCTGTGGATATTTTCACAGCCCTCTTTTTGGCTCGTGCAGCATACAGGTCCTCCATGGAAGGCAGGTTGGTAGCCATTGTTTTTTCTGCAGTTCTAATTATCCTCTGAAGTCTGTGTCTGTCTTGTTGGGTTGCCAAGCCAAACCAGACAGTTATGGAGGTGCAGATGACAGACTCAATAATTCCTTTGTAGAACTGTATCAGCAGCTCCTTGGGCAGTTTGAGCTTTCTGAGTTGGTGCAGAAAGAACATTCTTTGTTGTGCTTTTTTGATGACTTTTTGATGTTGGGTGTCCATTTTAGGTCGTGAGATATGGTAGAATGTAGAAATTTGAAGGTCTCTACTGTGTTGTCTAGTATTGTAAGCGGTTCAGAGAGGCAGACTAGACTAGTTCAGACTTGTTTGCAGCTTTAGAGCTCAGAGCTTAATACAGAGCCACGCCCAGGCTCTTTCCAGTTTCAGTTTCAATTCACCAATCAGCTCCCATTGGCTGGCTTAGTTGCTATGCCTATTCCTTGGCTGACCTTGTTATCATGTCTCCATTCCGTCTCCATTGGCTGATCTATTTCAGTCTATGAATATTCATACTCTGAATGTGCCGAGAGTGCTACCACCTCCCTCTTGGCGGGAGTCCCTTCCAGCCTTCCTGAGCTGCTTCCGTGGAGATTGAGGGTCCCTTGCGGTGTCCTGAAAGGGGGTCCTGGGAGGGAGGAGACGTTTGGCCGTCCACATTGCCCTCCATCAGCACCGTTTTGCACCTGCAGGAGAACTTTGAGCTCACCCACGAGACCCTCTACCTGGCAATCAAACTGATGGATCACTACCTGGTTCAAGTGGCGGCCATGAGGGACAAGCTGCAGCTGATCGGTTCCACAGCCATCCTCATTGCCTCCAAGTTTGAGGTGAGCCCCCCCTCCCGAGCAGGGGTCAGGAAAGGGATTGGGGATCTTGGGAGGGGTTGCTCGGGGAGTTGGCTCCAGTCACCCCATACCCACTGTCTGAGCTGGGCATGTGCTTTGGCTCTACCACATCCTAGAGCAGGGATCGGCAACCTTAAACACTCAAAGAGCCACAAAGGTCTTAATCGGAAGCCCCCGTTCAATTCTGGAGCCGACCGGAAGTCGGGTTCCCCCACCATAGAGTCTCCTCCTAGCATGGCATCCTTTTTCTTCTGCCGATTGGAAGTCTGTTCCCCCCCCCCCCCAAAGAGTCTCCTCCTAGCATGGCATCCTTTTTCCTCTACCTGTCCTAAACGAAAGCCCTATCAATTGTGGAGCTGACCAGCAACAGGGAGCCACAGCAGAGGGGTGAAAGAGCCACATGTGGCTCCAGAGCCGTGGGTTGCTGACCCCCATCCTAGAGATTTACTCTGGGCCTTTTGTTGTTTGCTGCAACAGTTATTTTCAGTGCCTCTTAAAATGGTGGAGGGAATTCTCTGAAGGTGCAGATATGGGGGTGGGCGGGCATGTTTAATGGGGTTCTCATGTTTTCTGGACATTCAGTGGGTCCTAACCACAGAGCACCTGGAAGCATCACTTAGAGCATTGTCCCCCTGGGTGCAACCTCTGGGCACCCCCAATCACCCCTCCCCCCCCAAATCTAGCCAGGAAGGAATTAAATGGGCTGGGGCAGCGCCAGGGCTTTCCTCCCAGGGAAGGGGGCCAAACGATCCGGGGCAGCTCCCGATCTTCTGCTTGAGCTTCCTCTCCACAGGAACGCTGCCCCCCCTGCTTGGATGACTTCCTGTACATCTGCGACGATGCCTACCAGCGGGAGGAGCTTCTGGCCATGGAGAGGAGCATTCTGCAGACCCTCCACTTTGACATCAATATCCCCATCGCCTACCGCTTCCTCCGGCGGTTTGCGAAGGTCAGTGGGGGACAGTGGGCCTGGGGGGGGGGCAAAGTGGGTGAGAGATCTGCTTGTGGGCATTTGCCAGCTGGCTGAGTGCCCCATCCCTGCCCTTCACACGTGGCTCTTCCTCCCAGTGTGCCCGGGCTACAATGGAGACCCTGACCCTGGCCCGTTTCATCTGTGAGCTGACCCTGCAGGACTACGCCTTTGTGCAGGAGGGGGCTTCCCGCCTGGCTGCCAGCTGCCTCCTCCTGGCGCTCAAGATGAAGAACCTCGGTGGATGGGTGAGGATTCCCCACTTGGATCTGTGGGCGTCATGTCACCAAAGGAAAAGTGTGTGCAGGGAGGAGGAAATGGGCAGAGCCATGCCCAGCCGAAGGGAAGGGAGCCGCTTTCCCTTTGTGGTGGCAGAGATGGGCAGGGGACTCCTGGGGGGAGGAAGCAGAAAGCAAGAAAGATCAGGGCCACAACTGGGCAGATGAGAAAGGGGAGCATTTCCTGGGGCCGGTTCCCCTCCTGCTCACTGCCCAGGTCACCTGTCAGTTGCACACCTGTGCGTGAAGCAGCCCTTCTGCATGAGCAAGTGCGGCCACTCCCGTCCCTGCCCCCCCCCCATCCCCCCAGTGCAACTCCCTTATGTCTTGGCAGAGCCCAACACTGCAGTACTACAGTGGCTACCACGTGCCAGACCTTCTCCCTCTGGTCAGGAGGCTCAATTTTCTGCTGACTTGTGGCCAGGATGACCGGCTGAGGGCCGTGCGCAACAAATACTCCCACCGGTGAGTGCTTCCTCTGGGCCAGGCTGGGCCCTCTCTCCTCTGGGAGTGGACCCCAATGCAGGAGGGCTAGATTGGGGGGAAGTGTAAGCATCCAATAAGCAATTGCCGCCCAACCCCCGACTGCACTTGAAGGTGGAGCTGGTCGTCTGCCTCAACCTGCCTTTTTACCCCCGGGGGAAGCAACGGGAGCACTTGGCCCCTCTTCTTCTTCTGCCCTTGTCCGCTGACCCCCTCCGGCCTTGGCTTGCAGGGTCTTCTTCGAGGTGGCCAAGACGGAGCTGGTGAGCATGCAGGCACTGGAGAAGGCTCTGCAGAGCTAGCCCCGGTGCTGCGGGTCAGGCGTCTCCAGCTTGGGAAACTGGAGCCAACCTACCCTGTAAATAGATGTTCAGTCTATGAAGCCTGTAAATAATTGTTTTTTAATGATGGAGGGGAAAAAATGAAAACTGTTATGGGGAGGGGGGGGGAGAAATTGTGTGAAAAAAATACAAAGCTTTCAATAAAAGAATGTGAGTGCAACCATCCTTCCGTCTGCCTTCAACAGGCACCTCAAGAGCCCCCCCCCCCCCCCCCCCGCCTTCCTTTGCTGGACAAGGCCAGCAGGTCACTGGCCTGGCTCAGCTGGAGGGTCTCGCCCTGAGGGTGGGTGGAAACGCCAGCCACAAAGCAGCTGCCCGAGGGGGGTGGGGATCCGCTACCTCTGTGTGCAATCACACACACATGCAAGCACACCCAGCGAACGTGGAAGAGAAGACAGAACATTATTCCAAGATCAAATCCATGTTGAGATTTATTTTTGCAACCGTGATGTCTGGAATTTGGAACCACAGTCCAGGGTCTTTTCCCCCAATTTTAAGAACAGTACTTCACATTCCCTTATTTTTCCCACTTCCATCCTGTGCACTGGAAGTGGCTCCCGTCTCTCTCCCCCTATCAGGCTATAGGGAAGAGCAGCCGAAATGCAGAGGAGGATTAAATGGACATCTGATAGCACCCACTCCCAATTTTGCTAGGCTGCAGCGAGTAATGCCCAAGTGACACAGTAGCCAAAGGACGCACCGCTGGAGAAGAACTCAGTTGGCCCATTGCCCCATTTTCAGGGGCGCAGAGACTCCACTGGGTGGTGACTCTAGGTTTTCTTCCCATCATTCTGGGCCTCTAGGCAACCACAGGCAAATCCTCCATGGTGGCATCTCTTTCCGTCTGCTTGGCAAATCCCAACCCTACTACTTTCCTTGGGCATTCCTCCTCGCCGTGCCTGTCGGCAAAGGAGACCGGCTGCTGTGCCCCAAGAACCGAGCTGGTTGGTTCATTTGCAGCAGAAAGGGAGATGCCAACGTCTCCACTCCTTGTACTCATGCAGTAAAATCACTGTTGCACATGGAGACACAATGACAACCAGCTCCCAGCAGAGGGGCCCCGCCCAGCTGTGCACACACGACCAACATGGGGAAGATCTGGCCCCACTGCCTGCCGGCCCACTTGGTGTGGCAGAAGCAACCTGTCCCTGCAGCTGCCCTCCAAGGCCAACAGTGGCTGTGCCAACCCTTGGCTGGAAACCAGGCTGCGAAGGCCAAGGCATGAGGGCTGCTGTCTCAGCCAAAATAGGAACATGTCCCCAAGTGCCAGTGCGGACAAGGCAGCTTCCCCTGCAGCTCTGACTTAAGGAGCTGATCAAACACTACCAGTGGGGGGAGTTGGTTGGTCTCTGCCCCTGGGCAGTCATCTGGCACGCCCTGGGCAGCCCCTCCACACCAGGGCGGCCCGTAGTGGCTGAGGGGCTCTCCCAGAAAGCTGCAGGCTCTACATACAGATTCCAAAGTGCATTTGCGCAATACAGGTGAGAAATAAATTAAGGTATATATTACTCTTTAAATAATATCTTCTTTCCAAGGTATGTACATTTTTATCACACTTTCCAACAGATTGGATCAATGAGGCAAAGATGCAGAGGGAGCAGGAGGTGGGGAGAGGGGCACAAGGGCAGGCAAGCTGGCCCCACAGGGCCCAGTCTGCCGTGCAGGCGGGAGGGGCGGCTCCAATTGCAGCCTCCAAAGGGCTTCCTGCTTTCCCTTCTCCAAGGGGCCTTCACAGCAACATGAGGTGTGTCTGGGGAAGGAACCCTCTGCCTCATAAGGAATGGCTTCAGCTTAAACTTTAGAAAGTTTAGACGCCAGATCACGAAAGAAAACTGGATTTGGAATTATTGGTCTGCTGAACTGCCTCCTGGATGCCACCAGGGAGCTTCAGGGACCAGTGAGAAAAAGATGTCAGTGGGGCCAATGCCAGAAGTGTGTATGGGGGGGGGGGGAAGGGCTGGTTGGGCAGGGGGTCAGCAGCAAAGGCAGAGGCCTTAGGCTCTTGCTCAGGGGCACCCTTGCTCCCGTGGACCGACTGGAAAAGCGGAATTGCTTGGGTGACTATTGCCAGTAAAGACAGCTTTCCTTGCCCAACTCTGAAAGTGGCACCTCAAGAAGAGGGTGTTGGAGGCACTCCAGATGGCACCCCAGCCAAGTGCCATCAGCCTCCCCGGCCCTGACACAAAACCGAGTGCGGCGCATCCACTGGTGTGTTGAAGACAGCCCCCTTGTGTCCCGGGAACAATGGCATGCATGGAAAGAAGCACAATTCAAGCGTAGGAAGGTGACCACAGCAGCTGCCACACGGAGGGGCCAGAAGACGTGGAGGCCAGGAAGGGCAAGCACAGCCATCATCTTTGGCAAAATGTGGAAATGTAAACTCCAGGGGTCCTTGCAAGAAGACCTTGGCCCGGTGCTGGTGAGGCCCGGCAACCCCGGTGGACACAGTGAAGATGGATGACGGCCACCAAGCCATCTCCCTCGGAGGACCTTCCCTACTGCTGCCCGGCAGGGTCCTTAATTCCCTGGAGGAGCCTCTTCACATGGCCCACTTTTGATATCCCAAGTTCCTGCAGGCGGGGAGAGAAGAGAGCTGCTCAGGGGAGCACTGCACGCTCACCTCCCCATCCAGTGGGCCCTTCTCCTCCCAGCTCTTCAATGTCCCCTTTGCACCACTAGAGGCTCCATGCAAGGTTGGTTTCTTCTGCAGCCATCCTCATGCTGAGCTCCCACAGGGCCCCTCTCCAGAGAAACCCATTAAAGGAATGGGGTAGAAGAAGCCAACCCCCTCTTCCCCCCTGCAGGCAGGACTACGCGGTGTACCTTCAGGTCTCTCCTCTCCAGCAGCATCAGCTCAGAGCCCTGGATGTCATGGCGCATAAAAAGCTCTTTGTATTCCCCTAAATCCAGCGCCTCCAACCAGGCGGCCACCTCCTCAGGGCCCCAACTGTCCACTGGCAAAAAGGAAAATTGCAGGATGGTTGGTTGGGGAAGGGAGGGGCTAGAACAGAGATGCGTGTGTGAAGGCAGAGGCAGGCAGATAGCAGCATAGGAAGCTCAGGCACAAGGGAGGAACAGCAGGAAGTTGGGGGGGGAGGGTTGGAGGGGATTTGTTGATAGATCAATGACACCTGCAAAATTTGTGCCTACCCTGGGCAGGAAGTCCAGCACTTCTGGGCTTGGGCATCTGTGCCCCCTCCAGACGGGCTCTGCCTTGCCCTGGAGAAACCGCACCCAGGCCACCAACTGCTTCCCATCCACCCCACCAGCTACGGGGATCCTGCATCATCGTGTTGGGTGGGCTAGCTGGCCCCTCCGAGGTGCTCCTTTAGCCAGATGCTGAAATGCCACATCCTGCCCTTCTGGGGTCTGGGAGGACCGCCAGATTACCTGGGGTGAACCCGCCAGACCTCTGCTTTTGGAGCTTCTCCTTCTTGGGCTTGGCAAGATTAATCCGTAGCTTCAGGCTGCCCTTGTTGCTGCCCCCAGGAACCTCCGGGCCCATGACCTGCCAGGAGGAGAAACTGCTGCTAGCAGAACAGGAGACCCTCCGTTCTCTGCCTCCCTTCCCAGGACTTTGCCAGGGCATGGCAGCCAACAGAAGGAAGGCAGTGGCAACGGCAGATGTGACTCGGCTTCCTTTCCCTGCTGGCTGGCTTGGACACCCAGCAACTCTGCCACCCAGCCTTCCCACCCTGGAGCCTCCAACCAGGCTGGCCAAAAGCTGGCCCGGGGACTCCGGAGGCCTCCTTCCAAGGCAGCCAGTCAGCTCCTGCATGGAAAAGCAGCCACAGGCCGAACGACTGGCTGCTGTGGCTCTCTGGGAAGCTGCCCCCACCCGTCCATGTGCCCACCTCCTCAACTGAGCTTGAGACGGGGGCCATCCAGTGGACATCAGAGAACCTCTGCAACTCCTGGCTGACAGCGCCCAGGGCCTGGTGGATGGCGTCCTCTTGATGGGGAGAATCCAGCTGCTGTGAGAAAGGCTGTTGAGAGGGGCTGCCTTTGCCCCAAGAGAGGGCAAGGGATGTGTGGGGCACCCAGGAACCTCCAGAAGCTTCTGTCCCGCACTCACCTGCTTTCCTTCCAGGAAAGCCTGGGTTTCGGTGCACAAGGCCTTCACACTGACGGACACCTCCACAGCTGTACTCCGGCTAATCAGCTGCAGCCCGCCCCCCCGGCAGGAAAGAAAGGAATCAGCAGGGGCTGGCAAGGAAAGGCAGGCCACCAGCAGCCAGGACTCAGGGGAGAGACATCCACGGAGCGTCCCCAGCCCACAAGTGAGTCCTTCCACGCCCCACATGAGACAGCTCCCCGCTCTCACCTCTGGAGCCCCACTGCTGTTTTTGCAGGCCAAGACCTCGCTCAGGGCTAGTGAGCTGCTGTTCACGGCGTGTGCCAACTCCTGCTCCATGCCTTTACGGGACTTGGCGGCCTCTCGTATTCTGCAAGGGGGGAGAAGGAAATGGCCTCTCAGCCACAGAGGTGGCAAAGCCAATGGCAAGGTAATGTCACTTCCCCCCCCCCCTTCTTTGTGAACTGGTTCCTGTTGAATGCAGGAGAACGCAGATTCTGGGAGTCGGAAATCCACGCATCATACATTTGCCAAGAATGAAAACCTGGGTGTAGAACAGCTTATGGTGAATGTCCTTCCGCCAGGAGCTATGCAGGACTCCCTCCTCCTGCTCCCCCAATTCTTCCAAGATCTCGTGAGGGGGGGCTAGGCTGAAAGAGCACTTGGCCCACAGAGGCTCCCCAATGCCTCCCTGTCATCCGTGGTGGGGAACAGAGGCAGCAAGGGATCTCCCACAAGCACAGACCACAAACTGGGGAGCAGCTCCCCGTGGCAGCCTTTGCAGAGGTGCCACTTTTAGGGTCTGGCGTGGTTGGCACCTGCTAATGAGGGTTTCGGTGGCTCGGACCAGCTGCTGCATCTGAGCTGCCTCCTCTTCCGTCAGGTATTCCATGGACTGCTGGGAGCTGAGCCGCAGCCGGGATGGGGCTCGGTAGGCCTCCCCCTTTTGCTTGTCTTCCCATGATTTCAGGGTGCTCTCAAAGGCCTGCGGGGACACAAGTTGGCCATGGCTGACGAGCAGGGCTGGGGTCCTGAGTATGCAAGCCCCTCCCACACCAGCCAGGATGCTGGCAGTTTTAGACTTGGCCAGTGGGCCAAGATGCGCAGAGTCAACAGGACTGGCTCTCCCTCTTAGCCGACAGCCCAACAATTTAGCCACTGCCAGATTCCTATGGGACCACCCTCCACTCTGCAATGGGTTGCTCACCCTGTCCCTGGTCAGCATCTGGGCACGGTTCTTGTGCTGGATCTTGATCACGCCTGGGGGCTGTATCCAGGCCTCTCCGTCCACTTGCACTGGGACCCCTTCGTCTCCCCGAATTGTGATCTTCACCATCCGGCACTGGGGAGGAAAAGGGGCGATGGGAACGCTTGTCCACCTTGTAGAATAGCCACAGACGTCTCAGGCAGCGGGCCCTGCACAGGCCCCATCTCACCTGGGCGATGCGGTGGTGCTGCAGATTGATGACCCGAGAGACTGCCATCTGGATGCTCCCGAAAACAGCCACCACCTCGAGTTTCTTGTCATCGAAGGAGGGAGCTCCGAAATTCTGGCAGGGAGAAGGCCGAGTTTCATTGAGCCAAACCCTGGGAAGCTCCCCTCGGGGCAGTTCTGCCCATGTTAAAGTGCAGACCTCCTGAGTCCACGCAATTCTCAGCCAAGTAAGTCAAGAGGCTTGTTGTGCTTCTTATGTTGCAATATTCTGTTGCAATATTGCAAGGAACACAAGAGGCTTGTTGTGCTTCTTGCAATATTGGCAGTGAAGCCAGCCTCCCCCAGCCCTCCACAAACACAAGGAGAAGCCGTCCGTGGCCTCTGTGGCCAAGAGGCAGGTGCAGAGTGCCAGAGACTCACACTGTCTTCCTTGGTGCCTCCCCAGAAGTTGATGCCGCCTGCGTAGCTGGGAATGTTAAGCACGGCGATGCCCTGCAGGCTGGGCAAGGAAATGGGAACCCCGTCGCACTGGAAGAGAGCGGAGAGAAGCGCTGAGGGTCCTTTTCTGAAGGCACGTGGAGCCGGAGTGCCTGGAGAGAGCTCCAAGCAGCCCCTTTCTCTTGGCAGGAGGCGCCTATCAGGAGGCCCAGGCCCTGGTGCTTGGACAGCTGACCTCCTTCAGGCAGGAAAGGCAGCCACCACCTTTGCAGTACCTCAAGTTGGACCCGCTGCTCCAGGTTCTTGTAGGTCCGCTGCAGCAGCTCCTTCGTTCCCAGGACCCCGTACCACATCATATTTTTGGTGCGGCTGCTGCAAAGGCAACCAAACAGGGAATGTCTTTCTGTTTTCTTCCACCATGATTTCCAGACCCCTAAAGCCTCCTGCAGTGTGGGTGCCCTGCCCAGGAGATCATCCCCCTGCTTGGCTTTCCTCAGTCCTGCTGGGTTTAAACTGCTCTTGGCCAACTCCTCTTCCTCCAACTCCAATTCCTACTCCCAGCCAGAGAATTAAATGGGTTTTCCCTCCAGGGTCAAGCAGTTAGCCAGCTCCAATAGCTTTGCAGGACCTTTGGACATGAAATAAGTAATGGCACAATTATTGGGCTCCTCCCCAGACCTCCCATTCCTGGTGGAAGAGTCTGGCAGGGGCTTCAGGGGCCAGGACACAATTGCCATGTTTCCAAAGATTGACAGGGCCCCCAAGAGGCTCCTGAAGCCGAAACTCTGGTGTGTCCCTGAGCAACCAGAGTGGCTTCCCTTCCACTGCTGGAAGTGGGCTGCAGCCGTGGCCCAGACAGCTCTCCAGCACCTGTCTCCTCCTGGCCTGGGACAAAGGGATTCCCCAGCCAGCTGTCAAATGCAGTCACAGTCTCTGTCTACACATGGACCGGCCAGGAGAAAGAGCTTTGAAGCTGGACAAGGGAGGCTCCATCTCAGGGTCTTCTGGGCTTCCGCCTTTGGCAGCATTTAGACTTTACCTGCACTTCTTTGGGTGCTCATCCCTTTTGTTGTTGAATTCCAGGGAGATCTTTGCATCCAGGCCGATGCCAAAGTAGTTATTCATGACACACCTTTCAGAAAATTGTCTGGAACCGGCAGATGGAGGGAAAGGAAACAGTTCAGCAATGAGCACTGAAGCAGAACCAGGAATACAGCACCAGAATACAAATAGTGGCTCTGTTTTCTCAGTTTCTGAGCACTGCAGGGAGGTGGGCAGGAGCATTTGGACACCAGCGCAAGAGGCACAGGGGGAGGGGGGGGCTAGATGGCTTTAAGATCAGAGCCCTGATTGATGTGACTGTGCCTTCTTCCAGTCTCCCAAAGCAGGCTAAAATTAAACGACCTGTTTTATCAGTCTCCTTGAAGGATGTTAATGGACTGAGGTGGGCCAAGCTTTTCAAGGTCACTTTGAAGTGGTGGAGGCTGTCCAAGCCTTTTTTTGGGGGGAGGGGGGATTTGCTGAAGCAGATCTGGCCAGCAAGGAGATGGGCAGCCTTCTTCATGGGGCCGTCCTGCCTCTTGTGTGAGCCAGTTGAAGCCAGGGAGTTTCCCACGCAAATATCCCCAGCCCATGGCAAAAGTGGACTGTGCGAACATGCAAAGCCCACTCTGGCTGTGCCTTGTTGAGGCTAATCTGAAAAAAAGAAGTGTGAGCTTTGGGAAATTCAGTCTCTGTTCTGGGTGCACAACAGGAGACCCCTTGAGTGCCTGAAGCAGGTGACAAAGCCACGATCATCCGGCTGTGCCGCTCGTCTCTGCCAGAGCCGATTCCAGCCGAGGGGACCGTTTAGAGCTCTTTAAGATGGACACGGCCATTGGTTTAAAATGTGTTTGCTGGAATGACTGTTTGCCAGGTCCATTTGGCATTGTTAAATGCCACACATGGAGGGAAGAGCCGAGAAACCTTTTCTCTCACTAGCTAGCGATTCTTGCAACACGGAACTGCTCTCCCACCGTGGGCAGGTCGGAGAAGCCTCTGAGGCAGCCCTTCCTCCACTCATCCAGAGGAAACTCACACAGCTTCGGGGTCCTCGGAGAAGGGGGTAGGGGTGAAGTGCTCAGGCTGATCCAGGAAGAGGGAGGAAGTGGTGGAGATGACTGTATCACGGCGGGACTCTGGAAGAGACACAACCAGAGAGTCTGAGCAGCTCAGGAGAGGTGACTGGCCTCGACTTAGCCCCCCTGCCACTCCACACCCACTCAGGATGGAGTGTCTGAGCAATGCCTAAGCTCACCAGAGGCAAGAGACACCCTCCCTCCCTCTCTCCCTCCAGGGCCGGGCCCTGTGCTCCTTCCCTCACAGCCCCAGTCAGCCATCCCAGAGACTTACTCGGTGCTTCTGTCTCCTTGTTGAAGTCCTCACCACTGTCCTTCTTACTGGCCACCGAGAGGCTCCGGTAGGTCTGGGTCTGCTTGTTCTGCTCGTCCACCGCTGGCAGGAGGAAATACAAACACAAGCCCAGCTTACTCTAAAGCAGCAGTCACCAACTGGTGGTCCGTGAGAAAATTTTGGTGGTCCACAGAAAAATTAGTTGCATGTTTTTATATTGCACTAAATCAGGGGTCCTGAAACTATGGCCCCTGGGCCGAATATGTGCAATGAATGTTTGTGTTGCTGCAGAGAGTCTCCCCCTTTGGGGTCTTTTTGTGTGGGTCGGAGGGTGCACAAATTTCAACTTGGGGTCTGCTTCAACCTCCTGGTACGGGGCTTTGGGCAAAGGCTGGAGGGAAGTGCCGCTGATGGCGAAGAGCTGGAAGGCCTCGTTCCAGTGGGACTGCATCAAGGCCTGGAACGGGCTGACCATCTCAGCCTGCTGAGCTTCCAGGCGCCTGAACCTGGCCTTGCACTCCCGCAGGTCTTCCCTCTGCTTGGAAAGCCTATGCTCCTAGTGCTCAGTGAGGTGCTCCTGCTGAGCCTCCTTCTTGGTCATATTCCATTTGAACTGAGCTGTTTTGCCAACTCTTTCTCGTGGTGGCTGCTTAGCTCCAGCAACTGCTTCCTGTTGGGACCCTAAGGAGCCTGGGCAGGGAGGCAAGGAGAGGAGTGGCTGGCAGGAGAGGGGTGAGTAGAGGCCGGCAAGATGCCCCCCCCCCGCCCTGATGTGCATGACATTGAGTTGGCCATCGAGTTGAACACACCCACCCAGTCACATGACCACCTAGCCACACCCACCTAGACAGTCATTAGGCAGATCATATTAGTGGTCCATGGGATTTAAAATTATGAATTTAGTGGTCCCTGAGGTCCGAAAGGTTGGGGACCCCTGCACTAAAGAGGGACTTGCAGACCCTGCAGTGTTCTGGTTTCCACAATCAGCACATCAAATGGGATTTTAAAAGGACGATTTGCTCTACAAGTAGCAAAACTATCTGTATGGAAAGGACGGAAAGCACTAGCGCAGCAACGGTAGCAGCAGCTGGCACTGGGAGCAGCGGCCCCTCCACCCAAGCCAGCCCCAGGGCCTTGGCACCCAGCAGACGATCTCCACCAAGGTTCTGTTGGGGACGCCATTCTTGATGTCCTGCCTGCCCACCCTCCAGCATGTTCGGGCTGTTGGCCCACCAGAGCCAGTCTCTATGCCAGTCCAGCCTTGCGCCTCCATCCATTTCCTGGCTGGCTACAGAGGCAGGACCACATCTCACCCTTCTCCGTCTGGTCGATGATCTGGCGCAGCGCCTTCTTGAGGCTGTTGGCTCTTAGCATGAGCTGCTCCTTAGACTTGAAGATGCGAGGAGGCCGAGGGCTGGGCTGGATGGGGCTCTGCTCCTTGACCTCGGGAGCTGCAGAGCGGCCTTCCGGGACCACGATGGCCTGCGACTCCTCATTCAGCTCGCGGACCAGCGAGTCCAGTTTCTCACTCAGTGTGGCACACTAGAAGTGGGCAAGGGGGATCAGCTGTGCAGGCTATGCCTACAGCTGCAACACCACCACTCCCGGCCGGGCCCAAGTGGGGAAGGTAGGGATACCCCTGCACACACACAAACACAAAGGAAGGGATGCCCAGCAGACCCCCAGCTCTCCTCCCAGCATTTTCCCATCAACGCTCTTCCAATCCTACCCCCGACCCTCGCAACTCTGCTCTTATCATCTGGGCAGCCACTCGCCTTGCCAGCCATGATGGCCGCTTCCTGCTTGTTGTCAGCTGCCCGTCCATAAGCCTTCCCCACATCAGCTACAAAGTCATTCACTGTCCCACACAGGAATCTGGGAGAAAGAGAAACCGAGGTTGCAACTCCCAAGCAATTCAGCTGGGCCCTCGAACGGAGCAAAACCCACAAGCAATTGGGGGCAGCTTCTGTTTTCTGGAGGGGAAACTCAGAACGACACAGAACATCCGTTATACTTTAAAATTCTCACTAGCAAAGTTAAACTGATGAGAGCTGCTGGATATACGGAGATAAAATCTATGTCCGTATAGCATGGGACGCACTCTCAAGATAGACAGTGTGTATTAATGTACATTCGCAGAAGCTCAGAGGTGTGGGGAAAAGCAACAGGCTCCATTCTGCGATTCTCACTGGAGAGGAAAGTTCTCAAGACAACAAGGCCAAATCTGCAGTGGGGTTTGGAAGGGGTGGTTGGAATTGTGCAAAGGTTGTTACGACTTGCAAGCTATTGTTGAGGTGCTTGCAACTTGTATTTGCCCCATCCCAGACAGAACAGCATTGCTCTTACTTTGCCGAGGAGATCACCACCGAGTGTTTGTCGGACTCCAGGATCTTTGCCAGGTGGAGGGCCACTGAGTCAGCATAGTGAGAGATCTGAGCCTAAGGGAAGAGAGTCCATGCCACTGTCCCTTAGGTCAAGTCCCTCAGAAGGGCCAGGCAAGGACAGGGCACCCACCCCCCTTCAAGCAGGCCTCCTGCCAACCTGGATGGTGGGATTCTCGCTCTCGTCTTCCTCGAGGGTGGGGGGCGACTGCTTGGGGGCCTCGTAGGTCAGGACGCTCCACCTGCAGGGGAAATGAAGGGGGTCTGCAGTGCTTCCCACCCAGGCACGTGGACATGGGAGGGTCCTCAGGGCTGAAATGGCAGGGCCTGTCCCCGCCCCCCCGGACAGGAGCCAAACATCCTCTCCCTGCATCATTCAGCCCTTGGCCCTCCTTTTTGGGGAGTTGTGTGACTGCACCGTTCCTTACCGGTCCAACATTTTTGTGGTGGCGCGCTCCAACTTCTCCAGAACCTGCAGCAACTGCGTATCATCATCGCAGAGGCTGCCCCAGCCCAGCACCCGGGCCAGGTCATTCCCGGTGCCCAAAGGCAGGACGCCAAGCTGGCACTGCAGAAACACAGAGAGGTGGTGAGTGAGGTTGGCACAACTGAAATGGCATGCAGCTTCATCCGAGGCCTCTGGGTACCCTCAATTCTTCCTGTTCCCCAAGGCCTGCACCTACCCTCCCTAATTCTCCAGACCAATGTCTCTACAAGGGAAAAGCAAAGGGGTTGGGAGCACCTTAAAGCGAACCCGTCTTCTGCAGCAAACATTTTACGGATGCCAAAAAGGCAGGTTGGGAGGGGGGATTACTTTTCCCTCTGCCTTCGCTAGTTTCTCCTCCCCACAAGTATCAACACTTACATAAATAATTGTATGCAAAGCTCTCTTGAGCTCAAAAACCCTCCAAGACTGCCAAAACCTCTTATTTGCCATCTGTTTTTGCACACACAGTCACACGTTTTCTCCTCCTGATTTGAATTCAAGAAAGTGCATGTGTGCGTGCATGCAGGCACTCTAGATACAGAGAAAGAAGCCAAGAAGCTGAGTGTGTTGCACAACTCTTGACTCGGCTGGGTGTTGGGCTTTGGGGGGCAGCCTTCACCTGCTTGTGCAGTCCCAGTGAGTCAATTTCCGACAGGACCCAGCCAACGCTGCCGTCTCCGCCACATACCAAGATCCGAAAGGTGGAGAACTTTTGAAAGAGCCGCAGCCTGGCCAGAGGAAGAAGGAAGAGAAGAGGGCAGTGGGCAGTGAAGCATCAGCAGGCAGGCAGCATGGAGCCTGCTGCAAGGAAAAGGGTGTGTCACCCTGCCCACCCACCCAGCCAAAATGGCCCCGAACGTGGGTGGAGAACCTCAACTCTTGGGCTCCCTCGGCCATCACCCAAGGCAGGACAGTGGGTGGTCTGAAGAAGCGGGACCCTTACCCAAGGTGTGGCCCACCATTCATGAGATCAAACACTTGGGCTGGATTGAGGAACTGCTTGAACTTGCGCAGAAATTTCACCCCTTGGTTATCCCCACTCTTGGAGTTGACAAAAGCCAGAAGGGGGCTGGAGCAGCTGGAGGGGCAGGTGGCTTTCCAGAATCCTGGCACAGGGAAAGAAAAGGCTGTGCTTGTGGCTCCCGACACCCGCTCGCTCACCTCCCCTGCCACTGCTGGGTGTTTTAGCCAACCGGGACAGGTGCAGTTATTGCTCGCATAGATTGGGGATGGATGAGAGCATCACCAGAAGCTGAGGAAGGAACCCCAAACTGGAAAAAAAAGCCCCCAATCTAGCTGGGCTATCTTCTGAGTAACAGAAGCCTCTGCTTTAGCGAGGACAAGAGAACCACAAGGAAGGAAGGATGGCAAACGTTTGACAAGCCAGAAAGCAACAGCCATCTTTCACAAATTAGAGAAATTGTAGGGAAGTGCACCCATGGCAATCAACAGCCAGCCCAACATCTGAGCGGCCCCAACAAGGAGGGCTGCTGGCCCAGTGGATGGAGGGCATCTCCAGCAGAGGGTGCCCTAAGATGCTCTGCAGCTGAAATGGATACACTACTCCGAGCCATCCCTGGCCCAGGGAAGGGTCCTGAATCTCAAAACTCCAAAGGCCCCCTGCGCATGACAGGTTGCTGGGCCTCAGGTGGCTCTCGGGGACCTTGTTCCCATCTGAGGGGGCCAGGACTGCGACTGCCAGGGTTCCCAACTGCATGAGGGGACCCCAGGCTGCTCCCAGCCACCCCTCTTACCATCGGAGTCAATACTGTTGAGGCCGGTGGGGGGGATGATGGAGACCTTGTACTGGCCCAGGGGACACTTCTTGCCCAGCTGCTCCCTGCAAGTGCTGTGGACCTGGAGGAGGGCAGAGGAACCCCTGAGTAAATTTCCCCCAGAGAACGATAGGGAGCTGTGGCCTTCAAGCTATGCAGGCTCCTGGCCCCCAAGTCCTGAGCAGAAGAGCACAAGGGCTCCTGCAGGCCACTCCCAGGGACCTCAGTGAGGCGAAGGGAGGCAAGGCTACTTCCCCTTCTGCAGAGCGAAGACGTCCGGGCATCCCTGGAACAACCATCCTCCTCTCTTGCCTGCCAGCTCCACTGACCAATGAAAATGGGTTGAGTCCCTTCCGGAAGCCCAAGCAACCCCCATCTCTCTCCTCAGCAAAGAGCTTGGCGTCCTTCTACACCCCCCCCCCAAGTAAGAGGAACCCCAACCTTATTTGAGGGGGAATCAAGCTCTGTCACCCTCTTCTCTTGTCCAGCGCATATGGGAGGCAGAGATTTAGTCAGAAAAAGCCAGGCATTTAGGTGGGGGAGGGGGTTTGCTTACAACAGTTTTGCACCAGAGGCAGCGCCAGTCCTGCAGCCTCCGGACACTGCCAGAAGTCTTGTCACACACAGCACAGCGGGCACCTACCGGAAGGTTCCCCTCCAGCCACTGGTGGGGCATGGCCACCTGCAATGAGAAGGGGCAGGCTTCTGTCTGCACATCCAGCTCTCCCTTGTGGGAGGGAAGTGGGGGAGGGGGCTGGCCGGCTGATCTGGTGCCCAAGGAAGCGCCAGACTCACCCCGTCTTCGTCCTCAATGATGTCGTTACCAATGGAGGCCAGCGTGGTCCATTTGCAGCTGTTGGTGGCTCTCACTGCGCAGCGTTTGTGGGCCTTGAACTTACACACTGCAAGAGAAGGGAAGAGGAGCTGCTGCCGGAGGAGGAAAGGGAGGGCCGGCCCTGCCCCTCTGCCAGGGAGAAAGGCCTACCTTCACAGGAGAGGCCGTGGGATGTGACGCCGGGCAGAGCCTCTCGGCAGACGTTGCAGAAGGTGGGTCGGGCGTGGGAGCAGGCGTACCAGTTGTGCATGCCGGAGAAGTGCTCCATGTTGAACTGGGAGGCCTGGAGCAGAGCACAACAATTGGGGGCTGCAGCCACGGAAAGCACTCGCCCCTCTGCCTGGGCTGCTTCCGGGACCCTGATCTGCCCCAGGCTTATTGAGAGGTTAAATCCAAGGTACCCCACATGGGCCCTCCCAGCAGGGACCCCTTGCAGGACCACCTCATTGATTTCCCATTTCTGGACAGACTTCAGGGCCCCGATCCAGTCTTCCATCTCCTTCCGGTTCTCTGCACAAAGGATGAGTTTTCGGAATGGGGTGATCACCTACGGGAAGGGAGGCAGAAAAGTCCTGCAGATGCTGTTGCTGACACCAACTCAAGCCATCTCTGCTTCCTGAGTTGGCCAGTGGTGGGCCCCGATGAAAAGCCCCCTAGCCCTGGTGACCTCTGACCTGCAGCCTTCAGGTCCAGGATGCTCCAGAGCGAGCAGCTCTTAGCAAGTCCTTAGCAACACAGTTGGCTTGGTCCCCCAAGTATGTGGGGCTCTGTTCTCCCACATGCTGAAAGCAGCATTTGAAGAAGCTTCTTAGGGTGAGCCAAAAATCAGGAGCCCTTTTTTGGATTGTACCTGTCAGCCGGATCTCCAGTATGGGTTTCTGCTTGCTATCTGCTGCCATAGAAACGGGGAGGGGGGGCATTTGGGATGGGGAAGTGAGCTGGTGTGTAGTAGTCCCATGAGAACTGGAAGGGACAGACAGACAATCTCTCCAGCAAGAAGCCTCTGGGTGACTCTTGGGGCTCAGCATCCTTTGACATTCGTCGGAAGCCATCTCGGCTGAGGCTGCTTTGCCTCCAGCCCAGCCCTGCTGGCTCTCCGGGTTCCAGGCAGAGGGAGGTTTGTCCGCAGTGCCTGTTTCTGTATCATTTGTAACACGGGATGCCTGCCGGTGCTCCCAACATGGGCTCTACCTCGGATTCTTTCCAACAGCCCCCCACCTACCCAGCCTTCAAGAAAAGAAGACAGGTGCGGAAATATAGGACGAAGGGAGCTACTGTGATCTGTAGGGCCCAAAACAGGGAACGTGCTCTAGGAATCCCAGCCGAGTTGGAGGATGATGGGTTGGGGAAGGAGAGAGAAGAGACTCCTGGGTATGACTCCAACGTCAGGCTTCTGACCCCATCTAATCTACTGGAAAGGCTGCCAGCTGGCGTGGTAGACTTACCGTAAAGCTGTTGTTGATGTTCTTGGTGCTGGTTTCTGCCACGCTGGCATCTGACAGGTCCACTTCATCAAAGATCAGTGACTAGAAGAGCAAGGAGGAGGAAAGGGAGACGTAGCCTGAACTCCAGAATTTTGGAGGCCAACCATGGACAATCCCTCACCCTGCTCAAGCAGCTTCCCTTTCACTTCACAGAGGGCATCTTGGCTCGGAATCAGATCAAGAAAATGGGCAGAGCCCCCATATATTCCTTGGTTAACCCCAGGATTTTCAAGAGAGTCCTGTGGCTGTTTAGTGCAGATTTCAAAAGATCTGTGATGCCCATTCCACATAGCCATTTTGGTGCCCTCCCTCCCTCCCTCCCTCCCAGCCTTGTTCTTGTTGCACAGATCTGGGTATCTCTGCACAGGGCAAGGCAGGGAATATGTTAGGTCTTGGGAAGAGGCCAAAATGTGTGCTCTCTAATATGCCCAGGGCTGCCGGGCAGAGACTGGCAGCCCTTCCATACCTTGCCGTCCTCCTCACCTTGGAATCTTTGGCATAGTAGAGGGTCCGGCCACGCAGCTTGAAGAACCTTCTCTTCCACCGCTGGAAAGAACTCGTCTGCTTCAACAAGAGCCCCTCCTTCACACTCTTCTGCAAAGAGATTGAAAATGTGGTTTGTTGGCATCGGGACCTCACCGGGCGATTCAGACACAGCTGCCAGGATTGCAGCAGCCTCTGTGAGTAAGTGGGTCCAGTCCTGGGTCCCCACAGCTTCCCACGGTGGCACCCTCAGCATCCGGACTTCTTCAAAGCAGGCCCCTCTGGTCCACCCATCACCTGTTGCCTTTGTAATGTCTATATGGGCAGGTCAGAAGTTAGGAGGCTGCCCTCCTGCCAGGTGCAGCATAGGGAGGAAGGCTGGGCACCTCTGGCCCCACCTGCCCTTGCCCCAAGGCAATTCCCCTCCTGCCCTCTGGCAAGGCCAAGTCTCCACTGCAGCCCCAGCTGGGTGGGCTCCTTCCTGCTTCTTTCCTGCCAACACTCCAAAGGAGGGCAGGGCACCTGGGGCTACCGCATGGCTGCAGCAGGATCAGCCGCTCCAAGACAAGGAGGACAAAGGTAAGTTTTTATCGGAGAGTTCAGTGCCGAGGGATCAAGAGCTCCACCACAGGAACCGGAAAAACCTGATCCTCCCTTGGGGAAGGAAGCTGAGCACCCTCTGCCCGGGGAGAGCCCAGGCAAGCTACCCAGCACTTTTGACCTATGACGCAAAAACCTCAACTGGGAGAGGGCTGTACCATGCTCTTCCAGTCTTGACAAGAACAGCTTCAGCGACAGTCGCCTGTCTCAGTCTTGGGCCACCCTGGCTGAGAGACACAATCCAGTGCAGCCAAAGAACGCCAGTTAAGGAAGGTTGAAACACTAATTCTGCTACTTGGAAGCTCAAGAGCATTCTTAGGTTTCCTCTGTCCCCAAATGGCCTCAGCACCCTTGTTGAGCCCATCACAGAATTCCTCTTCTTCTTCCAACAAAAGGTTCCCCGCCCCCCGTGGGGTCCTCTCTTGCCCAACAGTCTCCCTGGGGTTCCCAGGAGAGCAGGGCAGTCTGTCCGTATTCCAATCCGTCTTTCAAAAATCTGCCCTCAGGAACCAAAGCGTATGCCCAGTGTTGTGATCCGCCAGCAGTCTGCAGAGCTGGCAGCAGACTTGGACAGGGAGGAGGCTGGGGAGGACAATGGGCCAGTCCTGGAGACAGGGGAGGGCCCGGATGAGGGCTCTGCGTCGGAGGCAGAGATGGGGCCAGGGCCATCTGGGAGTGATGTGCAGACTCCGGAGCCTCTAGAGGCAGATAGCAGAGAGGCAAAGGAACAGGAGGAGCCTGCTCCTAGTGTACGCATGCGAGGAGCTGCCAGAAGGCAAGAGCAGCTGAAGCAAAAAGGACAACTCAGGAATAAGGCCAGGAGATGATTGGCCTTCCCATTAGGCTTAAAAGAGCAGCAACGGCTCTTGGGATCTTTGTAGGAAAGCAATGTTGCTACATTTCTCTTGCTTCTGAACTTTTGCCAAGAAAAGCCTTTGGCAGGGTGCCAAAGGAGACAAAGGTTGGTGATAAGGCCAAAGGACTGTTTATGAAGAATTTGTTTTGGACTTAATTTGGACTAAGCTGAGAATGAAGTAATTCTCAGCTGTTCTAATAAAATATGTTTGTTTAGGACTGATTGTGTCTGGTAATAACTACTTGGGCTTCGGTCACAACACCCTGCTGATTTGATCCCATTTAGAAAGGTGACTCCCAGTTTGCCAAACAGGAGCCGTTCCTTGAGCTCAGGCTGCTGGCTGGCATTGTGACTGACAGTTAACAAGAGAAGAACAAAATCTGATCTAAGCTGCTCCTTCCCCAGTGAAGGCTGATGTTGATCAACTAACAGCCAGCCACAGATACATTTCTGACCATGGTTAATTCTCGAAAAAGGCAGAGCTGTCCCAGGGGTTCTGGGGCCCAGCTTCTGCTCATCCAAAAGGCCCTGCCGGAGCTAACCTGACAGCACAAGGGCTCCACTTGGCCGGCTGCTGCATTCAGGACTCCAGAGTCCCTCTGGGGACAACTGATCTCTGCACCCTGCCTGGCAAGGCCTCTTCTGAACATGGCGTCTTGAGCATCATTCTTCTTCATACCCGAAGGGCAAACTTGGGGATGCTCCTTCTTGCACCGGGGAGCGCTTGTGAATGACCAGGCCAGAAAGAGAAGGAGGAGGAGGATTAAGTCTAACTGGACCTTTGGGCAAAGAACCAGCCCTTTCCATGGCACGAACCACTCATTGGGGAGCCTGGAAGGCCAGAAATGCAGAGAGCATTGGCTCTTTTTGGGGGCGGGGCCTACCGTGGCTGCTGCACAGAAGCTGCCCCTCCAGGTCCCCGCCACGGGCTCAGCCTCTCCAAGGAGGTTACTTCACCGTGCGCCAGAGCCTGGGGCTGCCAGTCTGCCATAGCAACACAAACAAAAGGGTGAGGAAGCCCGGCTGGATTGGCAAGGATTGTCCAGCCCAACCCAGCAACTGCGCGCATCCACATCCCCCGGGATCCCTTCAACCTGGCAAAGGAAGGACTTTGGGGAGTGCACCTCTCCTTCACACACCGGACTTGACTCCAAGGAGTTCCTGTCTGCTTCCATCCTCCCCCCACCCCCAGGCCAGCACTCCCCACAAAGTGCCCTGGAGAAGCTGACCAGGGCCAGGAGCCCACAGCCCATCCTTTTGACAACTGACAGCCCCGTGGCAGCTTGTTTGCCATCAGTAAACAGGCAGCGGCTGCATGAGGATGCTGTTGACACCTGTGCCAACTTCTAGCCCAGGACCCTGGCCCAGGCAGCCCGTGGGCACGTCTGGCAAAAAGCAAGCCAAATAAATGCAGCAGCCGAACTGCTGGCCGGTGCAGTTTTTCTTGGCTCTTCTGCTTTGTTCCTGAAGCTTCTTCTCTAAAGCTTTGTGCAACAGAGGCAGAAGCCTTTCTCAGCACCCTTGGGACAGTGCTTGCACTTTGCTTTTGGAAACATTTGTATGCCACCTTTCAAAACGTTACATGCCTGAAGGGCTGGTAACACGCTAAATCATCAAAATTCAGAACACTCATACACCATGAAACCTGATTGAGGTAATAAAAGAGCCAAGGCAGTTAACTTGTTTCTGAGCAGCAGACACACCAAGAGTCACCAACATGGGAGTTGGGCAGCAGTATAAATTTGTTAAATAAATTAAATATGAACATGTTCCAAATGAGCGCAAGAAGGCAAATGAATGAATGAACAAGAGCGGGGGTGGGGGTGGTGGAGCGGAAGGGCTCTTCATTCAGAGGGGGCTGCCAATTAAAAAAAAAGGGTGGGGGGAGAGGAAAGGGGCTCTGACCATTTTGTGCCTTGATTTATTTGGCAAAGGGGCTGTTTCTGCTGGGGGCGACTAGCCAGAAAAAGGCCAGGCCAGGCTTGATGGCAGCGGAGCAAGGACCCCCTGCTGAAAAGGGCTGCGTTTTGTCTTCATTGTGACTCAGGAAACACGACTGCAATTTCCACTTCTGTTGAACGGTTGCCACTCCTTCCTGTCTTTCTCACACATGCCCTTTTTTTTTTTCACAGCTGGGCATTGCAAAATTCACTGAAACTGAAGGAAAGTGAGGCTGCTGCTGCTGGTGGCAGAGGGCTCAACTCCAAGCCCCCCCTCTGCCTGTGTCTTGCCAGGGGAAGTGGCTGCTGCAGCCCCACCCCCAGGGCCAGGGCTGGAGGAGTGGACCCAAAGAATTGGGCCCAGCGGCACAAGGCGGCTCCTGTGGCCCAGAGGCCCTCAGGTCTCCCCTCCTGCAGCAGCCTGGAGCCCAAGTGGGGGAATTTGTCCCCAGGGCCTGCAGTGGGTGAGGGAGGAAAGAGGCTGCTGTCTCGGCCGTGAAGATCGCGGGTTGCCAGCCGAGAAGGCGACTGTGATCTGACGTCAGTATCCAGAAGAGGAGGAGGAGAAGGGAGATTGCGTGGGGGCTGTCCTGATGATCAGCACATTAAACCCTCTTCTCTTCCCCCTCCCCAAATTAAGTACCTTTCAGCTCTGAGATGGCTAGTCAAGACCGGCAGGGCAGCCACCGGGGTGCAGACTCAGGCAGGGAGAAGAGCTGAGGCAGAAACGAGGGTGCTGTGCTGCTGGGCCCCACACTGGTCACACCCCAGGCGGCAGCAGCCCCAAACGGAGCCCTCTTAACAGCCAGGGCGGGTGGAGGGGCAGGAGCAGCTCAAAAGAGTTTCTCGGGCTGCCTGGTCAGAGATTGAGGGAAGTGTGGGGCTGGGACAGGAGGGCCCCCGCTCAGACCAGGAGGGGCAGCTTGGGATGCCAGAGCTGGAAGCCTATCCTCGGCTGCCCCTCGGGAAGTGCTTGTAAAATGGAGCCTCCCGGCCTCTTCAGGGGCCTTCTCTGAGGGGACTTGCTGGAGCTGGCTGGGGATCCCTATTTAACATATTAGGTTGCCCAGGGTGACAGTGTAAAGGGGAAGTGTTGGCACTCTGAGGTGCCTCCGCCCGGCCACAGGAGCGCTCTCCAGGGTGCTGGGAACAGGCAAAGCCAGGCATTCCCGAGCCGGCCGGCTGCGTTTGGCGGTGCCTTCGCTCTGCCCCGCCTACCCCCCCCCAGGCTTCTGCTCAGCTTCCTTTGGTCAGAACGAGCCACCTTCCCCAGGCTTGTTCTCACACGGGGGGCAGCCCAGGTCTGCTCCATCTGCCCAGAACAAAGCACCCCACAAGTTGGGCAAGCCTGGGAACCAGACAGATGGCTGCCCCAGGCCAGTAGCCCCCTCTTTCTGCTTCAGCGTCTGCAGCGGTGACTCATCACAAGCGAGACTCACAAAGGAACACGCTGCTGCCACCACCACCACCACATTCACAGCACCAAGTGAGCCCTCTCCTCCAAGTGTGATCTGGCACGGCTGCTGCCCCCACCCGAAAAGGAAAGAGCGAGAAAGGGGCGTCAGGGGAAGAGGAACCATTCAGGTTCCCTTCTGGTCAGCAACGGCTTCCAAAGCAGCCCGTAAGCTCCTTTCTCTGACAAATGGTCCAGTCATTCTCTCTCTGGCCAGCAACACACAATTGTGTGTGCTGCCTTGAAGAAAGAGAGAGGGGGGAGAAAGAAAGGGAGGGAGAGGGAGAGAGAGAGAAGGAAAGAGAGAGAGAGGGAGAAAGGGAGAGAGAAGGTGTGAGAGGGGAAGAGAGGGAGAGAGAGAGAAAGGGAGAGAGGGGGAAGAGAGAGAGGGGAAGAGAGAGGGAGGGAGGGAGAGAGGGAGAAAGGGAGAGAGAAGGTGAGAGAGAGGGGAAGAGAGGGAGAGAGAGGGGGAAGAGAGAGGGAGGGAGAGAGAAGAGAGAGAGAGAAAGGGAGAGGGAGTGGGGGGGAGAGAGAGAAAGGGAGAGAACATGAACCAGCTGGGAACAGAGCTCACATCTTTCTGTCACTGGCCTGTAGACCATCAAGAAAACGGAAAAGATAAAAAAGAGGAATAAATGCTATTTCTATGCTGAAGACAGACCCTGGAGAGATGTTTTCCCCAGAATCTGGGGCATTTTGGCCCCAGGCGGGGGAGAGAAGATGGAGGCTCTGCGTCAGCCTTCACCAACTCAGCCCTTGGGGGGTGGGGGGGCAGAATGGATGGGGGTGAACATTTAATTCTCAGAAGTCTTGGTTACAAAATGTTCCAAAGTGCCAGGATGGAAAAAGCTAATTTAGATAAATAGAGCCATGAAGGACAGAGCTTAAGCCCGTGAGATCTACTTGGGGCTGGATTTCTTTTTCATATCTGTGAATTGAGTGCAACCATTTGGGTCCTCATGCAGGACAGCGACTCAAGAGGCAGGCCAATCTCCGGCTTTGCACTAGGACAAGGCTGTACAAATACTGTGTGCTAGTGCAAGCCAGGCTAACACAGTGAACAGTTTGCATGTGGGAGGGCTCAGAGAGCTGCCCTCAGAATATTCCCATCTATCTGTTTAGCCAGAGAAAACAAAAAAAGGGAGATTTCAGAGCTGAGAGATAGCAGGTGCTTCCGGCCAGGTACCTTCCTTCCAAACCCTTAAAAGGAATGAAAATGTGAAGTCAGCCTCCACAGTCCAGAACTGGAGGGCAGTCAGTGTAATATTAGTTTAAAAAGCATTTTGGACGGGAGCCATAAAACTACGGGCCGATTCCACATTAATTAATTAATTGAAAGCATTGTTAAAGCTAAGTAATGCCTTTAGGGCTAATGCGGTTCCACTGGTCTTCCAAATAGCCCATCTCCCTCCTCCTCCTCCTCCTCCTCCTCCTCCTCCTCCTCCTCCTCCTCTGCTGCCCCTGGGCCCTTCTTGTCTCATTCCCAGAAACCAAAGGCCACCACAGGGCGGGCACTTTTCACTGAGGGAGCAAGAAAGGGGGAGAACCCAAACCCTGAGCAGGTCAGCTGAAAAGAAGGCGGAGGGCCTGCTTCGGCCAGGGGCTGGGAGCAAAGAGAAGCCAACTCTGGGAGGGTCTGGGACCAGAAGGGAGGCGACAGGCACCCCCACTTCATGTCCTGCCCCACCAGCTGGCATCGACCAGGCAAGCGGCCCGTCAAACCCGGCGACTCTGAGCCATGGAGGGGAAAGCGCCAGACTCTTCCGCAGGAGACGTGATGGAGAAGAAAGCCGACAGCCCATCACGCCTCTGGATCTGCTTTGGGAGCAGCCATGTTTGGAAAACTGTGTGCATTGCAAAGTGTGAAAAGAGCTCCCAAAAGATACTCTAGAACTGGGAGGAAAAAAAGGGCCTGGCATTTTGGAACACACTTTCAACAAGAGCTAAGCCTGCTTTAGTTGGGAAAAAACCCGTGACTTCTATTTTGTTATATAATTCTTAGCACAGATAGTCCTCGACTTACAACCCTTCATTTAGTGACCATCTAAAATTACAATTACAAAAAGTGGCTTATGACCACTTCGAAAACACCAAGTGTTTTTCACACTTATGACTGCTGCAGCCTCCCTATGGTCGCATGATCAAAATCCAGCTCCTTGGCTCCTGGCTCGTAAATAGGAGGGTTGCATGTCCCGGAGTTTATGTCTTCACCTTTTGCCACCTTTTGACAAGGAAAGTCAATGGGGGAGCCAGATTCACTTAACAACCATGCTACTAACTTAATGATTCACTTAACAACTGTGACAAGACAGTTCATAAAAAGGGGCAAAACTCACTTAACAACGGTCTTGCCTTGCTTAGCAACAGAAATGTTGGGCTCAATTGGGGTCGTACCTGTATTTTTCTCTTATTGCTAAAAAGCTGGAAACCCCCCTGATTTAAAGGTGTTGGGAGAAGACTTGGACTGCATCTTCACAAACCATCTGCCCCTCAGGACGGCTTCCCCCATGGGCACCATCTGTCCAGGAAGAGGGGACCTGGGCAGAGGCAAGGTTGGCAGAACTCATGTAGTGGTCAAGGAAAGGCAATGCCAGAGGGAGCTGAGGACCAAGACCAGCGTTCCTCCACGGGGCTGCAGTTCCCCAGGCGTGGCCGGCTGATGCACTGGGAAAGCAGCCAGGTAGCACTGACCACCCACTCCTTCGGCTTTGCTGGCCCAGAAAGGGTTAACCATTTGGCGCGCTTGCTGAAGCACATTGCCAGCCACCAACCAGCCCTTGTCTCAGGCCAGTTTCTGTTGCAGCAGTTCCCTCTGCTCTGCCTCTCACAGAAATAAACCTTTGACCTTTCTTGTGTTGGGGGTGGCAAGCAACAGCTCCAGGAAGCTGACCATTCCCCCCCCCCATGACTAGCTGATGAGGGGTGCAGAATAAGCAGTGGGTGTCTTCCTGGGCAAACTCTGACCTCGTTAGACCCGTAGAACTCTGAGCAAAGGCAATCCGAGGAGTGCGGGAGGCCTTCTCAGTTGCTGGTTGATGACCACAGAAAATGCAGCCACAAGAGGCCTTGCCCTCTGATGCATTACAGCCCAGCTGAGCTCCTCCTGGGTGCCTGGCAAGCTCTACATCAAGTACACAAACATCTGTCTGTAAGGAGTTAGCAGGAGGTCCTCGGTAGCCCTCTGGACCAATGGCCCAGCTCTCCATCGCCTCTCACCAAAGTCAGCCAACGAGGATGCTGACCTCATGAGAAAAAGCCTTCCTGGGTCAGCAGCTCCTTCAGTGCCTCAGCCACTGCACCTGTTGTTCCAGGGTCCATTGCCTCAGGATAAAGCCCCCTCCCCCTCACCACGCACCCAGCCCAGCCTGCAAAGAGCAGACACAGTTCTGGCAAGCATCACATTATTAACTCGGCTGTCAATCGCTCCAGCATTTCAAGGTTGTACAAGTCATCAGCTGGGGTGGATTTCAGAGAAGCCGCATCAGCTAATTTCTGTAATAGTTTATAATTGATTCCCCCCATTGTCTCCAAGAAACAATAAAGCATCTTCCTCCTCCACCAGCTGCCTCATCTCTGGCTTCTAATACTTCCCGCCGGGACCGTTGTGGTCTTTAAGCCCCCAGGAAGCTCTGCTGATCCCTCACACAGGGACCTGCTGCAGGACAAAAGGGGTAGAGGGGGTGTGTGGGGTGTCTGTGCCTGTGCCTGTGTGAGGGAGAAAGGTCAGTGGGAATGCAAGATGCAGAGCCAGGCACCCAAACTTTCTGCAGGGAGGCAGAATTCTCTTTCCTGCATTTTACACAATCCTCTGGAGAGGAAACAAGTTATTCCACAATGAGCTCCGACTACTCCAAATAGCCAAAAACTTGGGAGGAACTTTTGCCTTTTTTAAGCTATAAAAATGAAAGGGTGCTCCCTGTAATCCCCCAGGGGAGTCTTGCCCCGCTCTTAAGACATATCATGGCTGGTTTCAGTTAAGCCATTCAAAATCCAACTTTGGAGGAAAGAGGAAGAAATCTGAAACAGCAACACCTCTGCAGAACTGGCCTTTGGTAAACCTTCTTTAGAAGGGGGGGTTGTGGGGGGGGTTCTCTTTTTTGCTGAAAGTAGCCCCGTAGCCAGAGGGTTAGGGTCGATTAACCTCTGCATTAACCATGGTTTAACAAGTAAACCACAACTGGTGGGTTTCACAGAACAGGTTAAGCCACAGGATCAGATTTACAAACCAGACAGAACCAAGTTCAGACATTGAACCACCTGAGGCTCCACTCTCGCTGCCACCAAACCAAAGCCAAAACGGACAGAGAGTAAAGCCGCCGCCGGATTCTTCCACAAATCTCCTGGCCAAGTTGACAATCTGCTGCCCCCAGGACAGGAGTCAAGGCAATGCCACCCGGGTGACTGGGCCCAGCAAAGCCAGCCTCGGCTTAAGACGAGAGGACCCCATACGACAGGAGCAGCTCCGCGACATCTGTCTTTCTCCCCCCCCCGCGGAAAAGCCCCCTCCGTCTTGCCGGGCTACCGAGCCTGAGGGCGGCAAAGCAGAAAGCAAGGCGCTCACTCGGGAGAGCCAACCGGGGGGCGCCGCTCTTACCTTGGCCCTCATCTGGCCCGAGGTGGAGACTTTGCGGATGAGCCTGTGGGAGCCGCCCTCCTGCTCGCCTTCGCTGTCCGAGGACTCCTCGCCCGGGGCCAGCCGGTCCATCTCCAGCGAGACCACCGACTCCCGGCCCTTGCGCAGGAACAGCTCTCCCGGGGGGGCCAGTTTCTCGGCCATCCTCCGCGGTCCTCTAAAGGAGAGGCAGGGGCGGGCGTGAGCCACGGAGCCCTCCGGAACCGCTTCCTCTCTTGCACCCTCCAGCCGTCAAGAGGGAGAGCAACCCGGCTCACTCTCCTCCCGAGGCCGGCGGAGCGCGCACTCGCTGGCCCCCGTCTCCATCCACCTCCTGGACTGTGGCGCTGGGGGGCTGCGGGGCGAGAAAGCCGCCGCTTTCCCCCGGAGAGACCGCGTGGGGCTTGGCGAACAGGTGGTTGGCGGGGCGGGGGCGGCGCCGGCCCTCGCCTGGTCTGCGGGGGCGCAGCCGCCCGGCCCCGACTTCGTAGCGGGCGACCTACCGCGTAGCAACGGCGGGAGAAACCCGCTGGCCCGAGCGGAGGCAGCGTCCCCTTCTGCGTCTCCGCAGCGCCGCGGGGAGCGCGCGCGCCCGTTTCGCCCTCGTCACCGGGCGCAGCTCCCCGGAGCCTCCAAGCCGAGCGATCCGCCACCACCGCGGCACGTGTTGCTTCCTCGGCGCTTGGCGGTGGCCACAAGCTCCTGCTTCCTCCCGCCAGCCGCCGCTGCAGTCTTCCCTGGTCCCGCCCGCCGCTGAGCAAACAAGCCTTTTCCCCGCCCCTCTCCCATGCGAAGCGCTCAAATGCCTTTTAATCCGGCTGAACGAACCCCGAGAAACGGCCCCAAATCAGCCTTGGCCCCGGCGGGGGGGCTGCGGAGGCGACCCTCTTCCCCGCCTTAGGAAAAGGGCCGAGGGGGCCTCCCCGCCCCCCTTCGCCGAATCAAGAAAAGAGGCAGATTGGAATCGCTTTCGAGAGCGGCTGCGGCGGCTGCGGGGCCCCGTCGTGCTCTCGGCCTGCCTCTCAGCATACTAAGCCGGACTTGGTCGACCCAAATGTCCACCACTCGCAGGCGCCTTGCGGGAGGAGGGGGGGCGAACAAGAGATGGATTCAGGGGACGTAGCCGAGGAGGCGGAAATCCCGGAGCGGCCTTCGACGAGCTGCTCGCCTTCCCACCAAACCCTACACCTTCTACTGAGCTTGCGGGCGGAGTCCGCAGGGCAGACCCGGGAGGCCAGCTAGACCAAAAGCAAGAGGCGAGTTTGGGCCTCGGGATGAAGACCCGAGGACATTTTAGGCCGGGCCGACCTGCGTGTCCGCGCGCTGAGCGACTGCTTCGGGGGGAGGGGGGATAATGAGAATCCAGGCAACGGGCTTAGTTAGGTAAAGTTGGTTTGCTAAACCTGCGGGCAATAGCACGCGTGACGCGGTAGGTAGGAAAGGTGTCCTGTTGGGGCCGGGCAACCCGCCCCGGCTGCAGCCTTTCCCAAGAAGTTTGCGTCACCCACAAAGAGCCCTGGATCCGGAGCGGTCAGCAGGCAGCGCCCCCAGTTGTCCTCGGCCACTCGAGGCTGCTCCACTGCACTGCGCTCGGGCCAGTGAGGGGAAAGCGCCCAAGACCGGGAAGAGCGAGGCCACCTGCAGACCTCCTGGTCATTAAGAGAGTTGGAGCTCCCTCCAGGCGCCCCGGTTCTACCTTCCTTTCATCTCGGCAACCAGGCGCAGAGTCTTGCCTCCAGAGCCCCGTTGGTCAAAGCACCTTCATCTCCCATAACCTCCAGCCAATCGAGAAATGTATGTTCCTTCCAGCTCTAGCAGGCCAGCAAGTGGGGCTGGGGGCATTGTGGGAAATGGGCCCCTCTAGAAACCTATCTATCCTGCAAGCAGGGCAGCTAAGAACCCAGCCAAGGAAGACTGAAGGGGCTGGAAGAGGCAGGCAATGGCCCAGGGGTACTTGAGGTGTGCCATTCCAGCCAAGGAGCAGCCAGGTAGGTCTGCCTGGGCCAGGGTCAGCAACCTGCGGCTCTGGAGCTGCATGTGGCTCTTTCACTGCGCTCCGTATCACTCAAAATATGTGTCACAACCACCAATGTGCAACGCCCGCCGGCACACAATTTATTGAGCTTCTTAACCTCTGGTAGGCCAACCATGGATAAATCCAAGAAAAGTTTCAGAAGAAAACAGGACATTTAATTCAACTACATATGCTAATTTTGTGGAAAGTCAGGCACAGGAAGGGTTTTGTGGCTCCCGGTGTTTTCTTTTCTTTGGGAACCTGGTCCAAATGGCTCTTTTGAGTGTTTAAGGTTGCAGCCCCCTAGCCTGGGCAAAGCCCCTTGCGTGCAGAAAGGGCCTTGGGCAAATGACCCTCCAGGTGACCTCTTGCCCTGAGGCAAGCACTGTGCAGGGAGAGGTCAGCAGTAGCTCCCAAAGCAGGTATGAGCATGTTGGGGGTCTGCTCCAGCTTCAGGCAAGAGCCCGTCCCGCCCTGCCTTCCCCTTGACTTGATGGTCCTAGCCAGATGCACCACAGGACAGAGGCAGAACCATTCAGTCTTTAAAGCCTGGCTTGCCCACCCCACCCCTCCCAATCAAGCATCTTGCTGTGGTGAATGGTGAGGGAGCTCTGGGAGGCAGCACAGTCCCTGCCAGCCCAATTTCCCTTGGTGAAAGGGCAGGTGGGCTGGGCAAAGCTTGGCTGGCCATTAAAGGTCAACCGTGTCATATTCATCAACGGATGAGGGCCCAAAGTCTGTGCTTCGATGTGCTTCCGCGACCTTGAATTCTGCAGCTTCCACCTTCCAGCCTTGGAATTTGCTGCAATTAAACACCATGCTCTGGCTCTTTTCTGCAACAAGGGTTGCAAGGCATTCTTCATCCCTTCGGCCCCTAATGTGCAGGGCTGTTGCAGCCTGGCCTCATTCTCAATCCTGCACATGAACGTCTGCCCACGTTTCCAAGGCTGTTGCCTCCATGAATCATCTGAAGCCTCGAGAGGAGCCCATCATGCAAAGGACTCGGTCCTGGAAATCTAGCCAGTTGCCCAGCCTGTGGTCAGAGGCTACCTGGTGAGCCTTCTGCCTCTGCTCAGAGCAAGCGAATCCTGCCAAACTGCCAGCTGCTTTTCCCTTAGAAGTGGGAAGCCCCCTCCCACATCTCATGTGCCTTATATACAAATAAAAACCATCTTCCCCCTTTCAAAGCAGGCTGGTGCTTTGGATGCTCCTGCCCCCCCCCCAACAGAAGCCACACAGAGCCGGGGCCCAATTAGCACCAATTTAATGCAACACGTAATTCTGCTTTTTTCCCCATTCCCATAATTGCAACCATAGCCAAGGCACAAGCTGCTGGAGGTGGTGGTGCCTTTGGAAACACAACTGAAGAGATCTTGCTGTGGAAATGTTGGACAGGAACCATAGATTCTTTGGTGTGTAGGAAGCACAAAATTACAGCCAGCAACTCAAGCATTTAATCACATAGCAACATGCCTCCAGAGTTGGCACTTGGGTTCCACCTGCGCTGAGGAGGGGCTGCTTGGGTAGAGAGCAGCTGCTCAGAGTGAGCCAGGCAGGGAGAGGGGCAGAAATGGGCAGGGAACAACCCTGTTCCTACCAATAAGTAAAGGGAGCTGCAGGTGGGAGACATGGAAGAGGAGGAGGAAGGGGAAGCTGGTAATCGCCAAGGTCCCCAGTTGCACAGAGATCCTTCCCACTCGATGCAGCGCCCTGTGTTGGACAGCCAGAAACTGGGCCTGGAGAGCCACTGGGCAACCTGACCCCTCTTCAGCACACGTAAATGCACCACGCTTTTACAGCCAACTCCCCACAAAAGGCTTCCGTCTCGAGCAAGCCAGAAATACTCGAGAGGAGGGGGGGGAGCAGGCAGCAGGAGGTCAGATTGGAGAAGAAGACAGGGCGAATTTCCAAGTTCTGCCTGGGAAAAGCAGAAAGAGGCTGACCTGTAACTTTGGCTGCTGCCTCCCCACTCCAACTTCCAAAATGGTGGACGCGCACCCACTCCCAGGGCCGTTACAGGAGCAGCAGAGGTTAAAGCAGAAACCAAGAGCAACTACCAAGGGGCCCGTTAGTGATTATGGGCTGTCGTATCCAACTACTTTTCCAGAAGGTACCAACAGGCAGGCGTTCAAGTCCCTCAAAGCCCAGATTTTCCAAAAGAATAAAGGCCGGCTCAGCCCTTCAGAAGAAGGATGGCGAGCCCCTCCTTAGGAGCCTAAGGCGGGAAGCAGTCAAAGCCCAAGTGGCCTGGGTCACTGGCTTTAGCTTGGCCACCTTCTGATGACCTGGAGTGTTCAGGAGCTGCAGTCCCAGTTCTAGAGGGCAGCACGTTGAGAAGCTGGCCTGGAAAAACTGAGTCTCCCTGTTGGAGGGTTAAAGAGGGACAAGCCATCCTCCTTCCCTGCTTGTTGGGAGCCCAGGCAGTGGGATTTTCACTCCTCTCGAGGCCCAGAATGCTAAGGCAGCCCGGCCGGGGTCTTATTCCCCTTCCTCGAAGCAAGAACGGGCAGCTGTGAGTTCCAGGCAGCCCAGCGCTGAAGAGGTTAAGCCAGGCAAACTTGGCTTCCTGCACTGGGCCAAGGACAATGGAGAGGAAGAGGATGTTAGAGTCACAATAGCCATGGCAGGATCCCAAGACATTCCTCTGCCGCAAATACAGGAGAGGTAGGAAGAGAAGCCCTTGCTATCCAGTCCCGGTTCACCCTCCACCCCCCCCAAGTGTTCTTGCCAGGGAATTTCAGCTTTAGGCCATGCCAGGAAGGTGGAAGGGAGACCCTCTCCCAGGTCAGGGTTGTCTGGCCAAGGCCGAGGGAAAGAGCTGGTAACTGGGGCTGGATTGGCCGTTGATCCCGTCGATCAATTAAGGCAGCCAGCCCATAACTCACGAGAAAGGCAGGCTTGGGTATATGCCTGCTGTCCCTCCACCATTGCTGGCTTAGGGGTCTGACCACACCCCACTGCACAGCCGGGCTTTTCCAGGCCTGATCCTCACCTGACCCTGGTGCTGCAGGGGGCATCCCTCTGGCCCAGTTTTGCTGCTGGACAGCTGCCACCTGAGCCCACGCAGGCCTAGCCGCAGGAGAAGGGCAAGGTGAGACCCGTGAAGTTGGCTGCTGCTGCTGCTGCTCTCAGCCTGATCCCTCCCACGGGAAGACTGAAGCAGCAGCCCCAGGGCTTAGTTGGGGACATGGGCAGGACGCAACAAAGATGCGATGCCACTGGCAGGGCTCCTTGGGCCAAGGCAGGACTCTCCGGGAAAGCCGCTGTGGGCATGGGCTCCGAAACAGCCCGTGCCAATGCTCTTGGCCACCAGGCCCTCGCCCGACCCAGATCCAGATCCACATTTCACTTGGAAGCAAACTCTAACATAGCAACAGCGGAAAATAAATAACATGGAGCGGCAGAAAAGGGATCTTTGAGGCTTGTAGGCACTTAAGGTGAGCAACGGGTCAGAAAGTATTGTGAGAGGGAGACTTTGTCCATGCAAGGCTGCGTGGCCCCTGGAAGGGACGGGGTCACCTCGTCTGGCCAGCTGGGTAGTTTGTGGAGAGGCTGCGAGGACCCCCACTGCCGCTTCATTCCAGTGACTCAGGAGTCCCGCAGCCATCTTTTCTGGATCCTAACTGCAGGAGGGGCCATCTTTGTGGCAAAAGGCACGCGGGTGGCCGCTTCTTCCTTGGCCAGAGAGGGCAGGAGCAGACACAGCTCTTTGGCAAAAGGCATCATCTCTTTGTAGAGGACAGAAGGCTGCAGAGGCCCTGCAGTTTGCAGCCAGCCCTCACCCCAGCCGGTGGGATCCAGGTTCCTCTAGGGCTTCCTGGGCCTCCGAGGCAGGCTCTCCCAGAGACAACGCAGCTGCTCCTCACCCAGCTTGATCTTATCGTCCAGCTGCCGTTGCTGGATTGCCAGGGCGGACTTCATGCGCACAAAGTGCTGATAGTCTTGCAGTTGCTCAGGGGGCAGGCAGCGCGAGACGGTGGCAAAGACGAGCTGCTCCCGCTGACCCACATGCTCCTGCAGCTCCTTGGCATCCTCCAGCTGCGCTGTCAGCTGCCGCTTCTTCTCCAGGAGGGCCATCTTTGGGCAGGGGAGAGGAGGAGGAGGAGGAGGAGGAGAGAGACCTGGTCAGTGCTGGCCACGCCTGGGACCTCTTCAGGTAAGGAGCCCCAAGCTGGCTGCAGAGCCCAGGGCTGGATCCAAGAAGCAGCATTGGAGTTCCCACCATGGCAGGAAAGGGGGGAAAACCGGCTGCACCGCAAACTCCTGGCCTTACAGTTGCCAGGACTGGCACTGCCAAGGCCCCGGTGAAGCAGTGCTGTGCAGCCCAGAATCATCAGCAGTGGGCTGGGTACAATGGTGAAATCCAATTTTTTTTTACCACCGGTTCTATGGGCGTGGCTTGGTGGGCGTGGTGTGGCTTGGTGGGCGTGGCTTGGGCATGGCAGGGAAGGATACTGCAAAATCCCCATTCCCTCCCCGCTCCTGGGGGAAGGATATTGCAAAATCTCCATTCCCACCCCACTCTGGGGCCACACAGAGGTGGTATTTGCTGGTTCTCCAAACTGCTCAAAATTTCCGCTACCGGTTCTCCAGAACCTGTCAGAACCTGCTGGATTTCACCCCTGGCTGGGTACCCTTTGATGAACAGGAAGGCCAGGACTGTGGAAAGGCATGGCTGTTTCTATCCAAAGGAAGAGTGGCATAGCCTTCCTGGGCAGAGCACCACCTTGTGCCCAGCAGGCAAGGAGTGGGCCTCTGCCATTGTCTGGGCCTGGGGGTGTTCCAGCAGACATAGCCAGGAGTCGCAACAGGGAGCAACGGAGGACCCAGCTCAGCTCAGCTGCAGGGAAGCTCCGCTCTGCCAGGACGGGCCAGCCAGCCTCTTCTGTACCATCAGCACCCTGCCCAGCAGCCTGCCCTCCCTACCCCCTTGCATGCCCACCTTCTCCTCCTCCTCCTCCTCCTCCTCCTCCTCCACATTCAGTCCACTGAGGGCGTTCTCCACTCGGGCCAGCCTCCCAGACAGCGAGAGCAGCAGGTTGACCACCTTGTCCAGGTCGCCTATGACGAGGCGGAACTTCTCCAATTCATGGGGCTTGCAGGCTCCCTTGATGTAATTCTCCACCTCTCTGCCAAGGGCCACATTGGCACTGAGGTCATCCTGCAGGCTCTGCTGGGCCTCCTGCAGCACTTCCAGCTTCCGCCCAATGCTCTCGATCAGCTGCACCTGCAGAGCAGAGAGGTCAGCGGCTGTGTTTTCCAGGGAGAGACAGTTCCAATTAATGGCTGTCGGCCCAGCTGGGGCTTTGCAGATGCTCCCCCAAGACCCCTCCAGCTCCTGGTGCCCATCTGGAGCCAAGGACCCCCATAGCCAATCCCCTGCAACTTTGCTGCTCAGGCCCTGGACTCTCAGGCTCAGTGATCTGCAGGTGGCAGCTGGGCTGGGTGGGGGTAAGCTCACCTTCTTCTGAGCCAGGTCATGGTCCGGCTCCTCTTCTGAAGAGGCTGCAGCCAACTCAGAGCGGTCCTTTATTTGGTTCAGCAGCTCAGCCTTGCCCGCCAACAGGTTGAGGTAAGCCAAGGAGGAGGGGGCCGCTCTCCCTCCAGTGGCGGACTGGGGAGACTTCTGCTGCCTGCACAAAAGAACGCATTGGGGGTACAGGTTGGGGGGGGGGGAGAAAAGAGGCTGGTTTTATATCGTTGCGGGGGGGCCACAACATCCCTGTAAAGAAAAGGAGGCTCCAGCAGCCCAGTTGCATCAGCCTGTGCAATTCCTCTTCCTCTCTCATTGCTTCAGGGCAGCAACATCCCTGCTTACTCTCTCCCCCCGCCCCGCCCCCCCCCGGTTTTCTAATCCCAGCAATCTGTGAGAAGGCTGATCTTTGGGCCAGAATCACCCAAGGGACCTCTCCCCAAGCCAGGTTCACTGTTGCAGCCAGGGGTCATGCTGGCTCTCATGTTGACTTGCCTGACTCTTCTGCATATGACTCCCCCCCCCCCCCCCACGCATCTGAAAAGCCTGAAGATGCCTACCTTTCAGGGCAGCTGGGACCACTCCCAAGCAGTGACCAGCCCTGCCTTGGCCAGAGAGGGCAGCTACTTTCAGCAAAGAGGTCACCCATCACCTCAGCTGCTGACCGGAGTCCAAAACCAGAGCTCAGCACTCCAGCCAGAGAGCGGTCCTTGCCTGCCACGTCTCTCATCAGCTCCTCCGAATTCAGGCGCAAGGGTGGTGGCCCTGATTTGTGACTCTCTCTTGCAGCATCTTGGGACACAGGCACACCCTGTTGGGGATCTGGTGGGCACAGAATGTGTAAGCCAGCAGTGCTGCCCTCCAAACCTACCCTATGACATGCCCCAAAGGGAAGAGACTCACGCCAGGTAAGGGGCGGCTCTGAGGGGCTGCCGGTTGGCATCTCCTGCTCCTCAACCCGGGAAGGCTCCTTGGCAGCTGCCCCCTCCGAGGAACTGGCCGCCCTGTAAGCACAGAACCAACCCATCCTTTGTTAAGGCCTGGCCGTTCCCTTGGCAGGCAGAGCTGGAGGGCGACCGATTTCTACAGGGGACATTTGCGCCCTTCTCTGCCCTAAAGGGAAGAGGAGAGACAGGGAGCGCCTTCTCATTGGCACGGCTGGCATGGCCCCCTTTCTTGCCCTCCCTGCGCCTCAAGTAGGCATGTTAGACATTGGTGTTTGTGCGGGAAGGGCTCAGCTTCCTGGGGACACCCCTCCCAACCCTCCACCCTTCTGGGACCCAGGACAGCAGAAACCAACGGAAGACTACTTGCCTGGATGGGGCGCTCCGGTCACTTGCCTCAGCCATCAGCCACTCCCAGGTCCGGGGTGGTGACCTGTGGCAGTAGTAGTGGGGGCTGTCTTGCCCTGGGAGGGAAGGGGCACCATCGGGTCTTGTACCAGGCAGCCGCAGGCACTGCAGTTGTGGCCTATTGTGCCACAGCTGCTCCGCAGGGAGGCTCTGAGAACGCTCCCTGGCCACTTCGAAACCAGGCTGGTCCGGGGCCCAGGAGTCCTGCACATGAACGGGCAGGCTGGCCTGGGCAGGGAGAAGCTGTTGGTGTGATGTGGCTGGGCGGTATTTCTCCCAGTTGGGTGGGGGAGGGCGTGGAGGTGGGGGCCCCCTTCTTCTGGCTTGGCATGGTGGTGACTTTGGTGCCGTTTCCTGCACCTTGGCCAATGGGGCTTCTTGCCATTCCCTTGCAGAGACACCGGCAGATTCGGTGCAGAGGTGGCTCTCCGAATAGGCCCTTTCACGCAAGGGGGGTTTGTGGGGCTCGCTGAGCCCCCCTTCCGAGCCCCCCTTCTCCGTGACCCACTTTGGCTGCTTGCAATCCCAGGAGAAGTTGTGTGTGGATGGGGCTCGGCAGAAAGGGGGCCCAGTTGGTTCGGTGCGCTCAAAGCAGGTCCAGAAGGGGCTGACCCTGGTGAAGGCCACCTGGTGCTGCAGGAGCTGACTGGAAAAAAAGAGGAGGGGACTGCAGACACGAGCGTGGGTGGGAGCTGCCTCCTCCCGCCCTCAATGGGTGGGGGCTGCTCATCGAGGCACACTTGCTCTGAGGAGGGAACGAGGGTCTCTTAGCTGTTGGGGTCCACTCATTCTGGCCAAGGCCCCTCACTTGGCCAGACAGAAGTGGATTAATGGCAGCCAAGCTGGGGTCTGCCTCAGTGCCACAAGTTGGCTTCCCCCCTCCCCAGGGCAGCTGCTTCTCAAAGGCAAGTGCCCAGTTGGCCTCCTTCCCCCATCAAGTAGGCCTGTGCTTCCATCAGAGCGCCCGACAGGGGAGACCGGCCAGGATGACCGGCGGCTCCAAATCGTCTCTCGCAGGAGATGCGCCCTGCCTGCTGTCTCAGGCCTTCATGTGAGGGTGAGGGAAGCAGGCACAGGTTAGGGCCTCCCCTCTCTGAGAGGCCCTCAGAGACCACCCTCCAAGAGGCAGCATAGAATGCCACCCCACCGGTTTCTTTAGGGTCAACCCTGTTTCTGTTCTGCCTGGCTTACCTCACAGCGTGGCTGCTTGCTCTGTTCACAGCTGGGGGCTCCCATTCATCCGGGGGGAATTCCTGGGAGGCAGGAGAGGAGAGTGAGGGGAGGGGCTGGAAGGGGCCACAGAGCCCCTTGACCTTCTGCCCTCCTGGCCTGGGCAAAGGGGATGAGGCCAGGCAGCCAGTGAAAGCCCATCCCAGCAGCTGAGCTCCTCTCCCCCATCCCCCACTGGTGGGATTTGAAAATCCAACTTACCACCTGAAAAGGCTTCCTTGCTTGCCAGGGACCTCCATCCTCCACAAGTTTCTGCTGACCTGGGCAATAGCACTCACTGCAGCAGCTCCAGGAACAGGGGTGACAATGGTGGGCACGATGGCTGGGTGGCACTGGCATGCTCCTTGAGTGCAGCATGGCGCACTCATCTTGAAAGCTGTAGGCGCAGGCCTCTCGGATCACGCACGAGCAAGGAAGAGCCCACCAATGCTCAGTGTCCACTCCGGGTTGAGCCAGGGACTTGCAAAACCTCACAATCTCTGGCTGGAAATCCTGGTAGACGGGAGGCGAAGGTGGGCATCGGTAGGACTGGTCAAGGGAGTGACGCCGGAAGTCCCTGTGCTCAGTGCTTCCGGGCTTCTCTGCCTCGGGGATCCGTGTGCTGTCAGGCCTGCCCTGAAGAGAGCCATAGGGCCTGGCGGGCAGCAGGCGGCTCGTCTCCTCAAAGAACTTCCGTCGGTCGGCAAAAGGCAAAAGGCCGGGTTCCTCCAAAGGCAGCTGTGAGGACAGCCCTGGCTCTGACTCCTGAGGCTGGAGCTTGTGCTCCGGGGACCAGCGCCAGCGGCCGCCTCCCCATCCTCCCACATGGGCTGGTGGCAGAGGCTTCTCCTTGGGCACCAGGTCCCCAGGCGTCGTCTGGGGGCTGCTTGGGGCTCTCTCCTCCCCAAACACGCTCAGCTCAGAGCCCCACCGCTTAGGGGACACAGCCAGCAGTCCAGAGGAGCCAGGGGGTCTGCCCTCCCCTAAGGGAGGAGGCAGGGCAGGAGCTGCGGTGTGGGCGGGGGACTCCTCTGCCTGTGGGGCAGGTTCCTCTTCGCACGCTAGCCCCACGGGACCTTTGGCCTTCTGCAGCTGGGCTTTCCGCCACTGGATCTCATTCCGCAGGTTTGTGGCAAAGCGATCACTGCGCCGACGGATCTGTGCAGAGCGATGCTGGGTCTTCTGGGTAGCTGGGAGGCCCCTTTCAGTGTCTGGCAAATGATCCATGCGGGGGGCTGCCTGGAAGCCTGGCCGGGGTGTGCTGGCATTGCCAAACGCTGGCAGTGGTGGGGAATCAGTCAGGAGGATGCTCTGGGGCTTGCCCAGTGCCATGCAAGCGTCCCGTGGAGAAGGGGACCCGTCTTCTGTGGTTGGGGGGGAATCCAGCTCTTCTGCCGGCTCACAGGGCTTCTGGCTGCATTGGTCCAGATTTAGACGTGGCTCTGGAGCCTGCAGGTCCTTCTGCTCCTTGTGCAGCGGGGACACTGTCCAGCGAGGACCCTCCTGGCCACGGGAGACCTCCAAGGCCTGCAACTGGGCCACCAGCAGGTGTTCTGGGACGCTGTGGCGATGGCCAAAGGGCCCAGCCCAGTCAGCCTTCCAGGAAGAAGGGGGCTCTGCACAGTTATTTGGCTCCACCTCGTGTCCCTTCTCTTCAGGGGAGTCTCTGGGGCTCTCAGCCAAAGGCGAGGGGGAGGTTTGTGGGCTCTTCTTCATCTCAGAGTGTGACTCTGTGTGTGAGCTCAGCAGGTAGTACTGGTCAGTGAATGGAGAGTCCTTCAGGGGGCCTGTGGTGGCCAACTGTCCCCCAGGCCCATGGGGATCTCGGCCAGGTGTGCAGAGGGAGATGTCCGAGCTCCACCGATTCTCGGGACACAAACAACCTGCGTGGATCGAGGGTCTTGGGTCTTCCAGCAGGGAGTTACACGCACGCAGACTGTCTTGTCTCACAGGTGGGTAGGGAGGGGCGGTGGCTGCTTTGGCAGGGCTGGGAAGAGAGCCCGACTGAACGCTGGAGGGTAACCGGACACCAGAACCTGGGCACGGCAGGCCTGCAGGCTCTCCTCCCGTCTGCAGATAGCGAGGCTCTGGCAGCTGGCCGGGCTGGGTGCCGTCCACGGAGCCGGCCTCTTCAGGTCGCAGCGCAGAATCGGAGGTGCTCGAGCTGGCTGAGAAGGAGCTGTAGGCAGAGTCCCGCTTGCTTTGGTACATGGCCTGGTCAATGGGGGACAGGCTGCCCTCATAATAGGTCTGGCTGGCCGGGTCCAGACTTTCCATGCTCCCGAGGGAGCTGTTCTTTTCTGTGGTGCAGTGGGGAGAGAGAGGGTTCCACGGCAAAGGCAGGTCACTGGGGGCGGGAAGAAAGGGGAGGCCCCCACGTCACAGGGGCAGGGTAGCCCTGCCTGGTTTCCCAATGCACTCTGACCCATGGTTCCTTGCTTCATGGTGCAGCAGCAGCCCTCCCCACTGGCCCGCCCCCCGGCTCCCCCCCCCCAGGCTGTCACTTGACTTCCCTCAACCCTCTGCCCTCCCTCTCAGGGCCCCCAGCTCCTTTTGATCCCTGCCTGGAAGGGAGTGTCCCACCATCCACTGGGGCTCAGGCCAAGAAGGGCGACCCGAGGTGCCACCAAGGACCCAGCCTTTCCTGCTTGCCACTGAGGAGGAGCAGCAGCGATGGCATCATGGGCACATCAAATCCAAGTCTTCCCAGAGATCCAGAGTAACCCTTTCTGTCCAGCCGCTGACAGGCTGTAGCTCCCGCGGGACAGCTGGTGCCAACTGGGGGCTGTGTGTTCTGCACCGCAAAGAACCGATCCCAATCCGGGGGATGACGAGTAGGAGCAGCTCCTCCAAGAGAAGTCCTGTCCAGGCTCCTCAGGCTAGAGGCACTGCCCTCCATGCTGCATCAGAGAGTTTTGGCAGCTCCTTTTGCCCACTTGGCAAGGAGCTGAAGCCACTGCTCCCTTGGAGGGGAATATTTGTAGCTCAGGGTCGAAGGGAGGGTCCTTGGTGACGTTACCTAGTTTGAGTAATGAACTGTCTGCAAGGAAACAACCACGCCCGGAGAACTCCTCTGCCTGCTGGCGGCCTGCATGGTGCTGGGACGGCCCCTTCCTGATGGGACAAAAGGCAGCCAAGGCCTCCCGGGGAAATGATGCCCAGTCACCTCCCATGCTCAGGAGCGCTCAGGATGGGCACAATGGTGCCCACTCCAGCCAGAGTGCTGGGAAGGAGCCAGTTGGCCAGAGAAGAGGCGCTGGGGCTGCCCCACAAGCCCTACAGGAAAGCCGGCTAGCAGAGGCGCCTTTGGAGCTGTGTGGTCGCAACCGGGACCCTCCCTGTCCTCCCAATCTGGGCACAAAAAGCAGGTGGGGCAACGGAAGCTGGTCATCGCCTCCCTGTAGCACCAACAAATCCTGCTGTGCTCTCTCAGCCCGGGATGCCAAGGGGAAAGCCGGCTGTGCCCAGAGAAGGGCACCTTGCCCTCTGATGGAGAAGACCGTCAGGGGCCAAGTAACTGTCCCCCAGCCCCCCATCCTTCTTTCCTCTGGCGCTCACCTCGTCTCGCAGCCCAAGTGCCAGGAGAGATTCAGGGGGTCAGCAGTAAAGGTCATGGCGGTGCCCTCAGTCCGGACTTCGGAGAGCTTGGCTAGATGCCATGAGTGAGGCCTGATGATTGGCACGTTCCTCCTTCCAGGCAAAGAAAAGGAAAGTGAGGGGCAGGAACCCGGTGGGGCATCACACTTGCTGGGTGAAGCCAGCTGCCCCTCTGCCCTGCGACCAAGAGTGCCCTTCCCCACCTCCCAAGCCTCTCTTTGGCTCACCGCTGCTCCCTCAGGGGGGTCCGGGCCTTTTCCTTCCCAGCCCCACCCAGCTGGATGGTTGCCCCCTGCCTGAAAGGCAAGCTGTGCTCTGGAGCAGAGGAGGGGGGCACCAGGAGAGACAAGACAGAGACCGTGCCCCATATCACCAAGGGCCAAGGTGCCTCGCGGCCATCCACATCTGCCCAGTTCCTGCCAGCCCAGCCGAATGCCATTAACAAAAGCCACGGTGACCTCTTGCTGGAAGCGGACGCTCAGGTGGGAACTTCTGGCCTTGTTGTTGGCTGGTTCCACCGAGGCTGAGCCACTCCTTCAAGGCAAGACCAGTCCGTAGGAAGAGCCCCCCCCCCCGGGGCAGGACAGAGTGGAGGAGGAGGGCAGGGCAGGGGAAGGGGGCCCTGCAGCCAGAGCACTGCCTGGCACAAACATGCTAACCGTGCCATGAAGCCAGCAGCTACCAGACGAGAACCCACAGAGGGGCATCAGCAGGAGCCGTGTGCACCCCTCTGTCCACCCAGAAGCTGAGCCCCACGCCCTGTGGCGGGACCCAGGCTTTTCATTGCCATCGCTCCAGTCAAGTTAGCTCTCCCCCCCAAAAAACCCCCAAAGCCATGCACAATCAGACATGGAAAGGAGAGCCCCCCCCCCCCCCTGCAAGTTCAATACACACCTGTCCCCGGCAAGCCTTAGTGAGGTCTGGAAAGGCAGCTGTGCCCAGGATCCAGCCCAGCCCAGCCGGCCACTGCAGGCAGCTAAGTGGGACTGGAAGTGGCCGGCCCAGCAGGGAGGGCTTCCTGCCTCCTCCAGGCTCCTGGAGCCAGTTCCCATCCTCATCTCCTCCCAGCCAGGAAGCGGTGAGGAAGTGATGTCCAGGCAGATAATTTTGCTGGCAGCGGCAATATCAGAAGCCGGGACCCCAGGGAAGGGGCTTCCTGCCTCTTGGAGCGGCCCCTTCCCTCCCCTCAAGGCAGGGAGGGGGGGAGGAAGCCTCTCTTCCTCAGGGCTCCGATGCCCTGGGCCACCTGCCTGCTAGGAGAGGAGTGGGTGGGTGAGGATCTGCAGGATGGGGAGGGCAAGCGCCTGGCCTGGCCGGAGGAGAGGGGGAATTCCAGAATGCCTCTTGCTGAAAGCCTCCAGCTGAGCTTCAGGACTGCCCCCCTCCCCCCCCCACAGGAAGTGGCTGGGACAAAGTACAGGAAGGATGAGATCATTGCCAGCTCAGTTTGGGGGCAAAGAAGAAGCAGGGGCTGAGATGGAGCAGAGGCGCCGTGGGGCCACAGGCACAACCCCTGCCTCACTGCAAAGGGCAAGGAGCTCTTCTATGTTTCTGGAAGGCGGTGAACTCTACGAATAGCAGCCTGGAGAAGTGCCAAAAGAGACTCCCCCACCCATGCTCCACTCCCAAGACAGTCCAGTTATTCTGGTGCCCCCTCCATGATGATCAGGCCCGAACCCCCCCCCCCCCCCCAAAAAAAGAAAAATAAAACTTTTTTAACCTTCCTGACTCCAGAATCCCAAACTGATTCAGATCTACAGGCTGGAGCAGCCAAGAGGTTTGCCCAAACTACTGCAGCCTCCCGCCCCTCCCGGGACCCACTTCCCCAGCCAGCCCCACTCCCACAAAGAAGGGGGCTGCGTAGGAGCCACTGTTCCCTCTGCCTGGTGTAACTCAAAGGGCATCTGATCAGGACACCCTGAAACCCCAGAAGGTCATCTCAGCTCCTCGTCCTTCCAGGACCAGCCCTGGATCCAGAGTGACCAACCAGGCCTCTTCAGTGGCAGGCAGACTGGGGGGGGGGGGAAGCCCCTCCCACAAGACCTGCTGGCCCCCCCTCTCTGGCTATTCTTGGCTTCGGCCTCGCAAAACTCTGCGAGTTTTTAGTCTGCTGGGCCTTCACTTGTTTGCAGTTCCTTTCTTTTACTGAATTGTTTTGTTTTGAATTGATGCAAACTTGCCTCGAGCGATGCAAGTGGTGGGGAGAAGGGAGAGATGAATCCCCAGGGGGGGCTTCTGGAGCCTTTTGGTACCTCAGCATTTTCCCCAGGGAGACCAGGGGAAAGCGCAGCGGTTTCAGGGGTATGTTTGAGTGGATCAATGATGCCTGTTTGCTTTTAGGAACGTGGTCAGAAACTTTCGGTTTCCCAGCAGCAGCAGCAGCAGCAACAGCAGGAGCTCCTGGTGCTCAGAGAGAGAGCAAAAGCCCCCTTTTTGCTGGCTCCGGCTGCAAAGGCCAGGAGATGGAAGGAGCCTCCTTGGTTGCTGGCTTCACTGCTGAGCGAGCCAGTTCTTGGATGATCCCCCAAAGGGCAGCCGGGGCCTCAAACAGGCTGGATTGACCTGGAACTGATCTGTCTGTGTAGAGAAATCCCAGACAAATAAAGAAAGCATCTATTTGTCTTTCTGTACTTTCTGTTTCTTAAAAGAGAGGCCGCACTCTGCAAAACCTAAAACCCTGCAGCAAGGGTGAAATCCAGCAGGTTCTGACAGGTTCTGGAGAACCGGTAGCGGAAATTTTGAGCAGTTTGGAGAACCGGCAAATACCACTTCTGGCTGGCCCCAGAGTGGGGTGGGAATGGAGATTTTGCAATATCCTTCCCCCAGGAGTGGGGTGGGAATGGGAATTTTGCAGTATCCTTCCCCTGCCACGCCCACCAAGCCACACCACACCCACCAAGCCATGCCCATAGAACCGGTAGTAAAAAAAATTGGATTTCACCACTGCCCTGCAGGTTTTCCTGCCGACAGCATCGTCCCACGCGAGGATGCATCTTCTGCATTTTAGAGACATTCAGTTCTTACTAGTTGCAACGTTAAAACCTCAAGCGCCTGAAGGACTGGCATGCTTCGGAGGCAGGAGAAGAATAGAGGAGGAGTTCTTAAAAAAACCAATCTCTGCTCAAGGCAAAAGGTGCTTCACACTGCCTTTGCCAACTCAAATTGGTGTGCAGTCCCAAATTCCTGCCACAGGATGGCAGCTGCAGCCAAGCTCAAGGAGCTACAGGCACATGCCAGGCCTCCCCCCTTCCCCACAACTGGAAATCTGTGGAAGGAGAGCCTTGCAGACTGGACTGCAGCCCCCTCCCCCCGTCTCTTTTGCTGTGGCGAGAACAGTGCCCCCCCCCAGCCCCAGAGGAAAGCCACGCACCACTCAGGAAGAGCTCTTCCCTGGCAGGAGAGGCCAGTGTGGGCAGTATCCTGATGTCGTGTGTGTGTGTGTGTGTGTGCGCGCGCGTGTGTGCTCACCTCCGGATGATCATCTTGAGCGTGCGGTAGGAGCCCTTGATCAGGATGAGGGCTTCCTGCCGAGAGCCATAGAGTGGGGTGCCGTTGATGTTCACCAGCTCATCACCGGAGCGCATCTTCTGCGAGAGGGCCGCCTTCCCCCCATCCTCCACCTGGAAGGGTAGAGACAAGGCAGGAAGGGTCACCTGCCAGCCACTGCAGGACAACGGCTGGGCTGAGGGACCAACTTGTATGCCCGTCTGGGCAGCTCACAGCAAAAACATATAAGAAACAACAAATGATTTGAATCGGCTCTCGCTCTCCAGTAGATGGGGATTGCTGCAATCCCCTCACGCAGGGGAGAAGGTCCCCCCACTCACCAAAGGAGATCCACCATGGAGGCAGCAGCCGGAGGATCCCCTCAAGGACTCCTACAGGATCAGCCCCCACAAAGAGTGGCTGTAGAGTCAATGCTGCTGCAGGTGTCAGCCTGCGCCCTTGCCCAGAGACAAAACCAGGGCTGAGGCCCAAGCCGAGAAAGAGAGTGGGATGGGCAGCCCTTCCCTGCCGGTCACACGGTCTGCAGAGAAAGGGCAGGGGCTCCCCGTGGTCTGGCTGAACAAGAGCCAGTTGTGCTGGGCACAGGAAACGGAGAGCCCACAAGGCCTGGAGACATGGCAGGGAAAGAGCCACACCCAGTGGCCGAGAGGAGGGGAAGCAGCCAGGAGGAGGCAGAGTTAACCTCCTCCAAGAGGAAAAACCTGGTCCAGCTCCTCACAGAGATCTTGTGCCAGCTTCAGGCACAGTGGCTGGACAGCCTCAGAGATGGGCCATGGGAAGGGACCCTTCAAGAGGTTCCACGTTGCAGCCATTTGCCTTGGGTGCAGCCGAGACTGCCCGCCTGCTTAATCAGATGGAGGGGGAGTTCTGGAGCTGCCCTTCTAGCAGGGAAGGCCCTGGTTTCAAGAGGATCTAGACCAGTGGTGGGTTGCCCCCGGTTCAGACTGGTTTGCAAGAACCGGTAGTAAAACTGGCGGGAGGCTCCGCCCACTGACCCAGACATCATCAAAGTTGATCTGCGCATGCGCAGAAGCATCTGCACGTGTGCAGAAGAGCGCGTGGGCGCAATGCAAACTGGTAATAAAGATAAGTAGAACCCACCCCTGGTCTAGACACCCACCATCCTCTCAAATCTGAGAAGCAGGACATTGCTCCCACTGACTGGAGACCTGGTAGGAAGCTGGGTTTGTTCTTCCAAAAGCAAAGCGTGGAGAGCAGCTTGTGGGCTGTGCTGATGAGAGTCCCAGGTGGGCTTCTCTTTGTTCCTCCTGGGAAGACTGGGAGCTTCATTTCCCACCCTGAAGCCAGGCGGTTACAATTTTCCAGCAGAGAGCTGTGGCCTGACGTTTCTCCCGCACAACTCTAGTTCTCCAGGAGTCCAAAATAACTTTTAGCTTTTCTGCACAGAGAAAAGTTTTCTTGCCCTCCACACAGAAACTGGAACCCCAATGTGGCCCTTTAATCCAACGGAGACTGCAGGAGCTCCCAGCACACAGGCTAGCCTGGCTTTTTCCACAACTGGTGCCTTCAACCCAGCCCCGGTGCTCCTTCTCTGTGCGTCAGAGCCCAGCCTCTAACGCACAAAGACCAAGCAAGTGTGGGAGACCAGTCCCTCCTGTGCTCCTGGCCACCTAGGAGCTCCAGCAGGAGGAGAAGGATCCTGCAGGGAGCCGGGTGGGGCAGGCCCCACTGAGCTTGGATGCTTGGAGGGATAAGCAGCAGCAAGCCAGCTCTCCGGAAAGAAGCTGAGAGAGGCAGCCTCGAGTCCCGTAGGGAGAAGGGAGTTTGCCGGCCGGCTGCTAATTATTACACAAAGCAATCCTTGTTCCTGCTCACGATTTTGCCAGACGGAATAAAGGGTCACTCTTCCCTGGTCTGGAATCAGACCTAGCGGGAGCATTTTTTGCCCTGGGGCAGGGGGGGGGCAGTGAGTGAGTCCCGGCTCCCCCAAAGGCCCACACTCCAGACTGGTCAGCCCTCTGGGGCTGGGTGCCTGGAAAAGCCTTTGGGCCATACCTCTTGACTAGGGTAAAGAGCGCCCAAGTGAGGCAAAGATCCCCACACCGGAACACGATGGCTGCATTGTGGCTCAGGCGTTGCAGAGGAGCGACCATAAACATGCCAGTGCAGAGTGTAGGCATCGGTGGATGCCAGCCATCTGCGCAGAGCAGCCTCAGGAGGTTGGCACAGGCACGGAAAGAGAGCACGGAGGGGAAGCAGGCTTCATGGACTCCCAGGGTGCTGTTCCCCAGTTCTTGCCCCCCCCCCCACCAGCCCCAGCAGGATTTCCTCTGGAAAGATGGAGCCCTTCCCAGGAGGGTTGGGGGCAGCTGGGGGCTCAGGAGAGGCACCCGACAGATGAGGCATTTTTGTGCGGTGGCGAAAGGGACCCTGACACAGCCCCCTCCTCTCCCACCCCCCAAAGCTAACCCTGGTTCTTCCCCAGAGCCTCCCAGCCCAGGGCAGCCACCCAGTTGCCTGTTAGGAGCTCCAGCCCTGCCGGCACACAAGGGCAGTTAATCATTCATTCGCTGCCTCGGGGCTGTTACTGCTCAGCACCGGGCTTTGGGGCTCCCTCCGGGGGAAGCCTGGCATGCGGCTGGCAACGGGAGAGGCTCAGCTCCCTTTCCTTGGGGAAACACGCCGCCCCCCAAAGAGGCTCCTGGGGAAATTCCCGCAGGGGGCCGGGGTTGACCCCCCAGGGTGGCAGTCGCCACGAGGAACTTGTCCTCGCCTTCCCCCCGCCTGGGCGGGCGGGCGGGCGGCCGGAGCCCCGCGAGGTCTCGCCTGACGACCGGCTTTTCTCTGCGCCCCGAGCCGAGCCTCCCCGCCGTCTTTCAGGGAGGCGGCCCGGGAATCCCTCCTCTCGGGAGAGCCCCGGACCGGACTCCTGCTCCGCCCACTGGCCACTTTCGTCCTCAGGGACCCCTCAGCAACTCGCGGGGGCGGGGCGGGGCGGGGAGTCGGCGGTGTTCTCACGGCGGGAGGGCGGGGAGGGGGGGTCTCCTCGGAGCGGCGGAGCGGCGCCCAGAAACGCCGTAAAGTTCTGGCCGAGCCCAGCTGCCCCCCCCCCGCTCCGCGGGTCGCTCCAGCCGAGTCGGAGGCGGGGAGGGACCGAGGCGGGCCGCCGGGGAGGGCTAGCAACGCCCAGGCAACGAGGGGGAGAGGCGGCTGGGCGGGAAGGCGGACTCCAGGCAGGCAGGCAGGCAGGCAGGCAGGCAGACAAAGAGCTGCGGTTCGCGCCGGACCTCCCAGCGCAGGCAGCGGGCGGAGGGGAGCCGGGCCGGCGCCGCAGACTCACCTTGGAGACGATGAGCGGCTCGCCGTGCTCCAGCCCGCCCCTCAGGGTGAAGCCCCAGGGCGCGCCGCCCGCCAGCTGCACGTGCAGGTACTGGAAGGAGACCAGCAGGCGGCTGGCCAGCTTGGCCTGCGGGGACGGGTCGGGCTCGAGTTGTCCCGACGGCCCCTCCATGGCAGCCTCCCCTGTCCCGGGCCTGACCCGCGGCGGTGCTCGGCATCGACGGGACGCGGCGCGACGCGACGCTAAGCTCTGCCTGCTGGAGGGCGGACCGGCAGGCGCCCCCGGTGGGCGTGTCGCGGGCGAGCGGAGGCTCCCGGCCGGGCCGGCCTGGCCCGGATCCTGCAACGCCCCGGCCGAGGCGCGCCCCCAGCAACGGAGCCGCTCCGCCTCCTCCGCTGGGCTGCTTTGGCGCGCGGACTCCTGTGCTGGGCGGGGGCCGAGCCCGTGCCGGCCCGGTGTAGACGAGCTCCGAGCGAGCGCATCCTCGCCTCCCTGCACGGCGAAGATATGGAGCGGGGAGGCCTTGGGAGCAGGCTTGAGGATGAAGCTGTGCCCGCCGGGGTGATCCCTTCCCGTGTCCAGGAGGGCTTTTTCAGGCGCCTCGAGGCCGAGGGAGGAGATCCAGGCTGAAAAGCGCTCTGCACCTACCTCCAAGGGTAGCCCCGGTGCCAAGAGGTCGCTTGGTTTGCTGGTGCAGTCGAGTTTCCTGGCTTGGTGCTGAGCGCTAAAAACTGGTTTTGCCACCCAGCCTGGCCCTCAGGGGCAGCGCTGCCAACTTTCTTTCAGCAGAAGGAGTCACATTCGGGCATCCCCAGAATGCTCCTTTGTTCCCCAGCTGCTCCACAGAGTAGGTGCCACCCCTTGGCTCAGAGAACACCACAGTCCTGGGCATTGGCAAGCAGGGAAAGTCTCCAGATTTGTGTGGAGGAGGAGGAAATATGCTGTCAATTGCAAAGTCTCCAGTCCCCTTCAGTGCAAGAGGGCCTGGGACTGCAGGGGGGGGGGCTTGGGCAGTGCCCAGATTGGCTCCATCCTGGAATTGCTTTCTACAAGCATCAGGCATCGTTTGTGTACAACCCAGTGGTGAAATCCAAATTTTTTTACCACCGGTTCTGTGGGTGTGGCTTGGTGGGCCTGTCGGGAAGGATATTGCAAAATCTCCATTCTGACCCCACTCTAGGGCCAGCCAGAGGTGGTATTTGCTGGTTTTTTGAACTATTCAAAATTTCCGCTACCAGTTCTCCAGCACCTGTCAGAACCTGCTGGATTTCACCCCTGCTGCCAGGCCTAAAGCTGCCCTCCTCCTGCAGGCTGCTTTAGCTCCTCTTCCCAAGGGTGAGAAAGCCCTTTATCCAGCATGTCAGGGTGGGGAAGAGAATTCATCAGCTGGGGGTGCAAGGCAGCAGGCAGCGTGCAGAGGGAGCCAAGCCACCATTTTGGGCCATTTTGCTTTGGCTCGTGTGAGCAGAGCCCTTATAGCTGGCCCTCTCTCAGCCCGGCAGAGAGAGCCTTTCCTCAGGCTGGCTGCTCCAGTGGTGGAATTCAGGTTTTTTTACTACCGGCTCTGTGGGCGTGGCTTGGTGGGCATGGCAGGGGAAGGATACTGCAAAATCTCCATTCCCACCCCACTCTGGGACCAGCCAGAGGTGGTATTTGCCAATTTCTCCGAACTACTCAAAATCTCCTATACCGGTTCTCCAGAACCTGCTGGATTTCACCCCTGGGCTGCTCCCTTGGAGAACTCATCCAGGGCATTGGATGGCCTGGGGAAGGTCAGCCTGAGCTGATGGCTGTGGTCAAAATCCGGGGGAGGGAGAGAAGAGAATCTTGCCAAAACTGGTAATTTTCACACGCTCTGCTGTGACCAATTTGAGCTGATCTTTAGGGGTCCCAAAGACTTTGTGGGCTGCAACGATTGAGCGTTTCTCGGCTGACCTATGGAGAATCTGGAGTGGTCATTTTCAGGCATGTAATTGACTTCATGCCTACATCAGAGGCATGAAGTTTGTCTATGTACATAAGAGGTTTAGACACAAACTTGAGAGCAAGTTTCTGGATTGTTGTTTGTGCTGGGAAAGAGCTTGGCTGAGCACCAGAAATTTCCCCTCCTTGCAGAACCCATTGGTAAGTTGGCAAGGATGTGCTTTTTTGTCAGGGGTCTCCAACCTTGGCAGCTTTAAGACTTGTGGATTAAACACGAAGTTTACAAAATGACTGAAAAGCCCAGAACCCTGGACTTTGGAGTTCCTCTGGCATCCAGAGATTCAATGGTGGGGAGGAAATCCCTTTCTGCTGCCCCAGCAGAACTGACGAGCTGCTTCTGGCTGCCGAATCCCCTTGGCTGCCCTCACCTGGTGGGGTGCCTCCGCTCCCCCTGCTCTCTGCCATGAATTCTTTCTCTGGGCAACCCTTGCTCAAATGTCTCCCCTGCTTTGGCCCAGGGCTCTTCAGAGCCACCCCAAGGCACTTGAAGAAAGAGGGCCCTGCTACCCCTGAAAGGAGACAGTTCTGGGCCGCTGTAGAAGACAGATGCCCAAGCTCTGGACCCAGACAGCTGCTCCAGTCGGGAATGGAGGCTCTCTAGCTCAGCCTGCCCCCCTCTCGAATTTTGGGTCCAGCCTAAAGGCGGAAAGACACTCCCTGCCTGGGAATGCAATGCTGGTGCCAGGGGTAGAAGGGGCGGGAAGGGCTGTGCCATTGGAGCCGAGGGGGAGAGGCTCCATTCTGCCTTCGAAGGGCCAAAGGAGAGGAGAGATGGTGGCTCCCAAAGGCCCTGAAACCATTCTACTGATGCTTTTACCCTGGTGGGTCTGATCCTCCCCTGGAGTTTATTCTGCCCTGCTTTTATGTTCCTTGTTCAATGCATTCGGCTAGGATTGTTTATTTTGTTTATAACTTTGATTTTATACCTTTGAAAGGTACAAAGGCCTAAATAAATAACGAATTATTGTTGTCAGTGGTTTGTACAGGATAGATTTTAATCACCTTGTAGAAGCCAATGTTGAAAACAAGCCACGGAAGGTGAGCCACTTCACTCAGGTTTATATATACACAAAACACACAAAAGTGCCACATTCACCAAGCCAGTAAAAACACTTTGCACAAAACGATAAAGGCTTAATTTTTTTCCCCCGGCATCGTGTCTTGGGGATCAAAGTGTGCTTAGCTGAAGCTGCAGAAGGTGGGAAAGGATGGAGAGCAAAGAGGCGGGCTAGCACAAAATAATTTTGCCTGCCTTTCCAATAAGAAAGATAAATAGAAGCCTGGCAGGCTTGACCAAAGGGCAGAGATTCCAGGCAGCTGGGCCTCTTCAGTGGAGTCAGCCCGGCTGCATGCAAACCAGGCCTCCTTCCTGCATCTGCATCCTTCAGTGCTGGCCTGGAGCCATGAGCGCCAGCAAAGGCAGCCCTGGGAAGACGCGGGTCCCGTTCTTTTGTGGGTCAGGAAGGCCGAGGGCGTCGTTTTAAGCTGATGTCGTCACAACGGTCCGCCACAAGGGGGAGCAGGAAACAGCTCGAGTAACGGGGGTGGCTTTCCAGATGTGCCTGGACTCCAAATCCCAGAGTTCCCGGTGGGCAGCGGAACATAACTTCCCATTCCTGCTGTGGTCTGGAGGCGAGAGTAAGGCGCTGATGGACAACCCGCCTTCCCAAAGGCTTGACTCGGCGGTAGGATGGCTTCCGCGGCAGAAGGGCCGGCCTTTTTCTCGAAGGGAAACGCCGTCGAGCAAAGGAGTGGGCTGAGCCCCCGGCGCCTCGGCCGCCCAGCCCGCAGGCAGGAGCCCCCGGCCCTTTAAGGGGGAGCGAGGCCCGCCTTTAAACGGAGCCGGCGCGCTGCTTCTTCGCCTGGCGCAGCTTTCTTGGCCCGCTGGCCTGGCCGTGGCTGCTCGGGGAGCCTAGCATGGGAGTGCGGGGGTGAGGCTCGCCCGCATCCCTGCTTTCCCCCCCGGGGGGCGATGCTCCCGTTGGGCTCCCCGGCTCCTTCCTTGTGACCCCGCGCTTCAGCGCAGCCGGAGGGCCGCCATGACGGGGCTGCGGCCGTGGAGCGTTGCTCTCCTCCTGGCCCTGCTGGGCCCCCTGGCGCAGGCTCCGGAAGGCGCGGGGGAAGCGGCGGAGGCAGAAGGGGCCCCTTCCCTGCCGCTGATGCAAATGCTCCTGAGCCAGGCGCCCCCGCGATCCTGGCTCCCCGGGGGAAGCCGGAGGCGAGCCAGCGGACAGCCGCTGCGCTACATGCGGAACCTCTACCGGAGCGTGGCGGACCGGCACGGCCGGCCCCGCAGGGACGAACGGCTCTCCAGCAACACCATCCGCCTGGTCCGGCCCTCGGCCAAGGCCCGCCAGGCTGGGGCAGGTGAGCTGGGGCCGGGACCCTCTCCGGGGCCGCCTGCTACGGGAGCTGGGGCTCGGCGCCTGCTCGACCTTACTGACCGGTCGAAGGGCGTGGCAGTCGGCAAGTCCTGGGGGAGGCCAAGGGCCGTGTGCTGGGCTTCGGCGCGCTCTCGAGCAGGCCGCTGGCCAGAGGAGCCCCAGCCCGCAGCACCCGGTCGGGGTGGGACAGCTGCCCGGGCAGCAGGGAAGTTGCCAGCCTGCAGCCCAGACTGCCAGCCCTACCGGGTTGCCCTGCTCTGGTGCATTGCCTCTAAGCAAGAAGGGGCTTTCCTTGGCCGGGCGGTTCATGCACCACCTTCTGCATCTGCGGCATGAGCTGCAGTCTGTCTTGCACACTACAGTGACGGAATATTTTGAAATGGGGCTCTTTTACGGACACTTATTCCAAAGGCTCTGCTGCCTCCCCCAGGCTGAGGGCTGCTAGGCTCTTGAAGGGTCTTCAGAATTGGGGTGGGGTGGGGGGTTCTACTCAGCAGGTCCTGGGGGTGAAAGCAGCTTCTATGATTTTTTATTGTGGATGCCCCAAAAGTGGCATGCAGCCCGCCCCAATTGGGGAGATGGACTAACGGCATCACAGGAGAATGGGCAGGGGCTCTTCTTTAGGAAGGCTGGGGACCCCGTGGGGCCTAAGGTTGGCTCTTGGGCCGGGCACCTTCTTCTGCTCCAGTTCTGACCCCTTCTTTGTACCAGCAGGCCCCTGGTTCATCTGGGCCCTTGACTACCGCCTGGAAGTGCAAACGCCAGCCCAGCGCCTGGTCAGAGCTGTTGCTGTCTACGTTCAGCGTCCATCCTCGCCTCACGGCCCCCTCTGGTGTACAGCCACCCCACTCCCTGGTGGAAGCGCCCTGCCACAGGTGGCGGTCAGCCCGGCTTTGCTGAAGAATTCCACCACCACATCTGCTGCGGACAGCTGGGTGGAGCTGGACCTCTCCTCGCACCTCCAGCCGTGGTCCTGGACTGCCCAGAATAGCCACCTGCTCCGCCTGCATCACGCCTGCGCCTTTCTGGAATGGGCCTGGGGCTCTCCCCGTGGGCCTGGTGAGAGAAGCCCCCCCTCCCTGGAGGATCCCTTCTTGCTGCTCTACCTCAATGACACTTGGAAACCCCTCCGGGCTCCCGTGGGAGGGGAGCTCCGCCAGAGCTCTGCCCGTGTCCACAGGATGCGCCGAGCTGAGAAACTGGACCTGGATCTGCCCCGCTACAGCCGCCGCCGCCCTGGCACCAAGCAGAACGAGTGTGCCCTCTACCCCTTCCGTGTGACCTTTCGCCAGCTGGGCTGGGACCATTGGATCATTGCCCCCCACTCATACCGGCCTCAGTACTGCAAGGGAACGTGCCCCCGGGTCTTGCGCTATGGCTACAACTCCCCCAACCACGCCATCGTCCAGAATCTGATCAACGAGTTCGTGGACCCGAACATCCCTCGCCCGTCCTGCGTGCCCTACGAGTACAGCCCTGTGGGCGTCCTCATGATTGAGCAGAATAACAACATCCTGTTCAAGGTGTATGAGGACATGATCGCCAAGTCCTGCACCTGCCGGTGAGCAGCCTCATCTCTGGCAACAAGCTGCCTCCTTCCCTGGGCCTCCGCTTGCTCCCACCCACTGCCTCACCGAGAAAGAATCCAGATTTTAAGGCATTTGGCAACTTTTCACTTGGATCCAAGACCCTTCTTTCTGAGGGGCACAGAGGACTAGCACCTTGGTTGGGCTGTTTTACAAAAGGATTTTTATGCACAGGTTGGCAAATTCTCCTCCTCTTCCTTTTTACTCCTGGAATGATTTCACCCTGCCAGAGCTTGGTGGAGGACAGTTGAAGGAAGCGCAGCTGGCACTCCTGGGAAGGGCTGCGGTGAAGCAGGTGGGTCCATGGGAGGCAGGAGATGCAAAGATCGGCTGTCCTGGGGTCGTGCTGAGGCATGAAGGGTCCCTCCGGTTTCCCTCACCAGCACTTGGTCTCATTGCCTGCATAAGCCTCTTGATGCCGGGGGCCACCGTCCCTTTTGGCCCAGAAGGGTGTATCCTGTATCCTGCAGCCCAGCCTGAAAAAAATGGGTGTGCAGGTGTTCCAGCCATAGGTTCCCCCCCACAGGCCCTTTTCTCTCCCCCCCCAAGCCAGTGCCCCCTCCTCCAGCAAGAGCTGTGTGGTCTCTGGACTACTCGAACCCCCCTTTTCTGTTCCTGCTGCTTAAGGGGTGCTGCTGTGTGGCCAGTTCTTTGCTCTGCTGCTTCTACCTCTCACGCTGCAAATAAAGGCACACTCACACCTGTCTGCAACCCCGGGAGATGTCAAGCAGTGAATTCCTGAAAGAATTTGAGAAGAAGACCTTCGGGTGGGGGAAGAGCCCCCTGGAGGTGCTCTGCTCCCTAAGAAGGTTGTTCTGGAAGCAAAGGGGACTTTTAAACCAAGGGAGAAGGTGTTTAGGGGTGTGGCTGCATCGCAGTGGGTTGGGGCCCTGCCCAGGAGAGATGGCTTTTGGGGGCTTAGTTGGTTGGGCCTTTCCTGGGAGCTGCCTCCTCCCATCCTGGGCGTGGTGGAGTCTTGGGTGGGAGAGAGCTCCTGACTTGGCCTTGACCTTCTCATGCACTGGATGATGGAGCAGGCCTCCCCCTCCGCTGGCCCTCCCCACGCTTCCAAGGCCTTGTCCATAGTTGTCTTTCTCTTCACCCTTACTTGTTTGTACCTGTCGCCTACCTGGCCTGAAAAAACTGATAACTTGAGAAAACTTTCTATTTATTAAATGGTATATTTAAATGAGATCCTGCAATAAATGTAGTTTCTGTTTTGCTAAAGATGAATGAAGCCTATGATTTGGGGAAGAAGGAAAAACGGTGCTGGACGAGGGAGAGGGGAGGAGCCCAGACTAGCCCATCTGACTAGGTGGCTCAGTGGCTAAGACACTGAACTTGTCGATCAGAAAGGTCGGCGGTTCGAATCCCTAGTACAGATATCCTGTGTGAGCAGGGGGTTGGACTAGATGACCTCCATGGTCCCTTCCAACTCTATTACTGTAACTGACCCACAATTCAGCTCCGCCAGGCGATTGTTACATCTGCAGCACAGAATCAGCCATTCCCCAACTCGTGGCTCATAGGTACTTCTCTGTGGCCACCCAGGCGGCCTGAGCTCTTGCCACCAGTTGCTGTTCCTCTCTTCCCAATAGGGCTGATCTGGGGCAAAGCAGGAATCTGTGCAAAAGGGCAACAATGTGGGCTACCCAGCATGTTTCCAACTGGCAACTGGGTGCAATTGAGGGGGGGGGAAGCAATTCCAACTCCCCAATATCGGCCATCCCTGCTTTGCAGTCCCAGCTGGAATGGGCATGATACAACCCCTGAGGAGAGGAGCTCAGGCCTCTGGTTGGCTCTCTTGGTCTTTGCTTCCCCGAAGGCCACAGAGCTCAGGTGCCGGCTGGTTGCAGAATGTGAGCCATTCACTATTAAGCACATAATGGTTTATAACGGAAGGAAGATGAAGGATGAAATGTTCCCGTACTAAAGCACAGACTATCAGCAAGAACATTTGAGGAACAAATTTGCAGATGGCACAAATTGGATAAAACCCTAATACTTCAGTGTCAGAAATACATTTCAAAACAATGTTACAGAGATGGGCTAAAAACAAGGGAAGAAATCATTGCAACGTTTTTCAGGTAAGAGAAGAAGGAGTGAGGATATCTGTCTTAGTAAAATTACTTGTGAAAAAGTAGAATAATAGACTGTGAACATACGTAGTTACAAAACAACAACCCCTCCTCCACCTCCACCCCTTAAAGCAAAGCAGAGCAAAGGCAGTGATGGGCTGCACTGTTTCCAAACCACAATTGCTCCACTGTAGCTTGGTTGGACCTAATTGCAAGTCCTGTCAGTTCTGGGTATGACTCACAGAAGGAGTCTGCTAGAGATGAGCAGGCTCAGAAAGGGCCAGGAGGAGGAGTGGGTCCTGAACAGATGCTAAGCAACAGAAGGGAAGTCTCACTGACTCGTTTTTTTGTCGGGAAAACAACAGGCAGCTATCGCACAGGAGGAGTAGAAGGGCTTGGTGTTCCATAAGAGAGGAGCTTTTCTGTCTCCTGCTTCACACCTCAGTTATCCTTTATCCATGGAGCATCTGTGGAGTCTGGTTTTACCACTGCTACATCAGAGTTAATTGATTCCCATTGCACAAAGGCAGGGTTTTGAAAATAGGCACTGACAAAAAGCCCTCCCTGCATTTCATCTCTCCCAGAACTTTGAAATGGAAATAAACACCAGTATTCAAATTGCCTCTCCTTAACTACTTATTAGAATTTGATAGAGCTGAAGATCGAGTGAAGGGAGTTATGATAGCGTGGGCAAAAAATGTCGGGCATAGTATTGAATTGGAGGATTGGGAGAAAATTTGGAATAGAAATTATAAGATAACTAAATTGGCAAAATACAAAAAGAACCAATATAAAACGTTCTATCGCTGGCACTTGGCACCTTCTAAGTTAGCGAAGATATATCCAAATTTAAGCCCGAACTGTTGGAAATGTGGTCAAAAACAAGGCACCTTTTATCATACATGGAGGTTGTGCCCTGAAACGAAGAAGCATTGGAAGAAAATACATAGATGGTTAGAGGAAATAACAGGACATCAGATAGAATATACCCCGGAACTATTTCTCCTAGGGATAGCTAAAAGGAAATACAATAAAATAATAATATATATCATTTTACATATAATAACTGCAGCAAGGTTAGCTTTTGCGCAATGTTGGAGAAATACAAACATACCTCCCAAAGGTTTAGTAATTAAAAAAGTATTTGTGCTGAAATGGATAAATTAACAATTGAACTGAAAGAACAAATAGATTCGGAATACTACGCAATATGGGAGAAGTGGTACAATTGGATTAAGAACAGAAAAAAGGAAAAGAGACAAAATAGAAGTAGAATTAAAATGTATAGTAAAAATGTATAGAGTGTATTTGAATTGGAATAGAATAGAATAGAATTTGTCTTGGTGCATACACTGTCGGTGTACATAAAAGTAAATATGCGTTCATCAAGAATCATAAGGTACAGAGGAAAGGTTGGAGTAAAGGTAAAGGGTAAAAGAGCAGCCCCGAAAAAGTAAAAATGAAAAATGAAAGTTAAAAGAAAAGATGAATGAAAAATGATGGAAATAACTCTACATGTAAATGTGTTTATGAGAAATAAAAATGAAAAACTATTTAAAAAAAAGAATCATAAGGCAACACTTAATGATAGTCATAGGGTACAAATAAGCAATCAGGAAACAATATCAATAGAAATTATGGAATGTTATGGTATGTAAACGGTCGCAGTTCTGCATAAGATGAGTAAGATTTGTTTACTTGTAAAAATGCAATGAAATATTAATTTAAAAAAAACAAAAAACAAATTGCCTCTCCAATGACCTCACGTGAACCTCATTGTGACCAAAAACACCTGGGAAAGGGAATGGGAAGAAGCGGCTCCGGATTTCAACATCCATCCTGTCCGGACTCCTTGCTTTCTGCCAAGAAACCGGAATCCTCTCCGTTCAGCTAAACTCCTCGCCTAGAGGCCTCACCCGCCCTTCGTCGCCTTGCCCTAGAAAGTTCGCCAACCCTGGGCAAAGAGGGCAAGATCGTCGCCAGCTCGGAACTTAGAAGATTTTTCCAACCACCTCCGCGAGGAAAGGTGCAGCTCCCGCTCTCGGCAGCAGGCGGCGCGCGCCTCCTCCCCGCCGGCCCCTGAGAAGTAAACTTCCGAAAGAAGCGGCTGGTCCTGGCAGGGCGGTAGTCTTCGGGTGCCGCGACAGGCCGCCCCCCCAAGCGGCTGGAAACAGGTCTTCGCTACGCCGGGGGCTCCTCGTTCCACTCTTTCGCTGGGGGGTGGGGGGTGCATCTTCCTCCGCCCGCAAAGCGAGCGGGAACGCGAAACCTGCTGACTACAGGGCTTCCAGGACCGGCCGGGAGTCGCAGTTCCCTCTTTCTCCGCCGGGGCGGCGCCTGCGGCTGGGAGGGGGACTTCCAGCTGGCGACCCCCCCCCGCCCGCCCGCCCGCCTGCCTATAACAGGTGCCAAAAAGGAGGGCGGGGCAGCTGCTGCCGGGCTGCGGCGGGGCGGGCCCTGGGCGGAGCGGGCCGTGCCGGGCGAGCTGCGGAGGCTCCGGGGAGGCAGGCGCGGCGGGGTCGAGGAGCGCAACCATGCGGAGCAGGAGCAACTCCGGGGTGCGGCTCGACGGCTACGCCCGCTTGGTGCAACAGACCGTCCTCGGCCACCAGGTGAGCCCTCGGGGGCAGCGAGCGGGCCAAGCCGCCCCCCAGCCCGCTACCTCGGGGCCCTTCGCTCTCAGCTCGGTGGGGGTCCCGGCGCCGCGCAGCCTCCGGTTGCCGACCTCCCAAGCGCTGCCCGAAGTTACATTCAGCTGCTGGGAACTGGAATCCCGCACGACCAGAGGCGGCTCGGGGCACAGAGGTGGCACCCGGGGTCTGGGACCCCCCTTCCCGGGAGGGGCTCCGGACCTGCCCTCGACTCCCCCCCCCCCCCCCCCACCCCATGCGTCTTGCAAAGCGACCCCCTGCACACACTTTGGCTTAACGCAGTCTTCAGACGCGCCCGGGGCTACCGGAAGGTGAAGGAGCGCCTGGAGGGAATGAGGAAAGCATCTGCCCCACAGACTTTACCGCCTCCGTGGGCTTCCCGGTGGGGGACGGGATACGAGGCACTTTTTCACCAGTGCCCCCCACCCCCCAGCAGCCCTTTTGAAACCGGGAGAGTCTCCCAGGAAGCCTTGGAGATGGAAGAGCTTCCTAATCATTTCCTCCCCGTTTGGCCTTTTGCCAAAAGTTTTGTTTCCAACACCTTTGTTTTCATTGTGCCACAGTTGGAGGATGTTAAGTGCCAGCTGATTATGGCTCCACATGAATCTGTTGGAGGGTCTGGGTTGAGGGTACCCACTGGGGGGGGTGTCTCTTCAGGAAGGCCGCCTTTCCCAGGGAGGAAGAGGGGCCAGAGATTCTTCTCGCCTCATGAATGGACAGGACTGAAGCAGTGCCAGGCTTCGCTGCTCCCCAAACTGCAAAGGAAGGGAGGCTGGCAGAGCAAGCCCAGAAGTGATGCCATGAGGCTGTTGGCAGCCAGGAGAGCTGTACATTCGGGTGCTGGCTGGGGCAGCCGGTGGCAGCGCCCACTGGGCAGAGGGAAGGAAGCCAGCAAGGATTCTGGCTGAGTGTTTTCAGCAACCACCACCGGTCAGTGGGCCGGGACTCCTGCCTTGCAAAGGTCTGAGAAGTCCGATGAAGTGGTCATTTGCACGCTGGACCCATTGGCAGAATGTGTGGAAAGGGTGAAAGCATTTGAGAGGGTGGGGTTACTTTGAGCAAGCTGTAGCGGGCCCAGAATCTCCCCCTCCCCATTTGCTGGTGGCCCCCAAGCAGCTTCTGGGGTGGTCCTGACCAGGTTTGCTTGCTCAGCAGCCTCCGAAGGGCCCTTGGCCTGCAGGATCAAAATCAAGGGCACCTTCTGGGCAACCCTGATCTGCCTTGCTCACCAAATGTGCTGTGGATCACAAGGACCCAGACATCCATAGCAGTAACTGCCACCACTTGTGCTGCTCTCTGCTCCTCCTTTTTAAGCCACCTGCCCTTCTCTCCCTTCTGCTTTTGGCCCCAGAATCCCGTTACAGGGTTGCTTCCAGCCAGCTGCGACCATCCAGACGCCTGGGTCCGAGATAATGTCTACAGCATCTTGGCCGTGTGGGGGCTGGGGTTGGCCTACCGGAAGAATGCGGATCGCGACGAGGACAAGGCGAAAGCCTAC